CAAAAGACTGAGGGTATTCCAGGGAACATTTTGGTGACATTAAGCCATTTCTGAATATTTTTCCAAAATTTCATTGCCTCTCGACAGGTCCACCATTGGTGGAAGTATGTGCCCTCTTTAACACCACATTTCCAAAAGACGGAGGGTGTTCCAGGGAACATTTTGGTGACATTAAGCCATTTCTGAATATTTTTCCAAAATTTCATTGCCTCTCGACAGGTCCACCATTGGTGGAAGTATGTGCCCTCTTTAACACCACATTTCCAACAGACTGAGGGTGTTCCAGGGAACATTTTGGCGAGTCTGGCCGGCGGTAAATGCCATCGATATGCCATTTTTATATATGTTTTCTTTATATGCTATTGACCGGGTTAGTTTAATATTCTCAGTCCAGATTTCGTTCCATCTCTCAGGCTCTATTGAATGACCCAGATTTTTCTCCCAGACATGAACCGAAGTCTTCGCACCTTCCTCAGCTACCTCCATAGTCATAAAGAATTTATAGCACTTAGTTAACACTTTTTCATCGACCCCCAGTAAAATCCTATCCAAAGTCTGCACCTCTCGGCTAATCCCGAGTCTCCAAATCACCACAGTTCTTAATGGCCAGATGCCTTTCCTGTCGCCAGTGCAGAGTTTTGTTCAGCAGATACATTCTCATTGTGCCCAGAGAGAGAAATATCTGCCTCCACCTAGGATTGAACTCGCAGCCTCCTGATTGCTCCACCTCTAGGCCACGGCAACGCTCACTGGACAACCGTTTGACTGGGGTGATAAAAGATCTCCAGTCTTGAGTGTGGGAGGAGGAGGGTTGGACTAGAAGACCTCTGAGGTAATTCCACGTTCTCTGTTGCTCTGATTCCTTCCAGATGAACGTGCTGCAGGAGAAAATAAAGAGCACCACCCAGAAGATCATGGCTCTCATTGCGGAGCTGTCCATGCGTCAGGCCTTCGCCATTAAGCTGCAGCAAGAGATGCGGGACAAAGAGCAGACCATCCTGTGTGTCGTCTCCCGACTGGCGAAAGGCCTTCCTCCGCCAAAAGAAATCGAACAGGACTGGCTCAGGGTGCTGCGGGATGAAAAAATGCACGAGATAGCAAGCGAAGCCAGAGCTAAAGTGAGCCTCTCAACAGGAATGGAATGGAATAGAAAATATGGAATGGAATGGAATGGAATGGGAATGGAATGGAATGGAATGGAATAGAATAGAATAGAATAGAATAGAATAGAATAGAATAGAATAGAATAGAATAGAATAGAATAGAAATTAGAAGAGTAACTTCTAGGTGGCTCAGTGGCTAAGACACTGAGCTTGTCGGTCAGAAAGGTCGGCAGTTCGGCGGTTTGAATCCCTACTACAGGTCTCCTGTGTGAGCAGGGGGTTGGACTATATGACCTCCAAGGTCCCTTCCAACTCTTTTAAGAGTAAAGTAGAGTAGGAATAGGAATAGGAATTAGAACATCTTATTTTACAAAAAGCTCCATTCCTGGAAGTATCTCAATAGAATAGAACAGAGCGGAGCAGAGCAGAGCAGAACAGAACGGAGCAGAACAGCACGGAAACTAATCTACATTCATCTTAATACTAATACATGTAGTCCTCGACTTACGACCACAATTGAGCCCAAAATTTCTGTTTTGGCCGGCAAAGTGCTGCAGGAGGCTGTCCAGGCTGAAAACGGGCCGCATGGGGGCCGCACACACACACACACACACACACACACACACCCGTACTCCCATTTTGGCCAGCAAAGCGCTGCAGGAGGCCGTCCAGCCTGAAAATGGGCCACCTGGGGGCTGCCAATGCCCACCCGTGCCCCATTTTGGCCAGCAAAGTGCTGCAGGAGGCCGTCCAGGCCAACAATGAGCTGTGCACAGCCCCCCCCCTCCATTTTGGCTGCCAGAGGCTATTGCTATTTCCCAGCCGGCCCCATGGGCCGGAGTTAAGCAGCCCACGAGCCTTGAGTTTGACACCCCTGCTCTAACAGGTCATTGCCTCTCAGCCTGTGGCTCTGAACAAATTTAACCGAGACCTAATATTCTGTTTCTATAGCAGGCCCTGGAAGAAGAACAGGCTGCCCTGCCAACTGCCATCCACACTACGGCTGAGCAGCGTCCCAACGCCTACATTCCCGACGACGAAAACGTCCTCCCGCTACCGAGGCCTTACGGAGCGCTGGCGCCGTTCAAACCGAGCGAGCCCAGCGCCAACATGAGGCACATCAGGAAGCCAATCGTGAAACCGATAGAAATCTGAGCGGCTCAACTTCTGTTGAAGGAGAATGCTTCTCGCTCCGAGAAACCGTCTATTTTTCATTCGATTAAAAGAAGTTCCCGGGAGGATAAGGGGCGGGCATGAAAATGTATGGCTTAGTAGTTCCAGAAATGTTTTTGCTTTCTTGAAAGTTCCAGAAATATGTAATAAAATAAAGGTTGGGGGAAAAAATATTGAAAAATGCTTGCAGTTTCTTTGTTGTTGTTGTTGTTCGTCGCGAAGTCGTGTCCGACCCATCGCGACCCTACGGACAATGCTCCTCCAGGCCTTCCTGTCCTCTACCATCCTCTGGAGTCCATTTAAGCTCACACCGACTGCTTCAGTGACTCCATCCTGCCACCTCGTTCTCTGCCGTCCCTTTCTTCTTTTGCCCTCAATCTTTCCCAGCATTAGGCTCTTCTCCAGTGAGTCCTTCCTTCTCATTAGATGGCCAAAGTATTTGAGTTTCATCTTCAGGATCTGGCCTTCTAAAGAGCAGCCAGGGTTGATCTCCTCTAGGACTGACCGGTTGGATCGCCTTGCATGCGATCCATTTCTTATGGTGTGGCAAATACTGCCATTGTTACTACACGTTTCTGCATTTGGAATGAAAACATTTAATGCAATATTTGGAAGCCTTAGCTATTGTACAGTCATCCAAGCTGTGTTAAGCTCCCACATTTCTGGCAAGTCCCAGAGCAAAGTGATGACCTACACACACACCTCCAGCAGCCTCTGGCTGCGAATAGTCCAGCCCAACGCTGGGAGCACAACGGCTGCAAAGCAAGAAATCCAGCAGGTCAAGTCGAGGAGTCCGGGAAGCAAAGGAGCAAAGCAATTAATCAAGAAAGCCAGAAAGAATGCAAGGAATCCAGGAAAGTTCAAACGTCGGCACTCAACACTCCATGAATTCAGCGTTTGTTCCTGACAAATGCCCCTCCCCATAGTCTCAGTCCCCAGGTGTGCCTTGTGAAGAGGGGCAGGGTGCTCTCCTCCCAAGTAGTGGGTCAGTCTGCACTGTTCTCGCCTTCTCTCCACTCTCCGTGCTTGAGGATCAGGAGGGGGTGGTCCTTGTTCGTCACCTGAGCTGTCTCTCATGTTCACTGCTTAGCCTCTCTTGGACATCCTGCCCCCGTTCCTTCCTGCCTACAAGCTCCTCGGCCTGCTCCTCCCCATTTTCCTCTGAAGCCAACGAAGCCGCCCTCTTGATCTCTGTCAACTCCAGTTCCGTCTCATCTTTCTCCACAGATTCAGGCTCTGAAAGAGGCATGACACATACTCATTTATAAACATGGGTTAATTTTCAGCTTCTCGTTACATACAAAGCGTAGGAGTCTCTTTCAGTGCATAAGTAAAAATCTCAAGCAGAGTGAGGCTGTGCATCAAACACTTCATAAATCTTAATATTCGTATCAAGGATGGAAACTTCACTCCGCAGCGGTTAGAGAAATGTCAAAATTTAAATAGAAAAGGAACAAAAGAAAAGAACGTTGGAAGTCAAAAGGTTAAAGATGCTGAGCTGGTCAGCTGGAGAGCTGACAGCCTGGGTTTAAGACCTGAGTGTGCAGGACAGGATGAGTTCCCGTTCCTTGCTCCAGCTCCTGCCCACTTAGCAGTTCGAAAGTATGCAAATGCGGGCAGTGGTGGGATTCAGCCAGTTTGCACCACTTCGGGAGAATCGATTGTTAACTTTCTGAGTAGTTTGGTGAACTGGTTGTTGGAAGAAATCATTAGGGCAGAGAACCGGTTGTTAAATTATTTGAATCCCACCACTGAATGCAGGTAGATAAATAGGTACCATTTCAGAGGGAAGGTAATAGTTTTCCATGCACTTTGGCATATAGTTACGCTGGCTACATGACCATGGAAGCATCTTCGGACAATGCTGGCTCCCTTGGCTAAGAAACGGAGATAAATCAGTAGAGTCAGACACAACTGGACAGGGGAACTTTTACCTTTACCCCTTTAACAGTTTTTTTTTTTTTTAATTTGATTTATATGCCGCCCTTCTCCGGAGACTCAGGGCGGCTTACAGTGCGTTAAGCAATAGCCTTCATACTTTTGTATATTTTATACAAAGTCAGCTTATTGCCCCCACAAACTGGGTCCTCAATTTACCTACCTTAGAAAGGATGGAAGGCTGAGTCAACCTTGAGCCTGGCGAGAGTCTAACTTACTTTAATTGCAGACAGCTGGTGTTAAATTACAGTGCTTAGTCTGCAGAGCTATCCAGGCTCTGTTAAGATTCACTTAACAATCATGTTATGAATTTAACATGGAGGTTTTCAAACCCGGCAGCTTTAAAACTTGTGGACTCCAACTCTCAGAATTCTCCAGCCAGCTATGCTGATTTAACAACTGCAGGGATTCACTTAACAATTGTGGCAAGTAAAATGGGGGAAAAAATCACTTAAATGTTCTCACTTAGCAACCATGGGCTCAATTGTGGTCATAAGTCAAGGACTACCTGTACAGCAGAATGTTGAAATGAATATGTTAAAGTAGCAGTTTAGCTCTATTGCAAGAGCATCAAAACATCAAGATAACAGCCACAATGTAGATTAAATCCACATTAAAAATGAGGTGGATCTTAAAACGCTAAGCGTTCGTATGGTTTGGGAAGTTATCTTGATTTTTTTGCTTCGTGTAAAAAACCTGTTCTCCTTGTGGTGCATTTAAACAATTAGAAAATTCACACAAAATCTCCGACACCAATACAATAAATAAAGACATCAAAGCCTCGTCCCAAATCTATACATTTATTTCCATTTACAAAAAAGGTTTGGTTTCTCAATTGCAATATTTTATAAGTACCTTGTTCATGCTCATATTATCTTATATATATACAATACAATAGCTGCCAGCTCCTTATTCAATCTTGTAGGTAAGAATTTAAATGCTAACGTCGGCACATTTTATGCCAACATTTCATCTTGATTATTTAATCGTATCTTTGCAATTGCTCAGAAGGGCAATTGCTTTGGGGCGGAAAGGGGGGGGCTCAGCGGCCTATTCTGTTAACAAATAAATACTACGTTGAATTCAGATTCAGTTTATTCTTGTAATGTTACAGCCAGATGATTCCTGTTCATTTTAATATTGGATTATTAAAAAATTATTTCAGAATATTTCAGTGCACCTATTATAACGAGACACAAAACATTTGAAGCTCGGACTCTATTCTGAATTCCAAAACACCCTTTTTTTCTAATTCAGTTTCCGTGTGAGGTTTGAAAATGAAAAAAAATAATAATCCTGTTTCAAGTTCAAAAGCATCTGAATGTAAAATATTTTGCATTCAGAACAATTTGCAAATCCCAGTAGTAGGCTGTTGTTAAAAGCCGGTTCATTACAATGAACTCTAGTCATCAGTAAACAGAAGTTGTGGTATTTCTTTCGGATATAATATTACAGCTTCCTATCAGTGTCTTCTCTGGAATTCAGCTGCAAATATGTTAAAAGGCACAACGAAATTCAGACGCTACTGGATTCACAATTTTGTCTTGCTCATTAAATAAGTTAAAGGCCTAAGAGTATTGTAGTGTGTTTCAGTGCCACTTCTTCAACCAATCTTGCATTCATGTTGGTTTCTTCCAGAGAAGCTGCACAGCCTAGGAAATGATCGTGCAGAGAAATATTAATATTATGGGATGGAGGTTGATCACCGGTGTCATTAGTAAAACGAAAACTGCTAATTTCAGGTTGCAATTTCTACAAATAGCAATAGCACTTAGACTTATATACCGCTTCACAGTGCTTCACCGCCCTCTCTAAGCGCTTTACAGAGTCAGCCTCTTGCCCCCAACAATTTGGGTCCTCATTTTACCCACCTCGGAAGGATGGAAGGCTGAGTCAACCTTGAGCCAGGTGAGATTCGAACTGCCAAATTGCAGGCAACTGGCAGTCAGCAGAAGTAGACTGCAGTACTGCCCTCTAACCACTGCGCCACCATGGTTCAGGTCAGGGCGCTGATTAATCCCATTCTGCCTTTGGGATAATCGCACCTTGATTAAGAGGGGTGGATCGAGACCTTTCCTTGCCAGCATACTTTAAGAAAACAAACCCGAAGATATATCTTCTAAGAAAACTCATTTATTTGTTATAAAGAAAATAAAACATCTCACTAATCTAATAGTTACATTTTTAATAAAGTTCCTGCCGGCCACCTCTCTGTGGTCGGACTTCTTGGCAAGAGAAGAAAGAAAAGTGTGAAGAAGGAATGTGGGTGGAGGACATGCGCAGTTTAGCTTACTGATAAGAATTCTTGGCAAGCTACGGAAAGTCTGATAGTCCAGAAATGAGAGCTCAGCTGGTAAATAAAAAAACGCAATGACAATGCAGTATATCATAGACTTTAAATACAATTATAATCTAAAACCAAGATAAACTCGGTTAATAAAACAGAAGGAGATAGACTTACCTTGACGTTCCATCTCTATTATAGTAGTCACCAAATAGTTAAGCGGGAGAAACTCAATCTGGGTTGATATTCTGTCCGTAAACGGTATATTGTACTGCAAACGACAATGCATTCCAGCATTGAATGGCTATAATTTAACTCCCATGTTTCAAGGGATTAGAAGAATCAGAAGCAAAGTTGTTTTAATGAAAAGAAAGAAGGACTAGGGTGATATGACAGCAGTGTTCCAATATTTGGGGGACTGTCACAAAGAAGAAGGGGTCAAGCTGTTCTCCAAAGCACCTGAGGGCAGGACAAGAGGCAATGGATGGAAATTAAGCAAGGAGAGAAGCAACCTAGAAATAAAGAGAAATTTCCTGACAATTAGAACAATTAATCAGTGGAACGACTTGCCTCCAGAAGTTGTGAATGCTCCAACACTGGAGTTTTTTAAGAAGAGGTTGGACAACCATATGTCTGAAATGCTATAAGGTCTCCTGCTTGAGCTGAGGGTCGGACAAGAAGACCTCTCAGGTCCAGCGATGGGTTTCAAAAATTTTACTACCGGTTCTATGGGTGTGGCTTGGCGGGCGTGGCTTGGTGGGCGTGGCAGGGGAAGGATACTGTAATGAAAAAGGAGGCGTAAGAAGCCTTTTCCAAGGTAAGTAGAACAACAAAGCGGGAGGAACAGCTGTGCCACGCGATTTAGATTCACTAGAAAGCAGGATTTGTCCGAACCGGTAGCATTTTTTTACTAGCGGTTCTTGTGAACTGGTCCAAACCGGTAACATTTCACTCCTGCTTCAGACCATGGGGGTCAGATTTTTTTTTTTAAGAAAAAGGGGCGGGAACAAACTAGCCCATATTCTTGACAGGTGATCAAGCTTTTTTACCTGTTCATTGCTGAGTTTCTCAAACAAGAGTTTCACGTAGTTCCTTGCAATAGTGCTGTTGCTTAAAGAATGGTTCCAAAGCTGGCAAACTTTGCAACCAATTGCCTGCATGATCAAAATAAGAAGGGAGACAGAGATAGATTTTAAACCAGAGATGTTCCTCCTAGGAATGATTGATAGAAAAATGGGAAAAAGTCACTATTATATTATATTGCATATTCTAACGGCGGCCAGAATTACACTAGCGCAAATGTGGAAGTCGACCAATACACCATCGGAAGAAACAATAATAAAGAAAATCCTCGAATGCGCCGAAATGGATAAATTAACATTGGAGATCAAAGAAAGGGAAGGCTCAGATTATTATAAAGTGTGGAATATGTTTTATACATGGTTGGAAAACAGAAATCAAATTAAGAAATAAGAATATAAAGTGAAATTTGATATTAACATACTGGATATAAATGTAAATAATGATCCTGCTAACAAAACAGTTAATTATGAATATGAATTATGAGTATTTAAAAATAAAGAGAAGGAGCGGGAGGATAAAAGCTAAGAGTAAAGACAAAAGTCGATGCAGAAAGTTGTAAAATTGTATATTGTCTCTCGATTTCTTTCGCTATTGTGTGTTTGGTTTTAAAATGTAAAACACTCAATAAAAATTATTTTAAAAAAAAAATAAGAAGGGAGACAGGAGGAATATTTCAATATCAAATATCAAATTGCTTAACGCATTGTAAGCCGCCCTGAGTCTCCGGAGAAGGGCGGCATATAAATCAAATTTAAAAAAAAAAAAAATAGGAAGTGCACCTGGGAGAATTAAATCTGTTCCTTCAATAGTGGAAGCCCTATACTCATGCATAACAAACCATATACTTGTGTGAATAGCAACTTGATGTATCAGATAGGTGTTGATGGGATTCAGAGGTGGTATTCAGCCGGTTCGTACTGGTTCGGGTGAATTAGTAGCAGCAACTGTCCCGCCGTAATGCCGTCCGATTTAGCCACGTTTTTGAGGCTGGGTGCCTGCGTGGAAGGCTCACACGCTAGCAAAGCGCATGCGCGGAAGGCTGGGCACATGCATGGAATGCGCTCGCGTGCACAAAGCAAGCATGCGCATGGCGAACTGGTAGTAGGAATATGTGAAACCCAATATTTGTAAAAGAGAGAGAACTTCATTAGCGTGTTTTATAATTTACTGGTTTAACCCACTGCATTTTTTAAAACATTCCACATTCAATTATTGTCCAAATCGAAGAGCAGATCTGTAGAGTTCAGGTAGTCCTCGACTTACGACAATTCGTTTAGTAACCGTTCAAAGTTACAACGGCACTGAAAAAAGGGACTTGTGGCCGTTTTCCACACTTATGACCATTGCAGCATCCCCAGGGTCACGGCATCAAAATTCAGACGTTTGGCAACTGACTCATATTTATGACGGCTGCAGTGTTTCCCGGGGTCATGTGATCCTCTTTTGTGACAAAGTCAACGGGGAAGCCAGATTCACTTAACAACCGTGTTACTAACTCACCAACTGCAGTGGTTCACTTAACAACTGTGGCAAGAAAGGTCACAAAATGGAGCAAAATTCACTTCACCAATGTCTCACTTAGCAGCAGAATGTTTGGGCTTCCTTGTGGTCACAAGTCGAGGATGGCCTATTGTCCTCGACTTACGACCAAAATGGAGACCAACATTTCCATTGCTAACCCTACAGTTGTTAAGTCTGTTGTGCCCTGTTTTATGACCTTTCTTGCCACAATTGTTAAGCAAATCCCTGCATTTCAGTGAATAATACAGTCGGTTAAGCGAATCTGGTTTCCCCCGTTGATTTTGTTCGTCGGAAGCCAGCTGAGAAGGTTACAAATCAGGTGATCCCAAGGCTGTCATGCCCATTGCCAAGTGCCCAAATTTTGATCATGGGGATGCTTTAATAGTTGTAAGTGGGAAAAATGGTCATAAATCCCTTTCTTCAGTCTTTTTCTTTTTAATTTTTCTTTATACATTTTTATTTAACCTATATAAGTATTTAATAGACAGTGTATTGTCTGGATCATTTTACATATACATAATAATAGTAATAATAATATTCTTTACTTGTATGTAATAGCAGGCATCCTCTAACTGCAGCCTGCAGACTGTATCCGGCCCGCCAATGCAAAGTATCCGACCCGCGGAGTGGTGTGATTAAGCCCCGCCCCTTGCCGTGGGCCTTATCTTCTGATGAGCCAGCTGGGAGGCCAGCTGAGGGGTGATCTCGCCGGTGCTCTGGGCTTGTAAAGTACTGCTTTAAATTAAAAGTCTTTGAACACAATTTAAACAGGAGCTTAGGAAGGAGAAAGGCAAAAAAATGGACTGTTAAATTGGCCAGGCCCACCCAGTCACATGACCACCTAGCCACGGCCGCCCACCCAGTCCGGCCGCCCCAACAGTTTGAGGGACTGTGAATCGGCCCCGTTTAAAAAGTTTGAGGACCCCTGTGTAATAGTATTCTCCCAGCTTTTAATTTCTACCTTTATTATCTAGCCATTGATAAAACAAATCCCAGGTTAAAAAAAAAAATCCGCGTCTTCTTTATCCTTTATCTTTAGCGTTAGCCTATCCATTTCCGCAAAATCTAATATTTTTTTAATTCTATTTTCATCCGAAGGAGTTTCCTCCTTTTTCCAATGTTGTGCAAATACAATTCTCGCTGCCGTCAAAACAATGTAGTATTAAATATAGATTCCCTTCATTATATTTTTCTGGCAAAATATCTAACAAAAATATTCCTGGCTTTAAATCCTTTTTCAGTCATGTGATAACCTGAAACGGTCACTAAACAAACGGTTGTAAGTTGAGGACTACTTGTACTAGGGTGGGAGCATTTTTAGGGTTGGATCACTTTGCACAGAAGATCTGTCCTCCTAACTCAGTGATGGGTTTCTACCAGTTCGCACAAACTGGTAGTGGCGGCGGCGGGAGGCTCCGCCCACCTGCCCGGACATCTTCACGGACACTCTGCGCATGCGCCACATGTGAGCAAAGCAAATGTGCGCACACGCGTGCTCACATTTCTGAACTGCTAGCGAAGGTAAGTGGAACCCACTACTGCTCTGTAGGCCAGATTCTCGCATCCTTGCACTGTGAGTACAATTAATTTTCTTCCAGCCACCTATAAAAACATGAGGTAAACTTGCCCTGCTTGAAACAAGACAGATGAGCCAACGAGGCACAAATGTTTCTTAATCGGCCCCCAAAAAGACAGATGTCAAAATAATATTAATCCTGGCTCGGAATCCAAATGAAATTGCGACTGAAGGAATCTGATCCTATGGCTCTAAAAATAATTTCCCAACGCCTCACAGCTGTTCTGGAAGAAAATGTCATTTCGTTGACTTTCTCCCTTCTCCAAAGCAAAAAATACAGTGATAAGACAGAAGTGTCTTTGTGGTGGTGTTGTGTTGTTATTTTCATACAACCAAATAAAGAATGCCCTTCTGTCAGAAAGTTCGAGCTGTCTTGTTTCTTGAAATAGACAGGGAAATTTACCGGAAGAAATTTAAGAGAGAGAGAGAGGGAGGGAGAGGGAGGGGGGAGAGAGAGAGGGAGGAGGAGGGAGGGAGGAAAGGGAGGGAGACAGGGACAGAGGGAGGGGTTAGAATTAGGGTGAGACAGGGAGAGGGGGGAGGGAGGGAGGAAAGGGAGAGAGGGGAGAGAGAGAGGGAGAAGGAGAGGTAGAGAGGAGGAGAGGGGGAGAGTGAGGGAGGGAGGAGAGGGAGAGGAGGGTTAGGAAGAGAGAGGGAGAGGGGGGAGGGAGGGAGGAGAGGGAGAGGAGGGTTAGGAAGAGAGAGGGAGAGGGGGAGGGAGGGAGGAAAGGGAGGGGCAGAGAGAGAGGGCGAGAGGGAGGGAGAGAGAGAGAGAAGGAGAATGAGGGGGAGAGGGAGAGAGAGGAGGTGGGAAAAAAGGGAAAGGAGGGAGAGGGAGACGGGGAGAGGGAGAGAGAGGATTTAGGGTGAGAGGGAGAGTGGGACAGTGAGGAGGGAGAGAGAGGGAGAGAGGGAGGGAGACAGGGGGAGAGGGAGGGAGACAGGGGGAGAGAGGGAGAGAGAAGGTTAGGGAGAGAGGGAGAAGGAGAGGGAGAGGAGGGTTAGGAAGAGCGTGGGAGAGGGGGGAGGGAGGGAGGAAAGGGAGAAAGAGGGGGAGAGAAAGGGAGGAGAGGGGGAGAGGGAGGGAGAGGGAGACAATTAGGTTTAAAGACCTCGGTGCCTTCCGCCGTGCCCTTAAAACTTTCTTTTTTCAGCAAGCCAGGCTGGTTTAACATATTTTTTAACATATTTTTAAAATATTTTTAATTGGTTTGTTATTTTAAATTGGGGCCAAGTTAATATATATCCTTTTAACTGTTTTTAATGTTTGTATTGTATGTTTTTATCTGGCTGTACACCGCCCTGAGTCCCTCGGAGAAGGTGCGGTATATAAATTCGAAATAAAATAAAATAAAATAAAAAAAAATCCTTTAGACCAAGAGAGGCTTCTACAGACAATTCAGAAATGGGATACTGAAGAGGTAGCTGTATTGATTCCAGCCACAGAAATATAGATAATTTCTCTCTTTAGAGTGTTTCAGGAGACAAGCATATGAGAAGAACATATTTCTGCACTTACTTCCAGTTTGTTTCCGGAACACAATTATTCCTCTAAAATATTTATAGATTGGATTGTTTTAAATGCCCTCAAACCAGCGATGACCCCTAGCAATCACATAAATAGACTTTCTCCATGGCAATCAGTCCCTAGCTTGGTATTTCAACTTTTTCAAGAGGATATCCATCAACGCTGTAGATCGGGGTGTCAAATTGGATTTCGTCGAGGGCCAGATCAGCATTGTAGTTCTGTTCCGCGGGGGAGATGGGACGGATGCCTCCTGCAGCACTTTGCCAGCCAAAACGAGACATTGGGGGGGGGGGTGCTGCGTGCGGCCCATTTTTGGCCTGGGCGGCTTCCTGCAACATTTTGCCGGCCAAAATGGGGCACGGGAGGCCGTGTGTGGCCCCTCCGGTCATTTGCTATTTCCAGGCAGGCCCCGCGAGCCAGATTTAAGCACCCCGCGGGCCAAATCCAGACCGCGGGCCTTGAGTTTGACACCCCTGCTGTAGATAGTCCTCAACTTACAACAGTTAGTGACCGTTCCAAGTTACAACGGCACTGAAAAAAATGACGTACGGCCATTTTCACACTTACGGCCGTTGCAGTAATTCCGTGGTCCCGTGATTTACACTCGAATACTTGACAAGTGGTTCGTATTTATGACGGTCACAATGTCCCAAGGACACGTGATCCCCTTTTGCGCACCCTTCTGACAGTCAAAATCAACAGGGAAGCCAGATTCACTTAACAACTGGGTTACTAATTTAAAAACTGCGGCGATTCACTTAACAAACAAAGCAAGAAAAGTCCTAAAATGAGGCAAAACTTAACCAATTTTTTCACTTAGCAACGTAATTTTCAAGCTCAATTGTGCTCGTAAGTCAAGGACTACCTGTATAGACAATTCCATCCATCTTCTGAGTCCTTCGGGAGTAGGGCGGTATATAAATTTAATTATAAATAATTATAAATAAATAAAATCATCTTCTCTTTTCCTTTCAGCTTTCTGGACATTACAGCCTTCTCGTGAAGACTTTTAATAAATACCTGTTTCCCCCCAAATAAGACCCTGTCTTATATTTTTTTGAACCCTGAAATAAGCGCTTGGCCTTATTGCCATGCGTTCAAAAGCCCGATTGGGCTTATTATCAGGGGAATGTCTTATTTTGGGGGAAACGGGTACTTGCAAATGTGCTTTTTTTTTAAAAAAAAGAAATACATGCAGCTGTATTGGTTGATCCAGAAACTGCATCGTTTCTAGTTCTAAATTCTCTGTAAACAATTAGGGTATTGGAGTTACATTTGAAGGGATAAAAAAATAATAATGAACGAAGTGCTCAACATCTATTTAAAACAGGTTGTGAAAAATTGTTCAACTTTTCAAGTCCTCACCAGAGTTTATAGAAGTCGAGATAACAGAAATACTTTGAACCAAGCTTCTCTTAACTCTTACAAATCTGTTTTTTAATTAACGTGTTGCTCTCAAATGCGGCATTTTTTTCTAAAATAACTCTACTTGCAAAAAAAACCCCACTTGAGTTCCTGAAGTGTTGTGTGCCGACATTTGAATTTGGGGATTTGTTTTCACTCTGCTCTGGGACTTGCCAGAAACGTGGGAGCGTTTGGAGAGATTTGGAGCAATAAAGGGGCTGTTTGAAGTGCCAGCTGTTTGTGTTATCTCTGTGCCGTGCTCTGGGTCATCACACTGTGACTCTGGAACGGTCATTAAAAGAATGATGGTAAGTTGAGGACTACAGATCGTACGGTCTGTAGGTGCTTAGGAAAATGGTTCTGTGGACAAGGCTTTTCGACTTTTATCCAACCTTTGCTCCCAAGATTTATATATTTACTGCAAACAGATGCAAGATTGGATGACTAAATACGGAAGTTAGTTCATAGTTACCTGGGGAAGCCTCGTAAGGATACTTAACTTGAGCTTCACGTTCTTCTCAGTGTTGTCCAGTTCTTAAAAATAAAGCAAAAGACATGATAAAGGGACCCAGAGCATATAAGTCTACGTCAGAGGTGAAATGCTCCCGTTCGGACGGGATCGCCCGATCCAGTAGCGATGGAGGCGGGTGGTTCGGAGAACCGGTAGCAAAAATCCCTGCCTCCCCCCCGTTGCCTAGCTGAGCCGCGCAATCATCAGAGGCTTTGTTTTTAATTTTAAAAAGCATTTTTTCTACAACCTCTTTGGCCGAAAAAATGCTTTTAAAAAAAAAAAAAGCCTCTGATGATCGTGCGGCTCAGCTGGGATCATCAGAGACTTTTAAAAGCATTTTTTCTACTACAACCTCTTCAGCCGAAGAGTGTAGAAAAAATGTTTTTAAAAGGAAAAAAAAAGCCTCTGCAGATCAGGCAAGTCAGCTGGGATCATGAGAGGCTTTAAAAAGAAAGAAAGAAAGAAAGCCTCTGCTGATCAGGCAAGTCAGCTGGGATTGTCAGAGGCTTTTAAAAAAAAGAGAGAGAGCCTCTGCCGATCAGTCAAATTAGCTGGGATAGTCAGAGGCTTTAAAAGCATTTTTTTTTACAACTTCTTTGGCTAAAAAAATGCTTTTAAAAGTAAAAAAAAAAAACCTCTGATGATCGCGTGGCTCAGCTGGGATCGTCAAAGGCTTTTAAAAGCAATTTTTCTACAACCTCTTCGGCCGAAGAGGTTATAGAAAAAATGTTTTTAAAAAGAAAAAAAGCCTCTGCCAATCAGGCAAGTCAGCTGGGATCATCAGAGGCTTTAAAGCATTTTTTTTCTTCAGCTGAAGAGGTTGTAGAAAAAAATGGTTTTAAAAGTAAAAAAAAAGAAAGAAAAGAAGTTGCCCACGCCCACTCAGTCATATTACCCACCACCACCACCACCAAGCCACGCCCACAGAACCAGTAGTAACAAATTTTACATTTCACCCCTGGTCTAGATGCCATTGCTATCTTTCAAGTATCAAAAAGTTCAGAGGAAAGTATCAAAAATAAGTATCTAAAAGTGTCAAACATGCAATGCTGCAAGTATCAAAAGGCACAGAAATACAAACAAAATATGCTTTTTTTTCAAGTTTGCATCTGCCTTGCTTATTCATTGATGCTTGCAACACCTAGTAAGCCTTGTGGCGGTGACTCACGGCAAATTCCCAGTACGTCCATCAATTTAAAATCACAGGCTGCCTAATCGGAGATTCCCTATTCCTGCTGCTGCTTTTTCCTGTCTAAAAAGGACTGCTAAAAACAAGAGGTCTCTAAATGTCCAAAGTTGCAATTTTTGAGACTTGTGGACTTCAAACTCCCCAGAATGGAGACTTTCTTAAAGAATGATAAGAGTCTTAAGAGGCACATTTTACCCGCATGCTAATAGTAGTCACTATTCATTTAAGCAAGTCATAGCACTTAAGACTTATATACTGTTCTCAGCTGTTTACAAATGTCAGCCTATATGTCCCCAATAATCTGGGTCCTCATTTTACCAACCTTGGAAAGATGGAAAGCCGAGTCAACCCTGAAGCGGTCAGGATCGAACTCCTGACAGTGGGCAGAGTTTGCTTGCAATACTGCACTATAACCATGGCGCAGACTACAATCCGTACGAATTGTCCTTGACTTAACAGCCATTCATTCAGGAACCACTCAAATCACAAAAGCGCTAAATGAAGGGACCTTGGACTTAAGGCCATCGTACCGTATAGACATAATTTTGTATTTAGTTATTTCTTTATTTTTGTCATGTTGACGTAGTGTAAATTGGAGGTGGCGACCCTTTGAGAGCTGTACGCAATGAAATTTCATTTTAATGTATGCCGATTAGTGTACATTCAGAGTGACAATCAAGTTTCTGTTCTATTCTATCTATTCTATTCTATTCTATTCTATTCTATTCTATTCTATTCTATTCTATTCTATTCCATTCCATTCCATTCCATTCCATTCCATTCCATTCCATTCCACTCCATATTTTCTATTCTACTCTACTCTACTCTACTCCACTCCACTCCATTCCATATTTTCTATTCTACTCTACTCTACTCTACTCTACTCTACTCTACTCTACTCTACTCTACTCTACTCCACTCTCCACTCCACTCCACTCCACTCCATTCCATATTTTCTACTCTACTCTACTCTACTCTACTCTACTCTACTCTACTCTACTCTACTCTACTCTACTCTACTCTACTCTACTCTACTCTACCCTACCCTACCCTACCCTACCCTACCCTACCCTACCCTACCCTACCTACCCTTCTCTGGGGCTGAAAAAGATCAGTGCTGAAATCCTCTCTGGGGCTGACAATCCTGTTTGGATTGATTTCACCACAGCCCTTTTCAAGCAGCCCTGGGGAATTCTGGGAATTGAAGTCAACAGGCCTTAAAGCTGCCATGGTTGGGGAAAGCTGCTGTAATCCGCAGGAGGAATATTACCTTTCCAAAGATTCAGGACGTTCTTTTCTGTTAGATGCAGAACTCCGTGGTCAATGTACTGCAGGACCGTATGCAAAGGGAAGCACCTCATCCCCACTTCCAGGTGGCGAGTGTGGAACCCTGTATTAAGGAAGACATTAAGGAAGCTATAAGGAGAAGTGCAACTTCCCCGTGGGGACCACGGAACGAAGGACACGAGAAACGGCATTGAGAGAGCCTTGTGTCAATTATATTTATCTGAACACATATCTACCACGCCTTCCTCCTCCTATTTTTCCCACGACAACGACACCGTGAGGTGGATTGGGCCGAAAGAGAGGGACTGGCCCACAGTCACCCCACTGGATTTCAGGGCTTAGTATTAGTACTCACGGTCCCCCATTTTCCAGCCTGGTGCCCTGAACCATTAAACCAGGCGTGTCAAACTCTATTTCATTGAGGGCCGCCTCAGGGTTGTATTTGACCTCGGGTGGCCAGGTGGGTTGGGTGGGCATGGCCAGCTTGATGTCACTCATGTCGGAGGGCACCGCCCTGCAGTGGCCCAGCATGCATGAACTCGTCACCTGCTGCCAGCATGCAGTGAAACGGGCTCTCCCGGCTGCAACGCCCCCTGCAACCGTCTGCCAGAGAAAATGGAGCCCGGGAGGGCCACCCGCGCCCCTCGCAAGCTCCGTTTTCGACTGTGACGTCTCCTGCAACCCTCTGCCAGCGAAAACGGAGCTCGCAAGGGCCACAGGCGGCCCTCCTGAGCTCTGTTTTCGCTGGCAGAGGCACTGCAGGCTGGTCCTTTGCTGTTCCCAGGATGGCCCCGTGGCCCAGATCTAAGCACCCCGGGGCCGGATGCTTAGACCAAACTGGGTAGGAGAAAACTAGATAAACTTGTAAGAAAAGTACTTCAAAGGTGATGCAACCTCCTGCAACTTTACCTGCATTTAATCTGAATAGAATAGAATAGAATAGAATAGAATAGAATAGAATGGAATGGAATGGAATGGAATGGAATGGAATGGAATGGAATGGAATGGAATGGAAATGAATGGGAATGGGAATATAATAAGAATAAAATAGGTATTTATCTGCTTTGATACAGAACAGAACAGAACAGAATTCTTTATTGGCCAAGTGTGATTAGACACACAAGGAATTTGTCTTTGATGCATATTGCTCTCAGTGTACATAAAAAACAAGATACATTCATCAAGAATCATAAGGTACAACACTTAATGATAGTCATAGGTACAAATAAGCAATCAGGAAACAACCAATATCAAGATAAATCGTAATATCACAGAGCCATTAGCCGTGATCACAAGGCGTATCCGCCAATTAAAAGCAGGACTGGGGATTTAGCTTTTAAACTTCTGTATAGTATTCTTTCTCCCATTGCGGTACCCCCCCCAAAATAAATAAATAAATAAAACGATTTTTAAAAAATCCCACTTTAACAATTGTGAACTGACGCTCTGTAATTATTTCCATTTCAAAAACTTGTTCCTCCATAAAAATCTGTCCTCTAGGGGACATTAACATTTTCATCTGTCCTTGGACTTATCAAAAAAAACAGCAGCGACCTCTTAGGAAATTAAAAATATAAAAAAACCAATGACTTGACAGAAGCCAGCCTCAAGCGTCTTACCCAACAACTCACAAGGATTTCACAATGGACAAAACCATTAGCCACGTTTTCCGGTGAGAAGCCGTCTTAATCAGATTTTTTAAAAACCAAGGCAAATGTTTTGGGGACAATGATAACCTTTTTGCTGTTTTGGAAAAAACATGTAGCAATATCTTGGTATTAAGACATTGATAATTTTCTCCTCAGAAGTCCTTGTTCTCTTATGATTCTTGGAAGTACATTCTCCAAAGCACCAGAGGGCAGGACAAGAAGTAATGAGTGGAAGCGAGACCCAACCTAGAACTAAGAAGAAATTTCCTGACAGTGAGAACAATTAACCAGTGGGACAGGGTGAAATGCTCCCGGTTTGGTAGCGATGGAGGCGAGTGGTTCGGAGAACCGGTAGCAAAAATCCCTGCCCCCCAACACCATGCCCAGCTGAGCAGCGTAATCATCAGAGGCTTTTTATTTTGTTTTTAAAAGCATTTTTTTTTACAAGCTCTTCGGCCGAAAAAATGCTTTTAAAAGTGAAAAAAAAAGCCTCTGCCGATCAGGCAAGTCAGCTGAGATCGTCAGAGGCTTTTAAAAAAAAGAAAAGCCACTGCCAATCAGGCAAGTCAGCTGGGATCGTCAAAGGCTTTAAAAAAAAGGAAAAGCCTCTGCCCATCAGGCAAGTCAGCTGGGATCGTCAGAGGCTTTTAAAAAAAAGAAAAGCCTCTGCCCATCAGGCAAGTCAGCTGGGATCGTCAGAGGCTTTTAAAAAAAAGAAAAGCCTCTGCCCATCAGGCAAGTCAGCTGGGATCGTCAGAGGCTTTTTTAAAAAAAGAAAAGCCTCTGCCCATCAGGCAAGTCAGCTGGGAATCGTCAGAGGCTTTGAAAAGCATTTTTTTACAACCTCTTCCGCCAAAGAGGTTGTAGAAAAAATGGTTTTTAAAAGTTAAAAAAAAAAAAGTTGGCCACTCAGTCATTTTATACCCCCCCACACCAAGCCACGCCCACAGAACTGGTAGTAACAAATTTTACATTTCACCACTGCAGTGGGACCAGTTTGCCTTCTGCAGTTGTGGATAACCATCACTGGAGGTTTTCATGCACATGCGCCAATCGGCTGGCCTTGTGTGAGTGCGGGAGTACTGGAAACCGGAAGAGCTGGTCTTCCGTTTTCTGGTGTAAGCATGCATACCGGCAAGCTGATCGGTGCGTACGCATGTGCAGCAGTAACCGGAAAACTTGCTGGCTGCTGCGCATGTGTGGGGGCCGGAACCCGGAAGTACCTTACTTCCCGGATGCCCCCTGGTCAGTTCCTCTTCCTGGTCGCAGCCCTGAAGAGATTGTGCAGAGCACGAAGCGCAAGTGTGCAAAGTACTCCCTTTTCGGCACTTAGTGTCCTCCGCGCGCGCCCCTTTTCGGCACTCGATGCCGAAAAAGTTCGCCATCACTGGTCAGGGGTGTCAAATTCAATTTCTTTGAGGGCTGCATCAGGATTGTGTTTGACTTTGGGGGGCCGGGGTGGGGGGGCGTGGCCAGCTTAAGGTCACTTGTGTCGGGGGCGCCTGTGGGTCGGGGGTGCCTGTGGTGGCCTAAGCGAAAAAGCCTTTTTTTCTGAAGCTCGATTTCAGAGGCAGAAAAAAAAAAAAGCAAGTTACAGAGCTCACAACCAACGAACCTGTTGCTAAAATTCACCTCTAGGAACAACTGATTTGGGGGTATTCTGAGAGACCGATCCACCCACCAATCAGCTTTTTTCTTCTTTTCCTCCCCAAAAAACTAAGGCGCGTCTTATACTCCGTTGCGTCTTATACACCGAAAAATACGGTAGTTTGGGTCATGAAATGTTTGCAAGAAAGCAAGCAAGCTCAGAGGATACCAAGAACTTGTCATTAAAAAAAAAAAAAACCATACAAAACTTCGGAGTGGCATATGGTTTACGTGTGGCTATTCTAGGCTGCTTGAAGCAACATCTCTGCAGCCGGAGGACTCACCTGGGGGCAAAGGCAGACACATCCCCTGGCTGCCTGCAGAATCCGACACATGATATGGAACACCACGGCCTCATTTGCTTTCTCTGGTTGCCTGCTGTACAAAAATAATAATAATAATAATAATAATAATAATAATAATAATAATAATAATAATAAATAATAATAATACAAGGACGTGAATGTGCAAATGTTGCACAGCGGTAGGCAGCGAGCCGGTCCTGCCCCTTACAATGGGTTATCCTGCTTCATAAATCATATTCCCTTGAAGTTCTTCGGCAGAGGGAGGAAGGAAGCAGGAGACCCGATGGTGCGTCACACGGTCAGCCAGATGTTCAAACCTCCAGTGATGGAGCCCCCACAACTTCTGGAAGCAAGCCATCCCACTGATTGATTCTTCTCACTAGGAAGTTTCTCCTTAATTCCAATTCTCTCCTGAATTGGTTTCCACCCGTTGCTTCTTGTCCTGCCCCTCAGGTGCTTTGGAGAATAGGTGGACTCCCTCTTCTTTGTGGCAGCCCCTGAGATATTGGAACACTGCTATCGTGTCTCCCCTAGTCCTTATTTTCACTAGACTAGACTAGACTCAAATTACTACAACCATTCTTTATATGTTTTAATCTCTAGGCCTTGAATCACCTGAGTTGCTTTTCCCTGCGCTCTTTCTAGGGCAGGGGTCAGCAACCTGCGGCTCTGGAGCTGCATGCGGCTCTTTGGGCCCTCTGCTGTGGCTCCCGGTCAGGTGATCCCACCACTGGCTGGCTCCGCCTCTCGTCCTCCCCTCCCACTCACATCCTTGCCTGGCCTGAGGTAAGGATGGATGGCGGGGGATGGAGAAGCGGCCGGAGACAGAGAGATACAGAGAGAGTGGGGGAGAGAGAGACATAGAGCGACACAGAGAGGGGGGGAGAGAGGGGGGAGGGAGGGAGAAGGGGACGGAGAAAGAGATGTCAAAAGGGTTTTGTGGTTCCCGGTGTTTTTTAACAACTGGTTCTCTGCCCTAATGACCGGCTGGGTAGGCGTGGCTGGGGGGGACGGGTCATGTGACTGGTGGAAGTGAGTGACGTCGAGTTGGCCACGCCCACCCAGGTTTTGTGGCTCCCGGTGTTTTCTTTTCTGTGGGAAACAGGCCCAAATGGCTCTTTGAGTGTTTAAGGTTGCAGACCTTACGTCGTGGTGACGACATAAAACATGGCTGCCAAGCATCCAAAATGCAAACAGGGATGACTGCAGGAGCGACCATGGGGGTCTTGAATCTTTTAAGCAGCCTTGGAGAGCTCTATTTATCTATTTCTATCTATTTATTTTAATTGGTTGACCTCAGCTTTATTATATTTTTTTACAAATAACACATCCCAGCACACTTTCTTCCTCCTAATTTCCACACAACAACAACCCTGTGAGGCGAAATTGGCAGAGAGAGAGAGAGAAAGAGAGAGAGGGACTGATTCAAAGTTACTCAGCCGGTTTTCACGGCGAAGGCGGGACTTGAACTCAGGGTCTCCTGCTTTCTAGCCTGGTGCCTTAACCACTAGGCCAACAGGCTCTCAAAGTCTGTTGTAATTTCGAACGGTCCCTAAGCAATCGGACATAATTCAAGGACTACCTGTAGCAATTAGAGTGCCTAGCTTTGAGAACGGATTGTGGTTCCTTTGATTAGTTTCCATCCGCTGCTTCTTGTCCTGCCCTCAGGTGCTTTGGAGAATAGGGTGACCCCTTCTTCTTTGTGGCAGCCCCTCAAATACGGGAACACTGCTATTGTGTCACCCCCTAGTCAGTGTTGAAATCCTAATTTTTTTTTACTACCGTTTCTGTGGGCGTGGCTTGGTGGGCGTGGTGTGGCTTGGTGGGCGTGGCAGGGGAAGGATACTGCAAAATCCCCATTCCTTCCCCCCCCCACGGGGAAGGATATTGCAAAACCTCCATTCCCACCCCACTTTGGGGCCAGCCACAGGTGGTATTTGCCGGTTTCTCCGAACTGCTTAAAATTTCCGCAACCGGTTCGCCAGAACCTCTCAGAACCTGCTGGATTTCACTCCTGCCCCTAGTCCTTTCTCTCTCATTAAACTAGACATACCTAGTTCCAGGGGTGGGTTCTAAATTTTTTTACTACCGGTTCTGTGGCCGTGCTTATTTTGTGGGTGTGGCTTGGAGGTCATGTGACTAGGTGGGCGTGGCTAGCTGGTCAGAGTCATTTCTGGAAGGTCCTCGCACTTACGATCAGTCTTTGCACTTACGACCCGACTCATTTGTTTGCTTTTAACACTGATCAGCTGTAGGGCGGCCCTTTGAAGCCTCGTGGCAAGAGTTTAAACGTTTTTTTTCCCTCTAGTCATCAGCTGGGACTCAGGAGGCAGCAATAGATTGGGGGTGGGACCAAATAAAAGGTAAGAATAACGTGGGTGGGGGGGGAGAACCGGTTCAGTGACGTCATATCATCACCGCTACCGGCTCAGAGCCGACGACCGAACCGGGAGGAACCCACCACTGCCTAGTTCCCTCAATTGAACTTGATTTCTGGTGAGTATGCAGTTTTCTAGACAATCATTTGGAAGAAGTTGCCAACTGCCTTCTCCTAGTTTAGACCACAGGTAGTCCTCGAGTTACGACAGTTCCTTTAGTGACCGTTCGAAGTTACAACGGCACTGGGAAAAAAAATCACTTATGACGGTTTTTCACCTTTACGACTTTCGCAGCATTCTCATATAATCAGGTAATCAAAATTCAGATGCTTGGCAACTGATTCATGCTTATGACGGTTGCAGTGTCCCGGGGGTCATCTGAATCCCTTTTAACGACCCTTCTCTGACAAGCAAAGTCAACGGGAAGCCAAATTCACTTAGCAACCGTGTTGCTAACTTAGTGATTCACTAACAACTGTGGCAAGAAAGGTTGTAAAATGAGACAAAACTCACTGAACAAATGTCTCACTTCGTAAGAGAAATTTTGGGCTCAATTGTGGTCGTAAATTGAGGACTACTTGTACAAACCTAATAATCTTGGGGTTCCCCATTTAATTTCTAGCCAGTCTCAATTTGTTATGCTTTGGGGGCCAAATATGAGAACCGGGTGCTATGAGTTGCTAATATTCAACATGTAATAATAAACTTTTAAGTCGTGATTATGGTTCTTTCATCAAGAAGTCTATTAATGTGCGATGTAACGGATTTGCCATTCCTGCTTCTGCCCCTCATTTTTATCCTTAAATATCTTATGAAAATTAACTGCTTACAATGAGAAGGCCAAGGAGCTAGGACTGTATTTCCTCCAAACATTCTCCATCATCCGACAGATTAGGCCCAGCTGCAAATATATAGAGAAAAAAGAATGTATCTGAATCAGGGGCGGGCTTCAAAAATTTTAGCGAGGGGTTCTCTGCCTGGTTGCTGAGTGGGTGTGCCATGGTGGGCGTGGCCTAGTTGGCGTCCTGCACTACGGCATGGGTAGGTATTTTTGCCCTCCCCGGGCTCCAGAGGCCGGAAATGTCCTGTTTGCTGACTTCCGGTGGGACAGGAAGGCCCAAAAATCAGCTGTGTGCGCCGGAGCTGAGCTAGGGCAACACTTGTGTGCCCACTGATATGGCTCCGCGTGCCACAGGTTTGCCATCACAGCCCTATTCCAAAACCTGAAGAAAAACACAGGTCAACACAAACACACACATTTATTGCAGTCTCTCCCCTTTTTTCTCCTCCTACTATTCACTGGGCTCTTGATTCCTCCAGCCACTCAAAACTGTCCCAACATGACCTTAACCATGGTTAGAAAATGGTTAGGCATCCACTCCATAGTTGGATGCGACACTATTCAATGCAGTAGGCCAGTAGGATGCGACATGGCACGCGTGTGTCACTTTGGGCACGCATGCCATAGGTTCACCATCACGGCAGTAGGCTATACTAGATGATATTCCAGAAAATCTTAAGATGCCCGTCTGGAAAAATGCTATAGTTGGCTTTCCAAAAAGACACAAAATGGCGTTCTTGAAAAATGCTAGCTGGCTTTCGGGAAACCGCTAAACGACATTCCGGGAAAATGTTAGATGGCTTTCTGGAAAACAGCTAAATGACGTTCTGGAAAAAGCTAGATGGCTTTCCAGAAAAACGCTAATTTGCTTTCCAGAAAGAAACAAAAACTAGATGATTTTGCAGAAAATCGCCAGATGACTTTTCAGGAAATGAAACATCAAAAGCGTTTGCTCTGGAAATTATGAATAACTTGCCTTTTAACTCTGTTTAGCTCCTGTGAAAATCCAAACACACAAACACTTCTTGGAGTTAAATAGAGGTAAGGAATTTGCAACCGTTCCCTCTCTCTTTCTCTTTCTTTTTTGAAGCAAACACACAGCCTATTCTCCTATCGTTTTGAGAAGCGGAAATGAATGAAAACTTTAATATAAGCCAAAAATAGGCACATTACTGTTAAAAACAAAACCCCAGCTTCTATGAGGCGTGGCCACGCCCTCTTTGGATCCTCAACAGTGGTGAAATCCAATTTTTTTTACTACCGGTTCTGTGGGCATGGCTTGGTGGGCGTGGCAGGGGAAGGATACTGCAAAACCCCATTCCCTCCCCACTCTTGGGGGAAGGATACTGCAAAATCCCCATTCCCTCCCCACTCCAGGGGAAGGATACTGCAAAATCCCCAATCCCATTCCTCCCCACTCCAGGGGAAGGATACTGCAAAATCCCCATTCCCTCCCCACTCCAGGGGAAGGATACTGCAAAATCCCCATTCCCTCCCCCTTCATGGGGGAAGGATACTGCAAAATCCCCATTCCTTCCCCACTCCAGGGGAAGGATACTGCAAAATCCCCATTCCCTCTCCACTCCTGGGGGAAGGATACTGCAAAATCCCCATTCCCTCCCCCCCACTCCAGGGGAAGGATATTGCAAAATCCCCATTCCCTCCCCCTTTCATGGGGGAAGGATACTGCAAAATCCCCATTCCTTCCCCCCACTCCAGGGGAAGGATACTGCAAAATCCCCATCCCTCTCCACTCCTGGGGAAGGATACTGCAAAATCCCCATTCCCCCCCACTCCAGGGGAAGGATATTGCAAAATCCCCATTCCCACCCCCCTCTGGGGTCAGCCAGAGGTGGTATTTGCCAGTTCTCCAAACTGCTCAAAATTTCCGCTATCGGTTCTCCAGAACATGTCAGAACCTGCTGGATTTCACCCCTGCCTCAACACCTCGCTTTCCCAAAAGATTGGCCAATTTGATGCAAGATTTTCCAAAAAATTTAATTTTTTTAACAAAAAGAAACCTACCAGTTTTGAAACATAATCCACAGCTATCTGATCAATCTTTTTTTTGCCAATGTACTGCAGTGGTCTCAGGAGATGCTCTTTCAGTTGTGCCACCATCTGTAAAAAAAATAAAAAAAAAGTGCCAATAAAGGAGAATATTTGTAGCTTGGGGTTAAAATGAGGGTGCTCCTTGATGCTCTCTGTTTTCTTGCTGATACTGATGCTGTTACCTAGTATGGCAACAAAACGTCTACAAGGAAACAACCAAGCTCACCAAGAGAACACCGAGGACCCCTCGTAAAAATATGTGAACAACTAAAATTAAAATATTCTGACTTATAATACATTGCAGAAAATAAGCATAAATCTCATGCATAATCTTAGGACCGCAAGCAAAGTGCCACAGAATCGTATTACTTCCGCTATCAAGAAGGAATCTTGTGAGTTGGAAACCGTAGGACAACGGAGGAATTTTCTGCACAATAAAAAGTGTGCGTAAATCACAATATCTGTTCCAGAGAGCAAAAGGCTGGAACTTCAGTTGCTAAGGATGTCTCAGATAGCAAGGAAGGATCAGTGGCTTTTCTGTTCACCGATCATTAAAAAAAAACACACCTATTTTTCTATTCAGTGGGTTCTTTTTTAGCCAACCGTTGTCAAAATATCACAATCCAGTTCGGAGATGGTTAAAACTGCCCTAATGTTAAATGGCGAGAGCTGGCCAACTTTCACTGATCTTGAAAAGACTGAATGCAGTTGGTTCCAGTTAATACTTGGAATAGAGACATTGAGAATTCTCTCGATCTGTTAAACTGGAAAGCCAAAAAAATATATTTCGGCAGGATGCGATGCAAGCTACTTCCACCCTGTGGCCAAGATAACTCACATGCTCATGACATCATCAAAAGTTGAACTTGCTGAGCAAAACTTCACCTTTTAAATTGGCTAAGCAGGCACTTTCCGCTTGAAAAGCTGGTGAACATTTCTGTATATCCTGTTTCTCCGAAAATAAGACTCAACCGGAAAAATAAATCCTAACATGATTTTTCAGGATGCTCGTAATATAAGCCCTACCCCCAAAATAAACCCCAGTTAAGATTGCATTTAGTACTGTATTCCCCCCCCCAAAATAAGACCTAACCGGAAAATAAGCCCTTGTTAGGAAATGAGTATTACCTATTTTGTTGGGTTGGCAATATATAAACCATCAATATAGCTTTAAGACTGCTGTATTGCATCATACTGTGTCCTGATTGGTTAGCTCTGTAGCCAATCTCCTTAAGAGGGAGCTAGAAACATGGTTTGTTTCTCTTTGCTGTTCTTGCTCTCTGATATCTCTGTATGCTACTGTTTGCAAATCCGGAAGAACTGTTTATTGTGAATGACTATGACGACTGGTAAGAAGACTTGTTATTGGATTATCCCTGGACTGTCGTTTTGCTATCTCCTGCTTTATATGTGTATGACCTGGACTGTGCCTTACTATTTCCTGAAAGTAAACACAATTCAGTGTATCTGTGTGTTGACTGTGTTTTATTTGTACCTACTCTCAATCGCTTTCATGTGCACACCCTTGCTATTCAAGGGTTACTTTGAGAATTCCTTAACAGCCCTAATGCGTCTTTTGGAGCAAACATTAATATAAGACTTGGTCTTTATTTTCGGGGGAATAGGGTAGCTGTTTTGCCAATGAAGGGAAACAGTAGCTGATCAAGGAATAACAGAATAATAGGGTTGGAAGGGGCCTTGGAGGTCTTCTAGACTGACCCCCCTGTTCAAACAGGAGACCCTATACCATTTCAGACAAATGGTTGTCCAATCTCTTCTTAAAAACTTCCAGTGTTGGGGCATTCACTTCTCGAGGCAAGTTGTTCCACTGATTAATTGTTCTAATTGTCAGGAAATTTCTCCTTAGTTCTAGGTTGCTTCTCTCCTGGATTAGTTTCCACCCATTGCTTCTTCTCCTGCCCTCAGGAGCTTTGGAGAATAGCTTGACTCCCTCTTCTTTGTGCAGCCCCCTGAGATATCGGAAGACTGCTCTCATGTCTCCCTTAATCGTTCTTTTCATTAAACTAGACATACCCAGTTCCCGCAACTGTTCTTTCCTATGTTTTAGCCTTTAATCCCCTAATCATCTTTGTTGCGCTTCTATTAAAGAATAATATTTATATTTTCTGGTTACCCTTACAGCATTGAAGATTTTCTACTGTCAAGTCAAGAATGCACCCACCAGTCCTGTTAGCAAGCTTTGCTGATAATCTTCGTCTTGAAAAAGAGGAGCTGTTCTTTCTTCTGAAAGTAAAAGAGAGAGAGGGAGGAAGGGAAGGAGGAGGGGGAGAGAAGAGAGGGGGGGAGGGGAGAGAGAGGGAGGAAGAGAGAAGGGGGAAGAGAAAGCAGGGGAAGGGGAGGGGGGAAAGAGGGAGGGAGAGGGAGAGAAGGGAAGAGGGAGAGGAGAGGAGGGGGAGAGAGGGGAAGGGAAGGGGAGGAGGAAAGGGGAGAGAGGGGAGGGAGGGGAAGAGAGAGAAAGAGGGGGAGAGGGGGAAGGAAGGGGAGAAGGAAGGAAGTTAGGGCAAGAGAGAGACAGAGAGGGAGGGAAGGGGAGGGGAAGTGGGAGAGAGGGAGAGAAGGAGGGAGGAAGAGAGAGAAAGAGGGAGAGAGGGGAGAGATGGAAGGAAGGGGAGAGGGAAGGAAGGAAGAGTGTGTGAGAGAGGGAGGAAGGGGAGGGGAAGTGGGAGAAGGAGGGGGGAAAGAGAAAGAGGGAGAGAGGAGGGTAGAGAGAGGGAGGGAAGGGGAAGTAGGAGAGAAGGCGGGAGGGAAGGAAGGAAGGGCAAGAGAGAGAGGGAGGAAAGGGGAGGGGAAGTAGGAGAGAAGGAGGGAGAGCAAGAAAGAGAGAGGGAGGGAAGGGGAGGGAAAGGGAGAGGGAAGGAAAGAGAGAAAGGGGAAAAGGGAGGGGAGAGAGAGGGGAGAGGGAGGAGGAGGGAGAGAGAAGGAGAGAAAAAGAGGGAAGGGGAGGAGAAGGGAAGTGGGAGAGAAGGAGAGGAGGAGAGAGAGAAAAGAGGGAGAGAGGGAGAGAGAGAGAGGGAGGGAGAGGGGGAGAAGAAAGTCAAACAGCCAGTTTAGAGGACATATGCTACATTTCAATGTTGTTTTGCAAACAGAAGTCACTTCTTAATTTCTTCTCAGTGCCATTCCAAACATTTCGACATGTTCTGATTACCCGCAATGCAACAACAGAGATTAGAGATTTCACAACAGGTTTCAATTGACATCCATCTTAATGGGAGATGCAGAAGGAAATGAACAATGCATACACAAGGTTCTCAGGTTACGACCGCTCGTTCAGCGACCCTTCAAAACTTGCAACAGCACTCGCGGGGGATTTTACGACAGGTCCTCCGAGTTCTGACCATTGCAGCATCCCTTCGGGGACATGATGGAGATTCGCAGGTCGGATCACAGTTATGTCGTTGCGACAAGGTGTGGTACCTGCCAGCTTTCCGCAGGTAAAGTCAAGGTGGAAGCTGGCAGGTATTGGAAAGTCAGGGTCGTGTGATCTCTTCACTTAACAACCCGCACAATCCTGGCTTAAGGATGTCAACTGGGGTTGCTGTCGCTGAGCAACACAGTCCTGAGATGTCGTATTTTACAACCGTGTCAGTTAGAGATGGCCGTTCCGGTCCGAATTGCCGTCATAACCCAAGGACTACCTGAAATTCGTTTTAAATATTTCCACCGAATAACAGATTGAAGCACAATAAACACAACACCCTGGTGGCACAGTGGTTAGAATGCGGTATTGCAGGCTAATTCTGCTGCCGACCGCCAGTGGTTCGATCCTGACCGGCTCAAGGTTGACTCAGCTTTCCATCCTTCCGAGGTCGGTAAAATGAGGACCCAGATTGTTGGGGGCAAGAGGCTGACACTGTAAACCGCTTAGAGAGAGCGGTAAAGCACTGTGAAGCGGTAAATAAGTCTAAGTAGTGCTATCTATTCCTTCCTCCTTCCTCCTCCTTCCTTCCTTCCTTCCTTCCTTCTTTCCTTCCTTCCTTCCTTCCCCCCCTCCCTCCCTCCCTTTCTCATTCTCCTTCCTGGTGGCGCAGAAGTTAGTATGCAGTATTGCAGGCAAACTCTGCCTACAGCCAGGAGTTCGATCTTGACCGGCTCAACGTTGACTTAGCCTTTCATCCTTCCAAGGTCGGTAAAATGAGGACCCAGATTGTTGGGGGCAATAGGCTGACTCTGTAAACCGCTTAGAGAGAGCGATAAAGCACTGTGAAGCGGTATATAAGTCTAAGTACTATTCTATTCCTTCCTTCCTTCCTTCCTTCCTTCCTTCCTTCCTTCCTTCCTTCCCTTCCTTCCTTCCTCCCCCCTCCTCCCTCCCTCCCTCCCTCCCTTTCTCATTCTCCTTCCTGGTGGCGCAGAAGTTAGTATGCAGTATTGCAGGCAAACTCTGCCTACAGCCAGGAGTTCGATCTTGACCGGCTCAACGTTGACTTAGCCTTTCATCCTTCCAAGGTCGGTAAAATGAGGACCCAGATTGTTGGGGGCAATAGGCTGACTCTGTAAACCGCTTAGAGAGAGCGGTAAAGCACTGTGAAGCGGTATATAAGTCTAAGTACTATTCTATTCCTTCCTTCTTCCTTCCTTCCTTCCTTCCTTCCTTCCTTCCTTCCTTCCTTCCTTCCTCCCTCCCTCCCTCCCTCCCTCCCTCCCTTTCTCATTCTCCTTCCTGGTGGCACAGAAGTTAGTATGCAGTATTGCAGGCAAACTCTGCCTACAGCCAGGAGTTCGATCTTGACCGGCTCAAGGTTGACTCAGCTTTCCATCCTTCCAAGGTCGGTAAAATGAGGACCCAGATTGTTGGGGGCAATAGGCTGACTCTGTACACCGCTTAGAGAGAGCGATAAAGCACTGTGAAGCGGTATATAAGTCTAAGTACTATTCTATTCCTTCCTTCCTTCCTTCCTTCCTTCCTTCTTCCTTCCTTCCTTCCTTCCTTCCTTCCTTCCTCCCTCCCTCCCTCCCTCCCTCCTCCCCCTCCCTTTCTCATTCTCCTTCCTGGTGGCGCAGAAGTTAGTATGCAGTATTGCAGGCAAACTCTGCCTACAGCCAGGAGTTCGATCCTGACCAGCTCAACGTTGACTTAGCCTTTCATCCTTCCGAGGTCGGTAAAATGAGGACGCAGATTGTTGGGGGCAATAGGCTGACTCTGTAAACCGCTTAGAGAGAGCAGTAAAGCATTGTGAAGCGGTATATAAGTCTAAGTGCTATTGCTATTTTCCTTCCTTCCTTCCTTCCTTCCCTTCCTTCCTTCCTTCCTTCCTTCCTTCCTCCCTCCCTCCCTCCCTCCCTTTCTCATTCTCCTTCCTGGTGGCGCAGAAGTTAGTATGCAGTATTGCAGGCAAACTCTGCCTACAGCCAGGAGTTCGATCCTGACCGGCTCAACGTTGACTCAGCTTTCCATCCTTCCGAGGTCGGTAAAATGAGGACCCAGATTGTTGGGGGCAATAGGCTGACTCTGTAAAACCGCTTAGAGAGAGTGGTAAAGCATTGTGAAGCGGTATATAAGTCTAAGTACTATTCTATTCCTTCCTTCCTTCCTTCCTTCCTTCCTTCCTTCCTTCCTTCCTCCCCCCTCCCTCCCTTTCTCATTCTCCTTCCTGGTGGCGCAGAAGTTAGTATGCAGTATTGCAGGCAAACTCTGCCTACAGCCAGGAGTTCGATCCTGACCAGCTCAACGTTGACTTAGCCTTTCATCCTTCCGAGGTCGGTAAAATGAGGACGCAGATTGTTGGGGGCAATATGCTGACACTGTAAACCGCTTAGAGAGAGCGGTAAAGCACTGTGAAGCGATATATAAGTCTAAGTACTATTTCTATTCCTTCCTTCCTTCCTTCCTTCCTTCCTTCCTTCATTCCCTCCCTCCCTCCCTCCCTTTTCTCATTCTCCTTCCTGGTGGCACAGAAGTTAGTATGCAGTATTGCAGGCAAACTCTGCCTACAGCCAGGAGTTCGATCTTGACCGGCTCAAGGTTGACTCAGCTTTCCATCCTTCCAAGGTCGGTAAAATGAGGACCCAGATTGTTGGGGGCAATAGGCTGACTCTGTAAAACCGCTTAGAGAGAGTGGTAAAGCACTGTGAAGCGGTATATAAGTCTAAGTACTATTCTATTCCTTCCTTCCTTCCTTCCTTCCTTCCTTCCTTCCTTCCTTCCTTCCTCCCTCCCTCCCCCCTCCCTCCCTCCCTTTCCTCATTCTCCTTCCTGGTGGCGCAGAAGTTAGTATGCAGTATTGCAGCAAACTCTGCCTACAGCCAGGAGTTCGATCCTGACCAGCTCAACGTTGACTTAGCCTTTCATCCTTCCGAGGTCGGTAAAATGAGGACGCAGATTGTTGGGGGCAATATGCTGACACTGTAAACCGCTTAGAGAGAGCGGTAAAGCACTATGAAGCGGTATATAAGTCTAAGTGCTATTGCTATTCCTTCCTTCCTTCCTTCCTTCCTTCCTTCCTTCCTTCCTCCCTCCCTCCCTCCCTCCCTCCCTCCCTCCCTCCCTCCCTTTCTCATTCTCCTTCCTGTGGCGCAGAAGTTAGTATGCAGTATTGCAGGCAAACTCTGCCTACAGCCAGGAGTTCGATCCTGACCGGCTCAACGTTGACTCAGCTTTCCATCCTTCCGAGGTCGGTAAAATGAGGACCCAGATTGTTGGGGGCAATAGGCTGACTCTGTAAACCGCTTAGAGAGAGTGGTAAAGCATTGTGAAGCGGTATATAAGTCTAAGTACTATTCTATCCTCCTTCCTTCCTTCCTTCCTTCCTTCCTTCCTTCCTTCCTCCCTCCCTCCCTCCCTTTCTCATTCTCCTTCCTGGTGGCGCAGAAGTTAGTATGCAGTATTGCAGGCAAACTCTGCCTACAGCCAGGAGTTCGATCCTGACCAGCTCAACGTTGACTTAGCCTTTCATCCTTCCGAGGGTCGGTAAAATGAGGACGCAGATTGTTGGGGGCAATAGGCTGACTCTGTAAACCGCTTAGAGAGAGCGATAAAGCACTGTGAACGGTATATAAGTCTAAGTGCTATTGCTATTCCTTCCTTCCTCCTTCCTTCCTTCCTCCTCCTTCCTTCCTTCCTTCCTTCCTCCTCCCTCCCTCCCTCCCTCCCTCCCTCCCTCCCTTTCTTATTCTCCTTCCTGGTGGCGCAGAAGTTAGTATGCAGTATTGCAGGCAAACTCTGCCTACAGCCAGGAGTTCGATCCTGACCGGCTCAACGTTGACTCAGCTTTCCATCCTTCCGAGGTCGGTAAAATGAGGACCCAGAGATGTTGGGGCAATAGGCTGACTCTGTAAACCGCTTAGAGAGAGCAGTAAAGCATTGTGAAGCGGTATATAAGTCTAAGTACTATTCTATTCCTTCCTTCCTTCCTTCCTTCCTTCCTTCCTTCCTTCCTCCCTCCCTCCCTCCCTTCTCATTCTCCTTCCTGGTGGCGCAGAAGTTAGTATGCAGTAATGCAGGCAAACTCTGCCTACAGCCAGGATTCGATCTTGACCGGCCTCAACGTTGACTCAGCCTTCCATCCTTCCAAGGTCGGTAAAATGAGGACCCAGATTGTTGGGGCAATAGGCTGACTCTGTAAACCGCTTAGAGAGAGCGATAAAGCACTGTGAAGCGGTATAATAACTAAATGCTATTGCTATTCCTTCCTTCCTTCCTTCCTTCCTTCCTTCTTCCTTCCTTCCTTCCTTCCTTCCTTCCTTCCTTCCTTCCTTCCTTCCTTCCTTCCTTCCTCCCTCCCTTTCTCATTCTCCTTCCTGGTGGCGCAGAAGTCAGTATGCAGTATTGCAGGCAAACTCTGCCTACAGCCAGGAGTTCGTTCGATCCTGACCGGCTCAAGGTTGACTTAACCTTCCATCCTCCAAGGTGGGTAAAATGAGGACCCAGATTGTTGGGGGACAATAGGCTGACTCTGTAAACCACTTAGAGAGAGCGGTAAAGCACTGTGAAGCGGTATATAAGTCTAAGTGCTATTGCTATTGCTATCCTTTTAAAAAAAACAACTATTAAAAATACACATAAGATATACCGGCATGTGTACACACAAGACGCATATTTATAAACGTATCTTTGCCTTTTTTCATTACGTTAATATAACATAATGTGTCTGATTTTGGTGTTATAGCCAAACATTATGTTATAGTTTTGATCTATTTCCACTTCTCAAAGTGGTAGATATTATATGAATTATAACAGCACTTGGAAGAAACTAAGAATTTGTTCATATGCTGCGCTCGTATGTATAAACATATAAGGCAATATGTATAAACATATAACTTCCTGAAAATCGGTATCTTGATGTTCACAACATGTGCCACAGCCACTTCCAATCTACAAGACCCGTAAATAAACCACAGTTTATCTATATAAGCCACCAGCAACCACAGGAAGCAGCTTCTCTACAAGCGTATACAAAACAATATGGTTAATCAAGATACGTTCAGCTGCTGTCCTACAAAGTCCAAAAAAGGAGCAGCCATATTCAAGGAACTTTTTTTTCCCTCACCACAAGTCAGGAACAACAAAGTCACAGAATTTGTGGAATGTCCTTTCCCTGTTTTTGAAGTTGACATTTATAAGTTACAGATGGTACAAACTCTCTGAAGAAGAAAAGAAGGGATGCTGCCTTAGAAGAACATCTACTCTTATCTGAAGAGAGATCTAAGTGAGCAAAAGACTTCACTTCCTTAAGCAAAACGACTATCATATTCCGTGTTTCACCTCACCGAATTTACTAGTTGAACTAGACAGGTTAATGTATGGATTTAGTTGGAAGGGACCTTGTAGGTCATCTAGAGTCTCAACATCTTTTTATATAGTGTGGTGACCAAATCTGGATGCAGTACTCTAGGTGTGGTCTTACTAAGGCTTTACAGAGTGGTATTAGTACCTCACGTGATTTTGATTGAATCTCTCTGGTAAGGCAATTTAGGATTGCTTTTTTGGCTGCTGCTGCACACTGTTGGCTTGTATTGAATTGGTTGTCCACTAAGTCTCCAAGATCTTTCTCACAGTTACTGCTATTAAGCCTGGTTTCTCCAATCTATGTGTGTCAACTCGCAAAGCATCCCTGGCCTGCTCTCGAGTTGCAATAGGCAAGGGGTATGGGAAAACAGTGAAGCAGCACAGCAGCCAAAAAACAAAAGCACATTCCAGACATATCTCTCTCAAGGCTGTCTCCCAGGGTTACCTATAGCGGTCTGAGGGGAGTGATCTCTAAAACTCACGGAATTGCTCCGTTGGTGAATGTGACTGATGACATACCCTGGAAGGAGGGGGGAAAACAGGGTCAAGCCTGAGCCGTAAATTACGTGGGGTCAGAGTTGGCTTCATTTGAAACGACATGAAGCTCCTAATAAATAACTGGATTTCTTTTGAAGCTTGGCTCAAGGCTCATGATTTAATTAGGGCATCCATCGGAACCCTGACAATGTGTACTTTTGGTTGTTCTTGCCTAAGTGTAAGACTTTACTTTTCTCTACACTGAAGTCTTACACTTATCTTGAGTTCAGCCTTATCTCAACAACACTCATCAGCAACTTTATTAATCCTGTAGGATTCACATTATGGTCAAGGTAGGAAAACACAACAGGAAGGAGGAATCTAATCAGTCCAAGGATTAGATGACCCTCAGCATGTTCCTCTTGGACTAAATGAAGCCAAGACTGTATCTTCCTTCTGCCCAAAATAATGTGGCCCAAATTTCACCCATTCAACCCCTAAATCCTGCTTCCTCTACAGCAGTGGTCAAAATTGTGGAAGCCTTTTGGGAAAAGTGTATTTTCTAAAACTAGCTAATAACACCACTGTGTTTTGGAGTAGTACCATAAAATTATATATCAACGGAAAGATAATTTAATCAAGAATGTAATGCAATAACTTTTATGGAGGATTTGCTATTAGAATACCAGTCACAATATAAAGAAGAAAAGTGAAACACGTAGAAAAAAACGAGATATACAAAAATTATCACCATAGAAAAAATGAGATATACAGAAATGATCCCCATGTCAGTTCATACTTAGTTGGGTAACCTTTAGCATGAATGACGGCCTTACAACGTCTTCCCATGGAGTGAACCAAGTCTTTTAGTTCTGCAGCTCAGTGGTGGGTATCTATTTTTCTTTTTACTACCGGTTCTGTGGGCGTGACTTGGTGGACGTGGCTTGGTGGGTGTGGCAGGGGAAGGATGCTGTAAAATCTCCATTCCCTCCCGATCAGCTGGGACTTGGGAGGCAGAGAAGGGCAGGGCCAGTCAGAATTTTTACTACCGGTTCTCCGAACTACTCAAAATTTCCACTACCGGTTCTCCAGAAGTGGTCAGAAGCTGCTGAAACCCACCTCTGCTGCAGCTGTTATAATGTGAAACCAAGATTGAAGGATGGCTTCTATTAACTGGGTTTTATTGCTGAGTCGCTTCTGACTAACAAGTTTCTTTAGTCGGCTCCATAGATTTTCAATTGGGTTAAGGTCTGGGCTATTCCCAGGGCCATTCCAGCAGTGGAATAGGATTATCTTGAAACTCCAAAAAAAAAAAAAGTGGTATTATTAGCCATCAAACCTCAAAAATACACTTTTCCCCAAAGGCTTCCACAATTTTGGCCACTACTGTACAACATCTACCAGTGTGGAGAAGGATACGATTCCTTCATCCTATGATGCTGAGGGAAGATATCTGCAACCAGATACTTTAAAGATTTCTGGAGAAAAGGAGAGTTAAGAAATCTACGGACCTCCAGAGACTGTGAAGCAATGGCCCTCAGCATTGCCATAATAAAGGATGATGCTATTTACAGCCTTTTGAGATCAAAAAAAACACTCATCTTACCTGTTTCCCACATATGTAAACTGGAAAGTACCCTAGAAGAAAAGAAGCAACGTTTCTTAACAGCTTCAGTGGAGGAAGACTTTAAAAAGCCAACATGTTCTGACTTAGGCTTCCCCAGCAGAACGAAGCTGAGTCCTCGTCCCAATAAACCCCTTTTATTTAATTCACAGTGAATTCCTCTCCAGCAAAGTTTTTCCTCTCCCACAGTCTTTCAAGATAGTTCACAATCACCGACCTTCATCAGGCTTGGAGAGTGGCCAGGCCGATATCTTTCAGATGCCGCAATACTAGGCAAGAATGCAGGAATGAACTAATTGTCTCCTGCAAACTCCACTCCCCTTTCGCTCCTCTTTTATTCCCTCTGGGAGGGGCCGTTCATCGTCCACCTGTGGCTTTACTCCCAAGTCGACCCTTGTTCTTCAGCTGTTCCCTTCGTCTGGCAACTCTGTGCATGCACACCCTGGGAACAGGCTCCAGCTGTTGGTCTGCCTCACTGATATCCGACTCCGAAGGCAGCTGATAATTGTCAGACGGCCCTGGCCCCATCTCTGCCTCAGACGCAGAGCCCTTGTCTGAGCCTTCCCCAGACTCCAGGACTGGCCCATGTTCCTCCCCAACCTCCTCACTGTCCAAATCTGCTGCCAGATCTGCTGGCGGGCCACAACACTATGCACCCAAGAACTATACAGGTAGTCCTCGACTTACAACAGTTCATTTAATAACCATTCAAAGTTACCACACCGCTGAAAAAAGTGACATATGAGCTTTTTTTCAAACTTAGGACTGTTGTGGCATCCCCACGGTCATTTATCAGAATTCAGATGCTTGGCAACTGACTCATATTTATGACGGTTGCAGTGTCCCGGGGTCATGTGATCCCTTTTGCGACCTTCTGACAAGCCAAGTCAATGGGGGAAGCCAGATTCACTTAACAACCGGGTTCCTAACTTAGCAACTGTGAAGTGACACACTACACAACAGTGGCAAAAAAAGGTCGTAAAATGTGCAAAATTCTTAACAATGCGTCACTTAGCATAACATAAATTATGGGTTGAACTGTGGTCCTAGATCGAGGACTACCTGTACTTATTGGTTTGGATAATAAAACCCAATGCAAATGAAACTAGGACAGGAAGAATTAGTGGGGAAGATATTATCAGGCCTAGTGTATCTGGAACAGCTATCTATATTCTTCATGCATGTGGCTAGGAATATGGTTATGTGAAGGTTATGGAAGAGAAGGAGGAGGAGGAAGAGGAAGAGGAGGAGGAAGAAGAGGAAGATGATTTGCTTTTTAACATTTACCGTATTTTTCGGAGTATAAGACATACCTTTTTCCCCCAAAAAAGAGGGTGAAAATCTGGGTGCGTCTTATACTCCGAATGTAGCCCTGCCCAGCTTCTCAAACGGAGGTTTCAGAGGCTGAAAAAAGTATCAGAAATGGAGCTTCAGAAAAAAAAGCCTCCAAAACAGAGCTTCAGAAAAAAAGCCTCCAAAACAGAGCTTCAGAAAAAAAGCCTCAGAAACAAAGCTTCAGAGGCTTTTTTTCTGAAGCTCTGTTTCAGAGGCAGGAAAAAAAGTTTTTTCTGAAACAAGAGTTTCAGAAGTTTCAGAGGCAGAAAAAAAAGCAAAAAAGCAAAAAAAAAAAAAACAAGGCACAGAGCTCACAACCAAGGAACCTGTTGCTAAAATTCACCTCTGGGAACAGCTGATTGGGGGTGGGGGGGGGGGGGGGGAGATCCACCTGCCAATCAGCTTTTTTCTTATTTTCCTCCCCAAAAACTAAGGTGTGTCTTATACTCCGGTGTGTCTTATACTCTGAAAAATACGGTAATATCAAAACTCAAATCAAGCCATGTTTGGAAATTAGCCAAGCTGCTCTCAAAATATTGAATTAAATTTCGCGGGATATTCTGCCCAACGCAAACAAACATTCGGGATAAGTCCTTCGGACCCATGTTCCATATGCATATAAAATAGCATTTTTTAAATCCTGCAAGGCCAAGAACAGCTCCAAATTCCCCTAAGCAGTTTCTCGTGCCTCCATTCAAAACTGCTACTTCTCTAATATCCGTTGAGGTTCACGAACACTAATCAAATAATCAGTTGAAGTGATTGGTAGAGAAAGTAGAAACTGAGGATGGAAAACAGATCAGTTCAAAAAACAGGAGAGGCATGTGAAAGTCCTCTGACAGCCCCTTGATGTAGCCGATCGATGGACTTTTTAAGATGCTGAGGAATGAGATTTTCTGAATCCCTTCCAGAGAATATTGTGGTGCTTTGGGGATGTCATTTCATAATGGAGTTTTGAGAACTGTGGACAACGGATCCATTTAAAGCCATTAGATCTTGTAATGGCAAATATTGTTGTGGTCTGCCAGCAGCCTGAGGAGCTGGCAGCAGAGTCGGACAGCGAGGAGGCTGGGGTGGAACATGGGCGAATCCTGGAGTCTGGGGAAGGCCCGGACGAGGGCTCTGCATCGGAGGCAGAGATGGGGACAGGGCCATCTGGCAGTGATGCACGGACTCCGGAGCCCCCAGAGTCGGACAGCAGAGAGGCAGAGGAACAGGAAGAGCCTGTTCCTAGTGCATGCATGCGCAGAGCTGCCAGAAGGCAAGAGCAGCTAAAGCAAAAGGGACGACTCAGGAGTAAGGCCAGGAGATGATTGACCCTTCCCATAAGGCTTAAAAGAGAAACAAAGGCACTTGGGCCTTTTGCAGGAAAGCAACGTTGCTAACTCTGTTTCCAGTCGGCATCTCTTGTTTGTTCCTGAACTTCGTGGGGCTTTGCCAAGTAAAGCCTTTGGCAGGGTGTCAAAGAAGATAAAGGTTGATGATTATCCCGAAGGACTTCTTCCGAAGGACTTGTTTTGCAACTAATTGGGACTCAGCTGGGAATGAACGTAATTCTCAGCTATTACAATAAAATAGGTTTGTTTAGGACTAATTGTGTGTTGTAATGAGTCAGTAAGCCTAGGTCACAACAACTATCTTTCCTTTAATGAATGCCAGGAAGAGGATGGACTCACTTTTTCGTGTTTTCAAATATACTTTTGAGATAAGATGTTCTCGCTGCCGACTTCTGAAAGAAATTGTGAACAAGGTTACGCAAAATAGTCAATTTATTCACTCCATATTTAATAAAAACTACACTCCATAGACAGGTAGCCCTTGACTTGCAAACATTTGTTTATGAGCGTTCAAAGTTACAACAGCACAGAAAAAAGGGACTTATATGACCGGGTTTCACACTTACGACCGCTGCAGCATTCCCACATGATCAAAATTCAGATGCTTGGCAACTGACTGGTACTTACGAAGGTTGCAGTGTCCTGGGGTCATGTGATCACCTTTGCATGGCCTTCTGACAAACGAAGTCAATGGGAAGCCAGATTCCCTTAACGATTTGATTACTAACTTAAACAATTGCAGTGGTTCACTTAACAGCGGTGGCAGGAAAGGTCGTAAAATGGGGTGAAATTCACTGAGCAAAGGTCTCACTTAACAACGGAAATTATGGGCTCAATTGCGGCTGTAAGTGGTGGTAAATACCTGTATTACTCTTTACCTAAGGGTCAAGTAACGTTATTTCTCAAATTTACAATTTCACTCCCGAAAATTTTTTGTGCGTTGCAGCGCATTGCAAGATTTGCACTGGAGCAACAATAGTCTTCCTGAGATCCAGCCCAGTGATTTGAGGTAAATTTTTGTTTATTCAAACCCACAAGATCGTGTGAACCGTTGTACTCGTGTTTCCCTGAAAATAAGACTGGGTCTTATATTAATTTTTGTTTTGAAAGATGCGTTAGGGCTTATTTTCCAGGTACGTCCTATTTTCAGGGAAATACGGTACTAAAATGCGTCCATCTGACCATCTTAACTGGGGCTTATTTTTAAGGTAGGGCTTATATTACGAGCATTCTAAAGAATCATGCTAGGGTCTTATTTATTTATGAGCCACGGTGGCGCAGTGGTTAGAGTGCAGTACTGCAGGCTATTTCTGCTGATCACCAGCTGCAAGCGGTTTGGCAGTTCAAATCTCACCAGGCTCAAGGTTGACTCAGCCTTCCATCCTTCCAAGGTGGGTAAAATGAGGACCAAGATCGTTGAGGGCAATAGGCTGACTCTGTAAACTGCTTAGAGAGGACTGTAAAACACTGTGAAGCGGTATGTAAGTCTAAGTGCTATTGCTGTTATTTTCCAGGTGGGTCTTATTTTCGGGGAAAACAGGGTACCTGGCTTAATGAATCTGGAATAGCATCTACCCGCTCAACAAATTAAAAGCAGGAAGTCACTTACCTCATCGGAAAGCAGTTTATACCATTCCCTCTGCAGCACTTTGTGGCTGAAATGCAAAGGCGTTTCAATATATTTCACATATTCCAGGTTCACATTTAACTTTTCCCAGAAGCCTTTGAAGTTTCGCACCTCAAATCAGCAAATAAATGGGAGGAAAGAGAGAGAGGGTATTCGGTAAGAGTTATTTCCTCTTCAACATTATTAAACATGGTCTACAGGTCGTCCTTGACTTAGAACCATTCGTTCAGTGAATGTTAGAAGTTAAAGGTAAAGGTTCCCCTTGCACATATATGCTAGTTGTTTCCGACTCTAGGGGGCGGTGCTCATCTCCGTTTCAAAGCCGAAGAGCCAGCGCTGTCCGAAGACGTCTCCGTGGTCATGTGGCCGGCATGACTCAATGCCAAAGGCGCACGGAACACTGTTACCTTCCCACCAAAGATGGTCCCTATTTTTCTACTTGCATTTTTTACATGCTTTCGAACTGCTAGGTTGGCAGAAGCTGGGGCAAGTCACGGGAGCTCACCCCGTTATGCGGCACTAGGGATTCGAGCCGCTGAACTGCCGACCTTTCGATCGACAAGCTCAGTGTCTTAACCACTGAGCCACCACGTCCCTTGTTAGAAGTTACAACAGCACTAAAAAAGGTGACTTATGACCATTTTTCACACAACCGTCGCAGCATCCCTATGGCCTGGCAACTGACTCGTATTTATGACGGTTACAGCGTCCAAGGGTCATGTGGTCCCTTTTTGCGACCGTCTGACAAGCAAAGTCAACGGGGAAGCCAGATTCGCTTTACAACCATGTTACTAACTTGACAACTGCAATGATTCACTTAACAACGGTGGCAAGAAAGGTCATAAAATGGGGCAAAACTCACTCAGTGACAGAAAATCTGGGCTCAACTGTGGTCGTAACTCCAGGACTACCTGTATTGCCTTTAACTCATTTTTGACATGGATATCAGCGGGAGTGAAACTGCTGTTTTGTTGAAGCATTGTTTGTTGAGGCTGAGATTTAGGGGAGAATTATTTTTCAACATCTGTAACACCTGCTTTGCAGAGATGTGGATAACAAAGAACTAATAAAGTTTTAAAAAGTGTGATAAGTACAGTATCTAAAAGGAGCAGTGTTAAAGATGATTAAAATTTGAGGAGGAGGACTTGGCATTTAATTTATTTACTAGACTTATATTCCCATCTTCATTTTACGCAACTCAAGGTGTGAAAAATTGTGTCCGTACATGAAGGTCCAATGATACTGATTTGTTGCTAAAAACCTATGCATAGAAATCTTCTCAGCTAATGGTTAGCGCCTGCTAGGAATTAGATAAGTATCTACAAAATTCAAGGGGGAGTTGAACTACTTGGACTAGTTGGACACCTCAGGGGTGAAATCCAGCAGGTTCTGACAGGTTCTGGAGAACCGGTAGCAGAAAGTTTGAGCAGTTCGGAGAACCGGTAGTGGAAATTTTGAGTAGTTTGGAGAACCGGCAAATACCACCTCTGGCTGGCCCCAGAATGGGGTGGGAGTGGAGATTTTGCAATATCCTTCCCCTGGAGTGGGGAGGGAATGGAGACTTTGCAGTATCCTTCCCCTGCCACGCCCACCAAGCAACACCACACCCACAGAACCGGTAGTAAAAAAATTTGGATTTCACCACTGGGACACCTTATGATTCTTGACGAATGTCTCTTGTCTTTTTATGTACACTGAGAGCTTCTGCACCAGAGACAAATTCCTTGTGTGTCCAATCACACTTGGCCAATAAAAAATTCTATTCTATTCTATTTGTGGCTATGTAGGGATTCTAGGCTGATCTCTCTTTTGACTCCACCTTCCAGGTTCGGCCCACTGCTCCTCTTACAACATACAGAATGCATCACCTATCCCAGGGCCCACGGACCGTGGATTGGATGCGTCATGCGCAGGCCCACATCCACCCCAGCTCCGCAAAGGGAGAAAACGTCACGTGACGGCGACGTGACACACCAAGTTTGACACCCGTGATCTATCCATTCCATTTTACTGCATAGCGAAAGCTGATCACGTTTCACATTGCCCTTTTGAAATGACAAGTTTTTAACCGCACCCTTAGACAGCTGGCAGCTGCGACTACGCAATCTTTTTCTTTTAAAATCCAATTTCCTGTGCAGCACGACCGTCCCAGTTCTCCTCCAGTTATAACACCACCTGGGGTACTCAATTCCTTACAAATGTGAACATCCAGCAAAAATTGCAAACCAACCAGTTGCAAAAAAGTACTGGGCAACGGCAGACGAAGGAAAAGGGCGCCAGTATTCATTCTATGACAAATTCCTGCTCAGAAATCATCAGTCAACTGTTCCAAATTAATCTGTCTTCCTAAGTTAACTGGAACTGCTTTGTTGAATGCAGCTAGGATTGTCCCCATGTGTAAATGTTAAAGATGTGATGTCATGATGCTAGTTATAGAAGACGGCGTCGTTACTCCTTTGCAACAAATACTCCTCGTTTGATAGAACCATGTAGAAACAATGTACAGTAGGAGTGACCTCAACTGGTAATTTAAAAAAAAAAAAAACCAATTGCAAACTGTTTATAAGTCAAACTGGTTTCAAGCCATTTTCAATTCTGGTCTGGAACCAGGCAGTGGATAAGGCCTGGAGATTACCCCTAAAATAAGACATCCCCTGATAATAAGCCCAATCGGGCTTTTGAACGCATGCTGTAGAATAAACACCCCCCCCGAAAATAAGCCCTCCCTGAAAATATTTAAACGTATGTGCAGCTGGTCCCCGGCATTTCCTCTGGTTAGGGTTAGGGAGACAGAGCTGGAAATCAGGTAAGACGGCAAGAGGAGCTCCGTCTTGCTCCACGCGCCCCAAAATAATAAGGCCTCCCCGAAAATAAGGCCAAGCGCTTATTTCGGGGTTCAAAAAAAATATAAGACAGGGCCTTATTTTCAGGGAAACACGGTATTAAAACATATGAGGAACAATTGCAGGAATTGGGTATGGCTAGTCTAGAGAAAAGAAGGACTACAGGTGAGATGATAGCAGTGTTCTGATATCTCAAGGCCTGCCACAAAGGAGAGGGAGTCAAGCTATTCTCCAAAGCCCCTGAGGGCAGGACAAGAAGCAATGGGTGGAAATTAACCAAGGAGAGAAGCAACCTGGAATTAAGGAGAAACTTCCTAACAGTGAAGACAATTAACCAGTGGAACAGCTTGCCTTCAGAAGTTGTGGATGCTCCATCACTGGAGGTTTCTAAGAAGAGACTGGACAGCCACTTGTCTGAAATTGTATAGGGCTCTGATGGCGAACCTATGGCAGGTATGCCAGAGGGGGCATGCAGAGTCCTCTCTGTGGGCAAGCACACCGTTGCCAGCCGCTCTTCTGATCTCCCGCGCGCTGTTCACCATCATTGGTATAGGGACACCTGCTTGAACAGGGGGTTTGTTCTGTCCCCAACCATACGCACACACACCAATAGACGTTCAAGAGTTAAAGACCAAACCAGCCGGCAAAATCCTTTCCCTTATGATAATGGAACTTGGCAACAACCTAGTGGCTGCCTGCCAAGAGTTTATTATTTACGAAGAGGAGAGATAACTCTCCCCACTTCTGGTACATCAAAAGAAACAGCTGAATAATTACGGAGTCAATCAAGTCCAGAGATAATCCAGCAAAGTCTATAGCAAAGGTCCGGCAATGCAGAATGGCATGGAAGCTTTCAGCTTTGTTCGTCACAAGGTTTGACTGGCCACCACGCTCCCTTTTATATCCTGTGGGGTGTGGTCCAGTGACTCAGCCTAATCTCGGGCACACCTTTTCTTCTGTTGCGCGCGCTTATCTCTGCGACGCTGGCGTGGATCCAGCCAAGACTCATTACCCTCATCACTGTCCATCTGTGGCTGCGTGGACGTTCTTGGCCCCGGCCCTATCTCTTGCCCTTCGGCAGACACCAAAGACATTGCCAGAGAGGAGGGTCCTGGAGAGGGAGGCCTTGCCAACTCCTCTCCTTCACTCTCGGAGTCCTCTCCTGCCGATGACACAGGCTCAGGTAACAGAGCCACAACACTCGTATTTTTAGAAAGGTTGTAATATATATGTATGTATGTATGCGTGTATGTATGTATGTGTTGTGGCCTGTCAGCGGTCTGTGCGGATTGTAGCTGACTCTGACAGCAAGGAGGCTGGTGTGGTGTTGCACCAGCAGCAGGTGTAGCTGGCACTCGAGTCAGACAATGAGGAGGCTGGAGAAGATGTGGTGCCAGAGGCGGGGATTCAGCCAGGGCCTTCAGAACCTCCAGAAGCTCCTTTAAGTGAAGAGGATGAAGAGGAGGAGCCTCTTCTCAATGCACGGGCACACAGAGCGGCCAAAAGGCAGAAGTGGCTCCTCAGGAGGAGGTCTCCTCGAGAGCAAGACTTGGGGCTAATTGGCCACTCCCTTAGCCTATTTAAGGAGGAACACCAACTGAAGCAATTTGTAGGGAACAACTTTAGTTCACTCTACTTTGCGTCTGGATTCTCTACAAATACCATGTTTCCCCGAAAATGAGACCGGGTCTTATATTAATTTTTGCTCCAAAAGATGCATTAGGGCTTATTTTCTGGTTAGGTCTTATTTTGGGGGAAATACGGTACTAAATGCACCCATCTGGCTGACAATCTTAACTGGGTCTTATTTTGGGGGGTAGGGCTTATATTACCAGCATCCTGAAAAATCATGCTAGGGCTTATTTTCCGGTTGAGTCTTATTTTCAGGGAAACAGGGTATATACAAACACATGCACTCACATACACACACACACACACATACATACACCATGGATGGGTTTCACTTTCTTTTACCACCAGTTTGTTGCGCACGCCATCTGCACATGCGCCTGGCCTCGAAATCATGCCTAAATAAGTCAACTTAGAGCCGAGGCGATCTCCACTACCTTTTCACCCAAACCGGTCCAAACCAGCTGAATGCCATCTCTGATACACACATACGCACAAACACATTATAAACTGTAACAACTATATTATATATATTATATATTATGTATATGTACTGTATAGGCATATTATGATATATAACTATACTACATATTATGTATATGTATATGCATATTATGGTATATAACTATATTGTTACTATATTTTTATTATGCAGACTTACCTTTAAAGAGGGTAACGAGATAATGTACATTTTACACAGGATTCCAGGAATGTCCTACAAATGTGGGAATAACAAGCGTTAACTTTTCAGGCAAAATTCATCAATGGAACAGAATGGTTTAATTTAAGCTGAAGAACATCTGGCCTTCAAAGAGAGAATGACCTCACCTTCTAAACCTCCATTTCGGAGAAGCATGTTTCATAAAAAATCAATGAAAATATTTTTTTAACTGCCCCCACTTTTTTTTTTTTTTTACAGATACCAGGATATTATACCATGGTTATGACCATAAAAAGTCATACGCTGAAGATTCATGATGACCAAGGAGAATGTCTTTTGGGGTCATTCTTAAATGAGCCATTCTTATGTTCTTCTTATGTTCCATAAGCCATTCTTAAATAAGCCATTCTTCCATGAGCTGTTCTTATGTTATTCTTGTGTTCTTCTTCTTGTTGGCTCATTCTTAAATTCTGTGATTATTGGAATCACAGAATTGTAGGGGCAGAAGGGATCTTGAAGGTCTTCTACTCCAACCTGCAGGAGACCTTATTCAGGGGTAGCATTCAGAAATTTTAGCAACTGGTTCTCTGTCCAGTTGCTGGGTGGGCATGGCCATACTCAGCCTCCTGCACTGGGGGGGGGGGGGGCGCTGTTTTCGCCCTCCCCAGGCTCAGCAGACTTTCCTTGAGTCTCTGGGAGGGCAAAAACAGCCTCCTCCGGGCTCCAGAGGCCCTTCGGAGGACGGAAACAGGCCCATTTTTGGACTTCTGGTACTTCTGGTAGTCCTGTTTTTTGCCCTCCAAAGGCCCCTGAGGCTTGAGAAAAATGGTTTCCCCCGAGCTCTGGAAGGCCTCCGAAGGCCGGAAATGGGGCCGTTTCCGGACTTCTGGTAGGCCCTTTTTTCGCCCTCACAGAGCCTCCGCGTGGGCTCTGCATTTACCTGGCATCCAAAATGGGCCACGTGGAGACTCCTGGGAGGGGCAGGGTGGGAGGGGTCAGCCAGTCCTTGCCACTACCGGTTCGGCGAACCAGATAAAAATTAACATCCGATTCGCCCAAACCAGTCTGAACTGGCTGAATCCCACCCCTGACCTTATTTCATCCTGGACAAATGGTTGTCCAATCTCTTCTTAAAAATCCTCCAATGATGGATTTGTCCCACCATTTCTAGAGGCAAGCTCTTCCATTCCATGGATTAATTGTTCTGTCAGGAAGTTTCTCCTTAATTCCATAAGGAACCCAGATTTGTCTCTGAATTTAATGAAAGACCTCCCTCAATTCAGATTAGATCGTTAGAACATCTCTTACCTTCTTCCAGTTCAGCAGTGACGTGTATGGTAAGAGTTTATCCAGGTCGCTGGATTCCAGACACACTTTCCAGTGCAAAGAAGCTAAGAACGTAGAGACAAAAATAGGCTCTTGACTGCATCAAGTAAAATACTACACGTCTCTGTGAAAATTAGCAATACTCTTCGACATAGCTCTATTTGCAAGGGCATTCCACTGAATTCAGTAGAGTTTACCATCACTAAATAGGATTTATCTGGGATGCAGTGGCTCAGGGGCTAAGATGCTGAGCTTGTCGATTGAAAGGTCGGCAGTTCAGCGGTTCGAATCCTTTTTAGTGCTGTCGTGACTCTGGGACCATAATCCAGAGGTCGATGGATCGAAACCATCCTCTGCTACCATTCGCTGGAATTGGGATCGTAGAAACACCCAGGAGCATAGAAGAGTTCAGAGGCAGATGCATAAATAAATGTCTTAAACGTATTTATTCATATAATAAATCATATTAACTATGTACAACAGAGATCAAGTCTCATGAGGAACAAACATGAAAAGAGAGAGATGGAGAGAGCGCCAGAGCAACGATGAACGGTTGAAGGAACTGGGCATGGCTAGTCTACTGAAGAGAAGGACCAGGGAAGACAGGATAGCAGTGTTCCAATATTTGAGGGCTGCCACAGAGAGGAAGGGGTCAAGCTATTTTCCAAAGCACCTGAAGGTCAGACAAAGAATAATGGATGGAAACTAACCAAGGAGAGATTCAACCTAGAAATGAGGAGGAACTTTCTGACGGTGAGAACAATCAACTGATGGAACAGAAGTTGCTTTCAGAAGTTGTGGGAGCTTCATCACTTGACTTTCAAGAAAAGTTTGGACTGCCATTTGTCAGAAATTGTGTATGGTCTCCTGCTTGAGCGAGGGGTTGGTCTAGATGACCTATACGGTCCCTTCCAACTGTGTTAATCTGATCTGAGTCTTTACTTTTCAATAAGGAGTGTAAAAAAGAAACAAAAAACACCATGCCTATCACAATATAAAAATCAAGAACCTGCCACCAAAGCACTGTGACTAAAGAAGCAAGAAGAAGGGAGATGTTTATCTCCTGTCCAACTTTTCTTACTCTGATGTCCTTCTCATTTGGGAAATCAGAGTCAAAGTTGTGATTTATCGCAAGGGAAGTGGCATCGGGGTTTCTTATCTTTTCAAACATTGAATCACTCCACAAATTTCAAGAAAGCTCAATATTTCTTGCTTCTGAAAGAACTCCAGAGAATTTCTTTTTGAAGGGTTTCATCTGACTGGGAAAAACTTAGGTGCAGAGGTGGGATTCAGCCGGTTCGGACCGATTCGGGTAAACTGGTAGTTACAGCCAGCAGGTGTGAGCTCACATTTTCGATTCTGGGCGAACTGGTTGTTAAATTATGTGAAGCCCATCTCTGCTTAGGTGTAACCAGGGATGAAATCCAGCAGGTTCTGACAGGTTCTGACAGGAATTTTGAGTAGCTGGGTAGGGGAAATTTTGAGTAGTTTGGAGAACCAGCAAATACCACCTCTGGCTGGCCGCAGAGTGGGGTGGGAATGGAGATTTTGCAGTATACTTCCCCTGCCATGCCCACCAAGCCACACCCACCAAGTCACACCATGCCCACCAAGCCTCGCCCACAGGACTGGTAGTAAAAAAAAATTGGATTTCCCCACTGGGTATAACCATATTAGAACATATACTTAGTATGTCCAGTAGGAAAGATACATTCTGGATCAGAATATACCAGATCAGACAAAACAAATTTGTTTTGCAAGTAGGCCACTTCTGGAATCCAAACCAATTATTTTTTAAGAAGAAAAAAAAAATGCTGGACCATCTGCAAATTATTAAGATGAATGTGATCTCAAAAAGAAGAGGTAGACATTTTTACATGCTCCATATATACTTGTATTTCATAAGTAGAAATATAATGATCTCAGAGAACTTCCTAATTAGGTTGTTGAGACAAGCTCAGTGTCTTAGCCCCTGAGCCACCTAGTCAGGCAGTTTTAAGAGGTGTGTCAAAGGGCTACAATTAAATAACCCACTGCATGAGGAATAAGCAAACTATATGATCAAGGGAACCAAAATTTTTCTTGTTTTTCACCTTTGTGACAATGTAGAATAGTCTTTGTCCTAGCATATCCCACTGGGACCACATGAGATCATCGGCAATTCTCTCTTTCGAAAGCCGGCTCGAATTTTCAATCGTCTAAAAGGGAAGGAAATAAGCACAATTACAGGAGAGAAATAGTACAATGTGTTATGCCCCAGCTCCGGATTCCCAAGGATTGTGACACACACCAACAATCCTTATCAAAGTTATAATGTACCAAGAATAAACAAAGTCCGGCAAAGGTTGGCAACCAGCGCAGAAAACAAGATACAATAGGCACTCACTCTCAAAATGCTCTGTAATAATTACACGTTGTTTCCAGCAAGAAATTACTAACTGCCTGAGACTTAAATAGGCTAAGGGAGTGGCCAATTATCCTCAAACCTTACTCTCGAGGAGTAAGCTTACTCTCCTGAGTAGCCACTCCTGCCTTTTGGCAGCCCTGCGTGCTCGAGCATTGAGGAGAGGCTCCTCCACTTCGCTCTCTCCACTTGAGGAGCCTCTGGAGGTTCTGAAGGCCCAGGCTGAGTCTCTGCCTCTGGCACCACATCCTCTTCAGCCTCCTCGCTGTCTGATGCGAGCGCCGGCTGCGCCGGCTGCTGTCACAACCCCACACCAGCCTCCTCCTCGTCAGGATCAGCCACGATCTGCGCAGGCCACTGGCGGGCCACAACACAATGTCATGTAGAACAGGGGTCTCCAACCTTGGCAACTTTAAGACTTGTGGACTTTAACTCCCAGTGTTCCTCAGCCAGCAAATTCTGGGAGTTGAGGTCTACAAGTTTTAAAGTTGCCAAGGTTGGAGACCCCTGATGTGGAACACAGAATAAATATGGTTGGAAGGGACTTTGGAGATCTTCTAGTCCAACCTTCTGCTCAAAAAGGAAACTCTATTCCCAAGGTCATGTGATTCTCCCTTTTGCGACCTTTTCATAAGCAATGGGGGAAGCCAGATTCACTAAACAACCGGTTACTAACTTATCAACTGCAGTGATTCACTTAACAACGGAGGCAAGAAAGGTCGTAAAATGGGGCAAAACTTAACCAATGTCTCACTTAACAACGTAAAGTTTGGGCTCAATTATGGTCATAAATCAAGGACTTCCTGTAGATTAATTGGACAAGCGAGGCTCTTTGGCCTACCACGACAGGAATTGCAGCTCATCTGTATGATTTGTGGCCATCTCTCAACTGGCAACTTGTATTCTGACGGGAATAAGTTTTATTTTACCTTGTCATAATTCATCAAAAACCAGATCAGATTTCTGCCCAGGTAATTATTTTTTACACGATGGAAAAAAACTACATTTAGAACAAAACTTGGATATTTTTTCACTCTGCCCAATCTCATTTCAACCACAACAAAAAAAGCCCAAAAGGAAGAAAATTAAAACATACCACTCTGTCTCCTTCTCTGACAGTTCTGATGTCCAATTTTTCGGCATCTTAAGAAACGTAAATACAATATTAGGTGACAGATATCAAGGTACAGAGTAACAGGTATATCAAACATTATTTTAAAAATCTGTACATTTGGTCCATATTTGTTCGTTTCTGCTCTCGGGGTTCGAAGGGTGTTGTGAGAGAGGTCAAAAGGGCAAATAACATTTTTTTCCGGTCTTTTAATGACCCCGTAATCCCTTCAAATGGGGTGGAGTCAGGTCAATTGAATGGAGCTGAGTGTTTACTGACCGGATGCCCTTCCTGTTGCCAATGCGGAGTTCGCAGCAGATAGTTTCACATTGTGCAAAAGGCAAAGAACGTGTAGCGACAAAAATCTTGGATTAGATCAACTCAAATTTCAGAGGCAATCTTTGCTACTAATCATTGGACATAAACTGTTTCAACTCCTACCCTCAAAACAACGCTATAGAGCACTGCACACCAGAACAACTAGACACAAGAACAGTTTTTTCCTGTTCTGTCCCCGTCTCACACACGTACACAAACAGATAGCCAGGGGTTAAATAAAACTGGCGGACAACAAATTCTTTCGATAAGAGGATTGGCAGCAACCCAGTAGCTGCTTGCCAAGAACTTTACTCATAGAGGGAGGGGTTGTTCCTCCGGCAGATAAACCCAAACAAGATGCACACAGTTCAAGAATTGTCAAGTCCAGTCCGTATTAAATCCAAGGCAGATAACGTTGTTTCAAAGATACAATGTGACTCTCTAGTAGTTAGTTTTGTCCGTCACAGAGTCTGAATGGCCACCTCACCCCCTTTTATCCCCTGTGGGGTGTGGTCCAGTGACTCAGCTTAATCTCTGCCACGCCTCCTTTTCTGCTGCGTGCGCCTGTCTCTCCGACGCTGGCGTGGATCCAGCCAAGACTTATCTCCGTCACTGTCCGACTGCGAGGAGATACCTGGCTCCTGGCCAATCTCTTCTCCTTCGGGAGACACCTGAGGCATTGCCAGAGAGGAGGGTCCTGGAGAGGGAGGCCTGGCCAACTCCTCTCCTTCATGTTCGGAGCCTTCTCCCTCCGATAAATCGGCCTCGGGGGTCGGAGTCACAACATTTCCCAAACTCCATCACTCTGCTAAACAAATAATTCCCTCAACACTGTCAAACTAGTTACTAAATCTGCCTTACTATTAATCTTCTCATCGTTCCCATCGCCCATCTCCTCCCACTTATGACTGTATGACTGTAATCTTGTTGCTGGTATCCCAATAAAGAATTCTATTCTATTCTATTCTATTATTTGCATGACAGCATATATACAAGTGGGGTGCTGATGCTAGAATAGAATTTTTGGGGAGTCAATGGGGAAGCCAGATTCACTTAACAACCGTGGCAAGAAAGATCGTAAAATGGGGCAAGACTGACTTAACAAATGTCTCAATTAGCAACAATTTTCAGCTCAATTATGGTCGTAAGTTATACATCACAGTTTTAATGGATTCTCTTCCTGTATCTCCAGATAGGTAAGAATCAAGTTACTACAACTTTCTTAGATGTTAAGAAAACCTCTGAAATGGAAAGTAGGAAATGTATCCTGAATGTTATGACAAGCTTGTGCTTGCCTGTCACTTCTGCAGCCCCGTTCTGAATGGGCCGCAACCTGGATTGGGGACCTCTGTGTTATGCAATTGGATTTTTCAGGTTTTGGATAATATAATTGTTGTGGCCTGCCAGCAGCCAGAAGAGCTGGCAGCAGATTCGGACAGTGAGGAGGTTGGGGAGGAACGTGGGCCAATCCTGAAGTCTGGGGAAGGCTCGGACAAGGGCTCTGAGTCAGAGGCAGAGAGGGGGCCAAGGCTGTCTGGTAGTTCTTTGCTGCCTCCGGAGTCTGACATCAGCAAGGCAGAAGAACAGCGGGAGCCTGTTCCCAGTGTGCGCATACGCAGAGCTGCCAGGAGACAGGAACAATTAAGAAAACAGGGTCGACTTGGGAGTAAGGCTTGGAGATGATTGGCCCCTCCCATAAGACATAAAAGAGAAGCGAACAGGACATGAGCTTTTGCAGGAAGCAATTAATTCATCTGGTCAGTAAAAGATTTGGGAAAGTTCTGTTTGACTCTGTGTAAGTTTGGCCTTGCCCTGCATATGACAATTAGTTCTCTGGCAGCATTCCAAGGGAGATTAGGTGGGTGTTTGTAAACCCTCCCCTGAAAGATTGTTTGAGAAGCCTTTCGGACTGGGAATGACAATAATTCACAGCCATATGAATTAAAGAGGTTTGCCCGGACTAAGATTGTGCTGTACACTTTCTAAGGAAGCCTAGGACAGAACAATAATGATCTTACAACATTGGAAGGAGAAAGCTACACCTGATCTGCAGCAATGATGGATACCTGTCGTTTTACATTTTGAATTACAAATGCTGTAATTGTACAATTACTTTTGAATTCGAAATGTTGAATTACATTTTGTGGTTCAACAAAGAAGAAGTTTTTCAAGCAAGGTGGTTGAAATTTTTGCATTGCCCTGTTTAGAACTTAATCTCCCAAGCTTTTTATTTTTTTCAGGTTACGTTTGAATACTATCTGTGTATTATTGTTGTTGTTGTTGTTGTTGTTGTTGTTTATATTTATATACCACCCTTCTCCCGAAGGACTTGGGGTGGTGCACAGCCAACAGATAAAACACAAGAAATACAAAATTTAAAAACAGTATTAAAATCCAATTAAATTAATTTGGCCCATAATTAAAAGCACCCCTGCATTAAGACCCATAATTAAACAATTTAAAAATTAAAACAATTTAAAAGAGTTAGGCCAGCCCGGCTTGTTGAAATAAAAATGTCTTTAGGGCACGGCGAAAGGTGCGTAGATCCGGGATCCGCCGTATCTCCGGGGGCAGCTCTATATACAATACTCTATATCAGGGGTGTGAAACTCAAGGCCCGGGGCCCGGATGCAGCGAAGGACCGACCCATGGTGCCCCTGCCAGCGAAAACAGAGCTTGAGAGGGCCGTACATGGTCAAACTGGCCACACCCACTCTGGCCATGCCCCCCCCAGTCTGCCCAAGGCCAAACACAACCCTGATGCGGCCCTCAATGAAATTGAGTTTGACACCGCTGCTCTATATTGTATGCATATTTATTTTGGTTGATTCAGCAGAATACAATTGTTTGAAGAATTCATCCTATGTTACTCCTGCCCGTAAACCCTGTTACTCTGAATAAACGTGGAGAACACAAGGGGAACAACCTACAAGCAGCTTTTCCAATATGTAATTCTGATGTGTCTGTGTGTGTGTGTTGGTATTCCCTCTTGTCTTTTAACACATTAAACCTAGAACCTGCCAAGGAACCTGTCAATCAAAATGCAGAACTGAAAGCACTTACATTTATCTTCTGAAATGAGTAAGAGGCAGCTATCTGACGACTTTTTATCTGTAATCGGATATAGGAACTGAAAAAGAGAATTGTTCAGAGATTTTAAAAAATATTATGGTTTGCCACTGACATCACATATTTGTCTATAAATATGTGGGCAGCCCCACACATTTGAGGGGCTGTCCACAGATCAAGTCTCTCCACTATCTTGTTATTAATAACATTGCTGTTGTCTTCTAATCGTAGATTTCAACATTCTGATTTATGATTGTTTTCATTGCAAGCTGCCTAGAGTCACTGTATTGTGAGATGAGGCAACTATATAAATGAGATAATATTTTAAATACCTAGACTGAACAGCCAAGAAGCAGATGCAGACAGAGATAAAGATCCAAGAGAGGAATATGGGAGGCAAGTCAAAATAAGCATAGCAATTAAAGTTTTGAAGCGGACAAGAGACGATGGATAGATGATTTCTCGTTTCTGCTGTTCTGGTTTGCTTTCCCTTTTCTCTCTCTTTCTTTTCTTTTTTTAGTTAGGTGACATGATTAGAAATTAGGCAGGATAGAAAGAAAACGTCTTTTAATAAAGGGTGACATGATTAAAAGTTAGAATAAGAGATAGAAATAAGAGAAGGGGGAATATTAGTGTATACACTTTCATATAATTAAATAAAAGCAATAACAAGAGAAAGCATGGAATAATTGAATAATGACAGATTGCAGCTTAATATATTTATTTTTTTATTTTTATTTATTTTTATATGCCGCCCTTCTCCGGAGACTCAGGGCGGCTTACAATGCGTTAAGCAATAGCCTTCATACTTTTGTATATTTTATACAAAGTCAGCTTATTGCCCCCACAAACCGGGTCCTCATTTTACCCACCTTAGAAAGGATGGAAGGCTGAGTCGACCTTGAGCCTGGTGAGAATTGAACTCGTAGTAATTGCAGGCAGCTGGATGTTAAATGCTGCCTTAGTAGGAGGCATTAGCCTCCTACGCCACTCAGGCTCTCAGGCATCTTATAAATGTGTATCATTATTAGAAATATGTAAGTGGATTGAATGTAATAACTATGATTAATTCTATTAGTTTTATTTGCATTAGAATGTATGACATCCAGCTGCCAAACTGTTCACGCATTGATATGTTTGTTAAAAAATAAAAAGACCGAACGACATTATTATTAAAAGACAAGTCCCATTTGGGAGCCATATGTAGTACAGGTAGTCCTCGACTTACGACCACAATGGAGCCAACATTTCTGTTGCTAAGTGAGACATTTGCCCCATTTTATGACTTTTCTTGCCACAAGGATCACTGAAGTTCTGAAAATTAATAACATAGTTGTTAAGTGAGCCTGGCTTGTCAGATGGTCACAAAAAAGGATCACCTGACCCTGGGACACTGCAACCGTCATAAATACGAGTCAGTTGCTAAGCGTCTGAATTTTGATCACGTGACACTAGGGATGCCATAATGGTCGCAAGTGTGGGATATGGTCACGAGTCACTTTTTTCGGTGCAGTTGTAACTTTGAATGGTCACTAAACGAACTGTTGTATATCGAGGATTACCTGTACAAAGCCGCTTATTAGACTTAGTAATTTAAAAAAAAAAAAAAATTTACAATGCATTTAGTGCTTTCTAGCAATGTGCTACCATACAAATAATTTTAAGCCTGGAGGGAAAAGGTTAGTAAAATCACTTACTTGTACTCTGATGCAGCTATCCACAGCCTTTAAAACTTTCACGTTATTAAGCGGGTGAATTTCAATGAGCAAGGTCAGACATTTAGGAACTGGGATTAAAAAAAAACACAAAGAAGAGAATATTAATCCATAATTCAGTGGTTTATGAAGTTCATTTAAGAGTGTTTAGATCAAGGGAGTCAAATCTGACCCACGGGATACTTAGATCTCTTCCACGGGGCCACCCTAGAAACAGTGAAGGACTGGCTCGCGGTGCCTCTGCCAGTGAAAACAGACCTCTGGGGGGCCACGTGTGGCGCTCCTGAGCTCCATTTTCGCTGGCAGAGGGCTGCAGGAGGTTGTCGCAGCCAAAAACGGAGCTCAGGAGCTCGTTTTCTCTGGTAGATTGCTCGGGCCGCCACAGGCGCCCCCGACACGAGTGACATAGAGCTGGCCACGCCCACCCTGGCCACACCCACCCTGGTCCACTGAGGTCAAACACAACCCTGATGCGGCCCTCAATGAAATTGAGTTTGAGACCCCTGGTTTAGATAATTCCAGTACCTGTTTGAAAAAGGAACTTTTTCTCTTCCTGTGTTGTCTGAAGGAAACTGATGGCTATTTAAAAGAGAGAGAGAGAAAAAAGATATTGAAAATGTAAAGCATTGAATCACCATCAAAGCTGACACTAGCCAGAGCGTAGAACAACTCAAAGAAGTACGGTAAGATCCGAAGATACGGAGGGACCTGGTCCACAGAATTGCCAAGAATCGGAGACGACTGAACGGATAACATCATCGTCATCAAGTATTGAAAATTCAACCAGAGGTTTTATTGAGTGCAACGAAAGTCACCGTTCTGCAGAAAATGGAACCGTGGAAATCATGTAGGTCCAACTCTGCTAAGGGCCAGGATCCAAAACAGCACATCTGAGAGATGACCATCCAACCTCCGAGAGATGAGTTAAGGAGAACTCAACGCTACATATGGAGGCCTGTTCCATCGGTGGGCAATTTGCACAGTCAGGAAATTCTTCTTGAAGTTCAACCTGAACAATACAATTAAGGAAACTACGTATGTCTGGCCTAATAAAGAGAAGGATTAGGAGTGACATGATAGCCGTCTTCCAGTATTGGAGGGGCCATCACAGAGAAGAGAAGATTGACTTGTTCTCCAAAGCAGCAGAGGGCAGGGCAAGAAGTAACGGATGGAAAATCTCTCAAAGAGAGATCCAATCTAGAACTAAGGAGAAATTTCCTGACAGCAAGAACAGTTAATCAACAAAACAGCTTGCTTCCTCCATCACTGGAGGCTTTCAAAAATAGATCAGTCAACCGTTTGTCCAGGATGTCCCAAAGATGCTTTTTCAGGAGGCCGCTTGGCTTTCTGATTTTTCTTTGAAGACATTTCACTTCTCATCCAAGAAGCTTCTTCAGCTCTGACTGGATGGTGGGGAATGGAAAGATTTATATTCCTTGCAGACAGCTAGTCATTTGCATCCTTTTTAGAGAGTTGTTGAGGGCACTTGAAGGTTTGCCTGTGTCCTCAGGATCACCTGAATGGTGCAAAATGGGTGTGAAGCCTTCTTCGAACGGTTGAAAAGACTGTGTTGTAGACCGGAGATAGATGATGTCTGTCAACCTGCAAAGCTTTCAAGTTGCCATAAGCAGGAGGGAGGGAGAACTGATCAGAGCTGATTGATTTCCCTAACTGAAGCTACATTCCATACATTCTTCCTGACTGCAATCAGAAAGAGGGTGTTGGATTTCACAGCCAGCCAAAGTGGTTAATTGGAGAATGTGATTTATGACATGGCCAGGGAGGAGGGGAGAGACAGGGTCATAGGGGAACGTAAATCTACGTGGGATTAGTTCTAACAGCATCCGAATATTGCCGAAATGGTGCTCCTAATAAATGACTGTATTTCTTTTGGCTAATGGCTCATGAATTAATTAGGGCATCTTTCAGAAACTTCACAATGTCATTTATCTCCAGTCTACAACATAATCCTTTCACCCATTCCAAGAAGGCTCCATAGCTATTTGCATACTCAAGTGACTCTTGAGGACACAGATAAACCTCCGGTTGGCCTCAAGGACTCTCTAAGAGGATGCAAATGACCAGCTGTCTGCAAGGAGCTGTCTGCATTCCCCAACATTCAGTCAGAGCTGAAGAAGCTTCTTGGATGAGAAGCAAAATGTCTTCAAAGAAAAACAAGGAAGCCCAGTTGCCTCTTGAAAAAGCACCTTTGGGACAACCAGGACCTGAATGACTAAGAATTTCCACAGACATTTGACCAGGATGGTACAGGACAACATGCCTGGAGCAGGAGGATAGCTTAGAAGACCTTTGAGATCTCGTCCAGCCCTATGATTCTATGTTCTATATACCGTATTTTCCGGCGTATAAGACGACTTTTTAACACATGAAAATCTTCTCAAAAGTCGGGGGTCGTCTTATACGCCGGGTGTCGTTCTCCTGTAACCAGGCAGACCAGCCCGAAAGGCTCTGACGAGCCTTAAATGGCTCTGGCGATCCAAGCTCTGATGATCCCAGCTGAGTTGCCTGCTTATCAGGCAACTCAGCTTGGATCGCCAGAGCCATGTAAAAGGAAAAAAGTTTCCCCCCTCCAGCTTGCTTACCTTAGCTGCTAGTCGCAACGCTTGCCTTGCTTCGCTTGCCTGAATCCATTCCATCAGCAAGCCACTCCCTGCCTGTAATCAAGCAGGCAGGGAGTTGTGGACTTCAACTCCCAGAATTCCTCAGCCCGCAAAACAAAGCTGGCTGAGGAATTCTGGGAGTTGAAGTCTACAAGTCTTAAAGTTGCCAAGGTTGGAGACTCCTGTTCTATTGGGTAAGTTTTTTTCCCCTTTGGGAGCTTTAAAAAAAATAGTTAATTGGGGTTTTTTTTAGTTGTTCTTTTTTAGGCCTAGCCATTTAAAGTTTAGGAAGTTTTAAATTTAGCTTTCATATAAAAATAAATTAAAATAAAATAATATTTGTGCAGCTTTCTGAGATTTAGTGTGTTTCTATAGTGTTTCACCCTAACTACACAAACACACAAAATCTCACAAAGCTGTATGTGGAAGTTTGTGTGTGTAAAGTGTGAAAGTTGTTTTTTTGGGCTTTTTGTGACTGTGTGAGGTTCCTGCTTGTTGCAGGGGCCATTTGGGTCTAGCACAGCTGCTTTTACATTGTGGGTGAGCCAGTTGATGTTTTTTAATTTTTATTTGGTGTGCGTTGGAAGAGGGGTAGTCTTATACGGCGAGTATAGCCCAAACCCTATATTTTAACAGGAAAAGTCGGGGGGTCGTCTTATACGCCCAGTCGTCTTATACGCCGGAAAATACGGTATGTGGAAGAAAGCATCTTCTCCTTTCCATGTACGCTCCTCCTACAACTGTGTGATCCATGCCCAGATACAATTTGTTTAGAGGTTTTCCATTCTGATGGGAGTGTGTCAAGGTCAGGCAGTAGCTTAGATGCTCGAAGTCAAGTTGGGGCCCACCCTGAGCTCTAAAAACCTACTGGATAAACTGCACTCGAATCATCTTTAGGCCAACTGTCCCATGGCATGGATAAAATTGGGTTTTTTAAAATGAGATTTGGAAGGACAGAATACAAATCTAACTAACAAAAATGCATATAAGGGAAAGTTAACGTGAAGATCATGTGAAACCAAGGAGCCTGGTTTAGCTCAACAGACAGAAGCACTGTAATTTAACACCAGCTGTCCGCAATTAAAGTAAGATCGAATCTCTCCAAGGCTCAAGGTTGACTCAGCCTTCCATCCTTTCTAAGGTAGGTAAATTGAGGGCCCAGTTTGTGGGGGCAATAAGCTGACTTTGTATAAATATACAAAAGTATGAAGGCTATTGCTTAACGCACTGTAAGCCGCCCTGAGTCTCCAGAGAAGGGCGGCATATAAATCAAATTTAAAAAAAAAGTGAATTAATACCCATTTATAATGCCTTGGTAAGACCTTCACTTGGAATACTGCATTCAGTTTTGGTCACCACGATGTAAAAAAAGATGTGGAGACTCTAGAAAGAGTGCAGAGAAGAGCAACAAAGATGATTAGGGGGACTGGAGGCTAAAACATAGGAAGAACGGTTGCAGGAACTGGGTATGTCTAGTTTAATGAAAAGAAGGACTAGGGGAGACATGATAGCAGTCTTCCAATATCTCAGGGGCTGCCACAAAGAAGAGGGAGTCAAGCTGTTCTCTAAAGCGCCTGAGGGCAGGACAAGAAGCAATGGGTAGAAATTAATCAAGGAGAGAAGCAACTGAGAATTAAGAAGAAATTTCCTGACAGTGAGAACAATTAATCAGTGGAACAACTTGCCTCCAGAAGTTGTGAATGCTCCAACACTGGAAGTTTTTAAGAAGATGTTGGGTAACCATTTGTCTGAAGTGGTGTAGGGTTTCCTGCCTAAGCAGAGGGTTGGACTAGAAGACCTCCAAGGTCCCTTCCAACTCTGTCATTCTATTCTATTCCATTAACAGTGGAGAAGCAAGCGATCATTCCATGGCAAATTTCCAAACACCTGAAAAACTGAGTTATCTGAATTAGAAACGACAGCAAAAAGGGATTGTCGTGAAATTTGTCAACATCTGTTGTGGTCCGTTGGCAGCCTGCGGAGCTGGCAGTGGAGTCAGACAGCGATGAGGCTGAGGAAGAACATGGGCCAGTCCTGGAGGCTGGGGAATGCCCCGACGAGGGCTCTGTGTCGGAGGCAGAGATGGGGCCAGGGCCATCGGGGAGTGATGTGCGGACTTCGGAGCCTCCAGAGGCTGATAGTAGAGAGGCAGAGGAACAGGAGGAGCCTGTTCCTAGTGCATGTATGAGAAGAGCTGCCAGAAGGCAGGAGCAGCTAAAGCAGAGAGGACGACTCAGGAGTAGGGCCAGGAGATGATTGGCCCCTCCCATAAGGCTTAAAAGACCAGCAACGGCTCTTGGGCTCTTTGCTGGAAAACAGCCGTTGAGAGAATTGCTTCTTGTTTCACTGTATTCATTTCTAATCGGCGTCTTCTGCTTCTGAACTTTTGTCAAGAAAAGCCTTTGGCAGTTTGCCTAATTATCCCAAGGTCAGAGATAAACTAAAGACTGGTGTTTTGAGGACTTTGCTTTCATTTCATTTAGAATACGCTGAGAATGAGTTAATTCTCAGCTGTTTTAATAAAATCTGTTTGCTTTTTGGAACTGTTTGCATTTAATATCAACTACATGGGCCTGGGTCAGAAGAACATCGAAGGGGTCCATATCAACATGCAACACCCCTCAAACAGGACGACTTACCTAACAAGGTCTTTTCATGATTGACGGAGCAGCTGATCACCCGCAGGTCTTTTTCGAAAGTGTACAGGTGCTATTGAAAAAGAAATGGTGGTAACCATTTATGGTGGTTTTTGGTATCACCAAAATGGTGGTGTATTTATTACCTGTGGTAACCGGGGTTCCCAAATCAAGCTAAGCCACAAATTGCATCACACTTGGGTTTAGCTTAGTAAGAAGGTGTACAATTCAGGCACTGAGTTTTGTGAACAAGCTTAGCATTTTAGGTGAACCGATCAAACAAGGATGGTTCAGTAAACCCTAAGTAAACAAGGGTTTAGCAGGTGGTGTGAATACAGGTTTTGTGACTTGGTCTTTCTTTCTTTCTTTCTTTCTTTCTTTCTTTCTTTCTTTCTTTCTTTCTTTCTTTCTTTCTTTTTCTATGCACCAAGACAAATTCCTTGTGTGTCCAATCACACTAGGCCAATAAAAATTCTATTCTATTCTATTCTATTCTATTCTATTCTATTCACTCTACTCTACTCTACTCTACTCTACTCTACTCCTATTCTACTCTACTCTACTCTACTCTACTCTACTCCTATTCTATTCTATTCTATTCTATTCTATTCTATTCTATTCTATTCTATTCTATTCTATTCTATTCTATTCTATTCTTTGGTGATTCTTCTGGACACGACTTTACTCACCAAAGTACAACTCACCGAAGTCCTTGGAAAGTTTTTGGGCCTCAACATCTGAATTAGCAATCATTTTCCTGGCGTTTCCCTCACTTGATTGTAGATTCTGTTTGTTCTGTGCACTGAGCTTAACACAGATTTGGGCTGAGAGAGAGTGGCTGGCCCACAGTCATCCAGTTGGCTTCCACGCCCAAGGCAGGATTAAAACCTGGGTCCCCACTAATCCAGCACCCTAACCATTACACAGGTAGTCCTCGACTTACAACCATTCATTTAGTGATGGTTCAAAGTTACAACGGCATTAAAAAAAATGACTTATGCCCGTTTTTCACATTTACAATCATTACAGCATCTCTGCGGTCAGATGCTTGACTGCTGGTTTGTACTTATGACCGCTGCTGTGTCTCAAGGTCACGTGAGTCCCCTTTTACAACCTTCTCATGAGCAAGGGAAGCCAGATTCACTCAACAACCGGGTTACTAACTTATTCACTGCAGTGACTCACTTAACAACAGAGACAAGAAAGGTCGTTAAGATGGAGCAAAACTCACTTAACAAATGTCTCACTTAGCAACATAAATTGTGTGTGTGTTGCGGCATCATGTGAACAAAATCCGGACGTTTGGCAACCGGTTCATATTGATGACGGTTGCAGTGCGCCAGGGTCACGCGATTCGCTTTTGCGACCTTTGGACAAGCTAAGTCCACGGGGAAGCCAGATTCACTTCATTTCTGTTCCAGCAAGCCGGGCTGGCCTAATACGAATTTTATAATGGGTGTATGTGTGTTTTAATTTGTGGGCCAAATTATTTATATATTCGATTTTAATTGGTTTTAAATTTTGTAAATCTATGTGTTTTAATATGGCTGTACACCGCCCTGTGTCCTCCGGGAGAAGGGTGGTATAGAAATCTAATAAACTCTAACTCTAACCGTGTCACCAACAACTGCAGTGATAATCCCTTAACAACAGTGGCAAGATAAGCTGTAAAATGAGGCAAACCTCACTTAACAATGGTCTCACTTAACAACAGAAATTTAGGGCTCAACTCAGGGGTGAAATCCAGCAGGTTCTGACAGGTTCTGGAGAACCGGTAGCGGAAATTTTGAGCAGTTCGGAGAGCCTGGTGGCTCAGCAGACTGATAGCATTGTGATTAACACCAGCTGTCTGCAATTACTGTAAGTTCAAATCTCACCAGGCTCAAGGTTGACTCAGCCTTCCATCCTTTCTAAGGTAGGTAAACTGAGGACCCAGTTTGTGGGGGCAATAAGCTGACTTTGTATAAATATACAAAAGTATGAAGGCTATTGCTTAACGCATTGTAAGACGCCCTGAGTCTCCGGAGAAGGGCGGCATATAAATCAAATTTAAAAAAAACAAAAAACTGGCAAATACCACCTCTGGCTGGCTCCCGAGTGGGGTGGGAATGGAGATTTTGCAGTATCCTTCCCCTGCCACACCCACCAAGCCACGCCCACAGAACCGGTAGTAAAAAAATTTGGATTTCACCACTGGCTCAACTGTGGTCATAAGTCGAGGACTACCTGTAACAGGGTTCTCTCCTAAATTTGATACTATTGGCTGAATGTTATTATATTTAAATTTTGGTTCTAAGAAGAGATATACCGTACTTTTCGGAGTATAAGATGTACCTTTTTCCCCCCTAAAAGAGGGTGAAAATGTTGGTACGTCTTTTTGGCCCTGCGGGTCCCGTTTTCGCCAAAAACAGGCCCATTTTTCACAAAAAATGAGACGTGCAGAGGGTTTGGGAGGCCTCCAGATGTGAGGAGGCCAAAAACTATTTTTTTTTCTTGTTTTCCTCTTTGAAATCTTTGTGCGTCTTATACTCTGATGTGTTTTATAATCCAAAAAATACGGTATCTACTGCTATTTTTTTTTATGGTTTTGCTGTAAGTACTTATATAACCAGACCTCATGCTTGTTAATTTCATTGCAAAAGATACAATTTTCTTGGAAACAATCCCGCCTGGAACATTAAAGCCAACATTTGATCATCCAACTTCATTTAATCCTTACAGAAGTAAAATACAGCAAATAAGGCATACCTGGTTTTTTTTATTATCATCGTCGTACAATCCAACATTGGTGTACTCCTCAGGTCCCTGCAAAGAGAGAAAGTGAGCGTTAAATATTCATCTTTTAATACCATTTTAAATATTTACTCTCCGTTGCGAAAACACCTTTTCTGTCAAAACTTTTATTTTGGTGTTATCTACGGTCTGGGATATGCCTAAATTTAAATTTTGGTATCTATCGTTACAAAGGGCTAGAAAATTTGAGGCGACTTAATTCCTATATGTCAAGCTACTCTTGGTACATAAAAAAAAGACAGAGAAAAAATAATTAAGGATTTTTTTTTTCTTAATGAAAAAGTAAGATTACTAAAAAAAATAACAGAAAGCTTAGAATTCGATTTATGCTGTGGCATCTTTCAATCCTATGCTAAGAAAACCTCAGTTGGTTTTAATGCAATACTTCATTTCTGTTTGTCGCTTAGGGTTATTTGGACAGGGAGGGATAGTCACGTATGCGATAAGATGAAATAAAATAAAATAAAAATATAAAGTAAACTTCCCATCTCCTAAAGAAAAGTAGTGTGGAGGTATGGAGATCCATTCCTGATCGTCTTTTCATTCTGGTATCATTTATTTCATCCTTCATCTATGTCCCATCTCTTGTCACCTAGCAAAACTTATGATGGGAAATTAAAAACTCGCTAAGGTTGAAGGGACGCGGTGGCTCAGTGGCTAAGACGCCGAGTTTGTCAATCGAAAGGTCGGCAGTTCAGCGGTTCGAATCCCTAGTGCCACGTGACGGGGTGAGCTCCCGTTACTTGCCCCAGCTTCTGCCAACCTAGCAGTTCGAAAGCACGTAAAAAATGCAAGTAGAAAAATAGGGACCACCTTTGGTGGGAAGGTAATAGCGTTCCGTGCACCTTTGGCGTTTAGTCATGCTGGCCACATGACCACGGAGACGTCTTCAGACAGCTCTGGCTCTTCGGCTTTGAAACGGAGATGAGCACCGCCCCCTAGAGTCGGGAACGACTAGCACATATGTGCGAGGGGAACCTTTCCCTTTATTTCTCAAGTAAGAAACAAATTGGTCTTACCTTCCAAGTATAAAGAACGTTTCCATTTCTTTCCACATTTATTATAAGCGGCGTTTCCGAATGATTTCCCCAAGCATCTAAAAAAGGCAAGCATGAATGCATTTCTAAACTCATTCAAATGTAAAGGAAAGCCAATTTCTGAAAAGGATATGCAAACATGATATTAAGAGAGGAGCAGGCTGAATTGGAAGGCGGGGTTAAATGTGTCATTAGTTGGGAATCATTGCATAGCCACAAGAGACCGAAGTTCAGCTCCTCCATGAATTCTTATCTAGTGCCAATTTAACTCTGACCGTCAGTTGACCAGATTCTTCTCCATAGGTAGCAATACAGGTAGTCTTCAACTTACGACCACAATTGACCCCAAAATTTATGTTACTATTGCTTAGCGCATTGTAAAGCCGCCCTGAGTCTCCGGAGAAGGGCGGCATATAAATCAAATTTAAAAAAAAAAAAACACACTTGTTAAGTGAGTTCCCCCCCCCCATTTTACGATCTTTCTTGCCACAGTTGTTAAGTGAATCACTGCAGTGGTTAAGTTACTAACAGATTTGTTAAGTGAATCTGGCTCCCCCCGTTGATTTTGCTCGTCAGAAGGTCATGAAAGCAGATCACATGACCCCGAGAACACTGCGACCGTCATAAATATGAACCAGTTGCCATGCATCCAGTGACCAAGGGGATGCTGCAACGGTCGTAAGTGTGAAAAACTGTCACTTTTTTTTCAGTTGTCGCTTCGAACAGTCACTAAAAGAGAGCCAAGGTGGCGCAAGAGAGCCGAGGTGGCGCAGTGATTAGAGTGCAGTACTGCAGCTACTTCAGCTGACTGCTAGTTCAGCAGATCAGCGGATCAAATCTCACCGGCTCAAGGTTGACTCAGCCTTCCATCCTTCCGAGGTGGGTAAAATGAGGCCCCAGATTATTGGGGGCAATATGCTATTTAGTATACTGTCTTTGGTGTAAGCCGCCCAGAGTCCTCGGAGAGTGGGCGGCATAGAAATATGACTAATAAATAATAAAAATAAATAAAATAAAATAAATGAACTGTTGTAAGTCGAGAACTACCTCTAAGACACTCTTGCTATGCTTTGAACTCAACTCCGGGTTCTTTGCGCCTGACACAGATCATGTCTGCAGACCATTTGAATACAGTAAAAATAACTTTTTCCAGCTCTTTTCAGTGAGTTGATTAGGGAGGGAAGTCTCTGCATCATGAATAGGGTAACTGTTTGGTGGTCGCGTCTCCGAGTTGGCCGCACCTTAACATCACATGGATATTATTAACTTTTTGGAACAGCGAAAGATAAACTTTAGAACTTATCCCTCGGAAGGAATTGATCGATCACATGAATTTATTTGAAGAATCTTATGCGTCAAGGGTTCTGATCTTTTTTTTTTTTTAGTGCTTTGAATAAAACTGGCCGGGCCCTCATCTATTCTCTACCTCCCGAGTCCCAGCTGATCAGGAGGGAATGGGGATTTTGCAGTAACCTTCCCCTGGAGTGGGAAGGGAATAGAGATTTTATAGTATCCTTCCCCTGGAGTAGGGTGGGAATGGAGATTTTGCAGTATCCTTCCCCTGCCACACCCACCAAGCCATGCCATGCCCACCAAGCCACACCCCCCATGCCACACCCACCAAGCTACGCCCACCAAGCCATGCCATGCCCACCAAGCCACGCCCACAGAACCGGTAGTAAAAAATTTTGAATCCCACCACTCATACCTTACATATTACATTCTCTCATATTTTGGTTGAAAGCGTTTTCCAGATAATTGATCTGAGCATTTCACCTGATTAAGGGGGTTTAGTCAAAACCGTCTTAAAACGATACCCATCAGATACACGATAAAATCTATTATAAACAATACAACAAATGGCATTTTAATTGTTTCCTTATTTACAAAAATGTGCCGAGCTGTAAACCCAAGGAAAATTGCCTGTTTGGTGGAATACAGAGTAGTGGGTGCCATTTACTTGGGTTTGGTTTCAATCATTCAACGTATTTCATGGCAAACTGGGATGAATTGCAAAAAAAGTGGAAGGGTACCCATATTTTGGGGTACATCGGTGCATCCTTCAACTACGGTTGAACTTCAAAAAGATTAATGTAAATGTTAGTATCTTGATGAAAGGCCCCAAAACAGTGATGAAATCCAATTTTTTTTTACTACCGGGTCTGTGGGCATAGCTTGGTGGGGCGTGGCTTGGTGGGCGTGGCAGGGGAAGGATACTGCAAAATCTCCATTCCCACCCCACTCTGGAGTCAACCAGAGGTGGTATTTGCTGGTTCTCCGAACTACTCAAAATTTCCGCTACTGGTTCTCCAGAACCTGTCAGAACCTGCTGGATTTCATCCTTGTCCCAAAGACAAAAAGAGGGATTGTCTGACCTACCCAAACTATATCAAACTATTTCAGATCGATTCAAAAAAGATTGACAACAGTCAGTCTGCAAAACTGAGCAGACAGGAAAGAAATGATGATCTAAAACAGGTGTGAATGCACTAAAATCAAAGGTTGATAAAAAGTGTTTCAGAATTGGGATTGCATGCAAGTTTCTTGGCTTGGATGGACCTTTTACGGGCAATCCTCGATTTACGACCTCAACTGGGTCCACAATTGCAGTTGCTAAATGAGACTGTTAAGTGAATTTTGCCCCCTTTTACGACCTTCCTTGCCACAACTGTGAAGTGAATCACTGCTGTTGTTAAGGTGAAATATTTATACGATCCGAAGAGAAACCAGAGTTGCTACAGTTGTTAAGTGTACTACAGTCGTTAAGTTAGTAAGAAGGTCGTTAAATGAATCTGTCCTGCTCATTGGCTTTGCTTGTCGGAACGTCGCAAAAGGTGAACGCATGTCCCTGGGACACTGCGACCGTCACAAATATGAATCAGTTATCAAACGTTTGAATTTTGAGCACATGATCGATGGGATGTTGCAAAGGTTGCAACTATGAAAAATGTTCGTAAGTCACATTTTTCACTGTAACTTCGAATGGCCACTAAAGTGAACTGTTGTAAGTCGAGTATTCTACTAATGCAAGACCCATCAACTTTCTCCTACGTGGATCAAAACATCACATGCTCCAAAAGGGATGGAGCAGTTAAGAGCCTAGAGATACTCCCAACTTACTTGGGAGTAAGTTCATTCAGTAGGGCTGAGAAATAAAATTGGAGTATAGTAGCACTAATTACAATCATCACCTCCTTTTAATGACCCCATAACCCTTGCAGAGTGGAGTCTGGGCAACTGAATGGAGGAAAGCATTTACTGGCCGGATGCCTTTCTTGTCGCCAGTGCTGAATTTTATTCAGCAGATAAATTCTCATTATGCCCAGAGAGAGAGAAATATCGGCCTCTACCTAGGATCAAACTCGCAGCCTTCTGACTGTGAGGTGGGAGCTCCACCTCTAAGCCACCGCGCCACTCTCTAGCACTAATTACAATGAATGTGCTTAAAACTCATAGGCAATGTCCTTTGTAGAAAAGCTCTCCCAACAAATTTTGCCTTACCCAAGGAAACTAAAATTTATAACAGTAACAGAGTTGGAAGGGGCCTTGGAGGTCATTTAGTCCCACCCCCCTGCTAACGCAGGAGACTTATATTTGCAAAGTGCCCAAAACTTCTAACTTCGATGTTTGCATTGTAGAAATTCGAAATTTAACCGCAAGTAAATGCCGACTAATGTACAAGTATTCTTCCTTCAGGTCTGAGAAGAAAAAAAAAATTGCAAATATATAAATGTCAAATTGTGACATTCATACAGAGAGTGAAGGCTGGCCTACGTGATAGATGGTTAGTAGGAAGTAGGAATGAATAATGATTTCCTGCCGTCTCGTGTTTCAGTTCTAGCAGTTTTAAGCTCTCTTTTTCAATTATTAAACTACGAGATAACCTTATGTCACCTTTTAAGGAAGTTCCAATAACCAATCAAATAGCACTTTGTTATTATATATATATGTATATATGCAAAAAATTAAAATCTCGGGTGTTTTCCCGCGTCATTGTAAATAAGTAGTTAAAAATGTTTAAAATTCTGGTTAAAATCCCAGTTTAAAATCTTCTAAAAATCCTTACAGAGCACTCTGCAAGGTCCTTTAAAACCTCAGCTAAAATCCTACCAGTATCTTAAAAGTTTTTCTTTCTAGCAAACGTTTCGACAGGCTCACAACCCTGTCATCTTCAGGCTCTTGCTAGAAAGAAAAACTTTTAAGATACTGGTAGGATTTTAGCTAAGTTTTTAAAGGACCTTGCAGAGTGCTCTGTAAGGATTTTTAGAAGATTTTAAGCTGGAATTTTAACCAGAATTTTAAACATTTTTAACTAACTTATTTACAATGACGCGGGAAAACACCCAAGATTTTAATTTTTTGCATATGCACACCCGCGAAAACTTAAGAAGACATATATATATGTTGTCTGAGGTTTTCGCGGGTGTTTGTATGTAGGTCTTTGGTTATTCGGGTTTTCTCCCGCGTAAAATTGGAGGTTTCTTGGCAATGTTTCGACAAGTCTCATTCGTCATCTTCAGGCTGGTGTCTTCGGCTTCATGCTTCTAGGATTGGGTGGAGGTGTGTTCTGATTGGTTGGGGTTTTGGCTGTGTTCTGATTGGATGGGGGGTTGGCTGTGCTCTGATTGGATGGGTGTGTGTTCTGTTTGGGTGGGGGCTTGGTTGTGCACCCAATCAGAACACAGCCAAGCTCCCACCCAATCAGTTCACACCCCCACTGGCAGTTAAAAGGAAGAAACAGCTGTGATCACACACATTGCTCCTAGAAGCACGAAGCCGAAGACACCAGCCTGAAGATGACGAATGAGACTTCGTCGAAACGTTGCCAAGAAACCTCCAATTTTACGCGGGAGAAAACCCGAATAACCAAAGACACACACACACACACACACACACACACACACACACACACACATTCTTTCCTTTTTGTAGGCTTTATGTGTATTTCTCTTTAGCCAGGTTCTTCCTACGTAAACCAAGATCTTTCTGCAGCCCTAATTCAGTGAAATCCCAAACCACTAGTTTCTAGGCTTTTTTTCTCCAGCAGCCAGCAATCTTAGTCTCCTTAGTCTCCCAATGGGCAGCAGGGAGCTTGCTGGCTGCTGCAAAAAAATCCTAGAAACTAATGGATTGGGATTTCACTGAACTAGGGCTGCAGAAAAATCTTGGTTTACGTAGGAAGAACCTGGCTAAAGAGAAATACATTTTTTATTTATTTATTTATTTATTTATTTATTTATTTATTTATTTATTTATTTATTTATTTATTATTTGCAGGTAGTTTCAATCAGATATGTGAATAGTTTGAAAATATCCATTTTTCTTGGCACTGATCTTTACTAACGTTTAGTAACTGAGATACGATCCAGCCGAGACTCAAGCACTGTTTACATTTCCTTTCATTTCAAGGAGAAAGAGCAATGATTAACTTTGTTGAAGCCAGGCAGCCCAAAAAAAAAAAAAATCAGTTTCTCCAACTTCTCACCCTAGGAACTTCAACATCGAGGTTTCCTCCAGAATCCAGACCGTGCTTATTCTCCAATTCAATTAAATGACAATATAAAAAGCCAATGACCTTTGGCCAAATATTTATTTTATTTATTTATTTTCAATTTATATACCGCCTTTCTCCCTGAGGACTCAGGGCGGTGCACAGCCAGAATTAAAAACATGAAATACAAATATTAAAAACAATTAAAATCTATATAAATTTGGCCCAAAATTTAAAAAACCACAAACCAATTAAACATTTAAAAATTTTAAAAAATTTCTTCCTAAGCCAGGCTTGCTGGAAAAAGTGGGTTTTAAGGGCACGGCGTCTAAATAACCATGTCTAAATACATGGTTTAGAGGCCACAAATTTGAAAAAGCACAAAACCTGTTCTTAAAGAGTGGTGCAATCCTCACGAAAATCTACTCCTAATGGCTTTTTGAGATTTTAGTAATGGATTTCCTAATCCTGCAAGAAGGACGTGAGATTCTAATAAAAGAGAATATTTGTAGCTCAGAGGTGACATGAGGGGTCCTTGATGCTCTCTGAGCTTGCTTTTTTTTCTTGCAAACGTTTCATGACCCAACTAGATAACATCATCAGTGCTAGAAGGGGTTAGGTTTGTAGAGAGGAGGAGGAGGAGGAGGAGGAGGAGGAGGGGGAGGAGGAGGAGGAGAATGATTGTGGAGTCCTTGGCGCTCTCTGAGCTTGCTTCTTTTCTTGCAGACGTTTCATGACCCAATTAGGTAATATCATCAGTGCTAGTGGAATAAAGGACATGATTCTCTAGCCCACATTTTAAAAACATTGGGGACAGGGCCAAAATGAGGATTTTTGGTCTGTTTCTCAGCCACGCCATTCAAGGGCGCTGGTTGCAATCCTATCAGGGTGGATAAAAATCAATGATTTTTTTTTAAAAAAAATAAAATCAGATTTTTTTTTATTTAAATTGGATTTTTTTGATTTAAATCGGATTTTTTTGATTTTTATCAAATTTATTTTAATAAAAAACTTTGGGGGTAAAAATCTATCGTAAAATAGTTTTCTATTTAAGATACATAAATAATTTAGTTTATTCAGCATGAAATGGAGCTTAGTTATGTAGCATGAGGCTGTATATTCTGCAACACTGGGACTATCGGTGAGTCAACAGTGGGTCAAAGGAGTAGCAGAGATGACAGTTGCTCTTTAAAAATTATGATTTAAATCGAGTTGATTTAAATCAAGCCTTTTTACTAGTGATTTAAATCATGATTTAAATTGTGATTTAAATCAACTCGATTTAAATCAAATCCACCCTGAATCCTATACACACAGGCCTACCAGCAAGGAAGGGCATTGTAGACTCAACTTTGGGCTATTTATTTATTTAGCATATGACATAGAGTAGCCGGGTAATGGTATAGGTAGTCCTCAACTTACCACAGTTCATTTAGTGACCGTTGAAAGTTACAACAGCAATGAAAAAAAAGCAATTTATGTCAGTTTGCCAGCCAATGGTCACGTCATCAAAATTCAGCCTGACTCACATTTATGACGGTTGCAGTGTCCCGAAGTCACGTGATCCCCTTTTGCGGCCTTCTGACTAAGCAAAGTCAATGGGGAAGCCAGATTCGTTTAACAACTGATCCGCTTAACAACCGTTGACAAGAAAGTTCTTAAAACGGGGCAAAACTCACTTAACAACCGTCTCACTTAGCCACAGAGATGTTGCGCTCGATTGTAGTGGGAAGCTACCTACAATTACTACGATAACACCTGTGATGGAAAGACGTAGTCGATTTTTCTGAGGTAGGAGGAATTCAAAAAGTTACAAGTGGTAGTAGCTTACATTTTGAAATAAGTTGGTTGACGAGAATGGAATTAAGTGTTTCACAGAGGCAGTCCTCGACTTACAACAGTTCATTTAGTGACCGCACTGAAAAAAAATAAGCGACTTACGGCCGTTTTTCACACTTTACGACCCTTGCCGCATTCCCATCCTGGCCACGCGATTTACATTTGGATGGGTGAATTCAGACGCTTGGCCAAATGGTCCCTAGTTGTGATGGTGGTCAGGCGATCCGCTTTTGCGACCTGCCCAACGGACAACGTCAACGGGTGAAAAGCCGGGTTCGCTTAACAACCATGCCACTAACTGAACGCACAAAGGGGGTTGGACTAGAAGACCTCCAAAGTCCCTTCCGACTCTTGCTATTCGATCTCAAACGCAGCCATTCGCTTCACCGCCACAGCCAGAAAAGTCGTAAAATAAAAGAGCCTTGATAGTACAGTGGTCTAAGCACCCTGTTATTAACACAGCTGCCTGCAATTACTGCAGGTTCGAATCTCTCCAAGGCTCAAGGTTGACTCAGCCTTCCATCCTTTCTAAGGTAGGTAAATTGAGGACCCAGATTGTGGGGGCAATAAGCTGACTTTGTATAAATACACAAAAGGATGAAGGCTATTGCTTAGCGCATTGTAAGCCGCCCTGAGTCTCCGGAGAAGGGCGGCATATAAATCAAATTAAAAAAAAAAAAATGGGAACAAACTCACTTAACTCGCCCTGAGTCTTCGGAGAGGGGCAGCATCTAAATTTAATTAATTCAAATTTAATTAATTTAATTTAATTAATTAAATTAAATTAACTCGCATTTCGCTTATTATAGCAACATCAATTCAGGGCTCAACCGTGGTCCTAACCCGAGGACCCACCTGGTATATATTCCTCTCTCTCTCTTTCTCTGTATCCAATGAAGTTGCAAAAGTTTGTTAGTTAGAAAGGAGGAGGAAAAATTGTTGTTGTTTTTTTCCCCTGTGTAAGTGAGTCACTATAGGATCCGGTTTTCCCAACTTTGGAGCTAAGAAACCCGAGCAAAGGGAAGAGATTTCTGTGGGATCCCTCGTTTGGCAGAGCCCCCCCACCAGCGGGATCCCTGTGGATTCCCTCCCTCCCACCCCACCCCACGCAAGCAGCACGGGGCTGGTCCAGCTGCTTGCACCCAATAGGTAAGGTTTGCCAAGCCCAGCCCGGTGCTCACCTGCGCCGCCCTCTCGCTCAGCCGCCGCCCGCTCCGAAAGCCAAGGTCCCACGTCCCGGGAAGGGTCGAAGCGAGCGCTCAGCTTGCAGAGCATCGCCCGGAAAGCGGCACCCGGCCCGGGGGCTGCGAAGGAAGGAGCTTGGCTCGCCTCTGGTCGGGCTTTAGGACCCGGGGCGGCGGCGGCGGCGGAGTCGGCAGCGGCTTCCATCCGCGCGCCAGCGCTACTTTCACTTCTGCCGCAGCTTACAGCAGCCCGCCTAATGAGGCGGGGGAAGCCGTTTCCGATTGGACGCGCCGCGCGTCCTTCAGCGGAGCCTGGAGGGGCGGGAACGAGTGTGGTGCGCTTGCGGAGGGAGAAGGAGCACATTCCGGAGTTATTCTGTAGTAGTAGTAGTAAGTAGTATCAGGGTAGTAGTACAGTAGTGGTACAGTAGTAGCAATGTTGTTGATCATTGCAGTCAGCCAGATGTTCAGATTGAGCTTGTTATTCTTATTCTTATTTTTAGTATTAGTATTAGTATTAGTATCATTATCATTATCATTAGCAGTATTGTGGTATTATAGTAGTAGTACAGTAGTGGTAGTGTTGTTGATCATTGCAGTCAGCCAAATGTTCAGACTGTTTGGCATTAGTAGTAGTAGTAGTGTCATAGCAATAGTACCATAGTAGTAGTACAGTAGTAGTACTACAGTAGTGGTAGTGTTGTTGATCATTGCACAGTCAGCCAGATGTTCAGACTGGGTTTGGCATTATTATCATTATTATTAGTAGTAGTAGTAGTAGTATCATAGCAATAGTACCATAGTAGTAGTACAGTAGTAGTACTACAGTAGAGGTAGTGTTGTTGATCATTGCACAATAAGCCAATGTTCAGACTGGGTTTGGCATTATTAATTATTATTATTATTATTATCATTATCGTTAGTAGTAGTAGTAGTGATAGTATCATAGCAGTAGTACCATAGTAGTAGTAGTACAGTAGTGGTAGTGGTGTTGATCATTGCACAGTCAGCCAGATGTTCAGACTGGTTTGGCGTTATTATTATTATTATTATTATTATTATTATTATTATTAATAATATATTATTATTATTATCAGTAGTAGTAGTGATAGTATTAATAATAATAATAATAATAATATATATTATTATTATTATTATTATTATTATCATTAGTAGTAGTAGTAGTAGTGATAGTATCATAGCAGTAGTACCATAGTAGTGGTACAGTAGTGGTAGTGGTGTTGATCATTGCACAATCAGCCAGATGTTCAGACTGGGTTTGACATCATCATCATCATCATTATCATTATCATTATTAGTAGTAATGGTAGTATCATAGCAGTAGTACCGTAGTAGTGGTACAGTAGTAGTGGTATAGTGGTGGTAGTGTTGTTGATCATTGCACAGTCAGCCAGATGTTCAGACTGGGTTTGGCATCATCATCGTCATTTTGGATGAAGGAAAAAAAAATCCTCCCATTGCTTTCTTCACCGGGACGGCCAGGAAGGGCTCGGTCCCACTGGGAGCTGCTTTATGCGAGGCACTGCGTCAGGATCGGCAGCAGCCTCCTTCGCAAGTCTTTTTTGGCCTTTTAAGAAAGAATGAATAATTACCAATAAAGGGGGATATTTGTAGCTCTGGGTTGAAATGAGGGGTCCTTGGTTCTTCCTGCTAGCACTGACGACGTTACCTGGTTTCAATCAATCAATCAATCAATCCAAGCAAGAAAGCAAGCATTCAGACTCGAGCTGGAAGGGACCTTGGAGGTCTTCTAGTCCAACCCCCTGCGTCTGCAAGAAAACAAGCAAGCTCAGAGAGCACCAAGGACACCCCCCCCCCAAGGAAAGTCATGTTGTTGGCTGAAGGGTCGACCAAGTTGTGGTTCCTCCATCACTGAAGGTTTTCAAGTAGAGATTGGACAGCTATTAGTCCCGAATGGTATACGGTCTCCTGCTTAAGTAGGGGGTTGGACTAGAAGACTTCCAAGGTCCCTTCCAACTTGGTTATTTTATGTTCCTAATAGGCAGGATCGGTGTGGGTTTCCCGACGTAAGGCATCCTGTGCAATAAAGGGGCGAAGTGGTGGTTTGGATTCCCAGAAGTGGAATTAAATGGATCGTTAAGAGGAAATAAGGAACAACTCTGAGGAGCTCAAACCCACCTGAATCATCGTTAGTGTCAGGTTTCGATGCTATCTCAAAATAAAGGAATTTCCAAACTGCCGATCTTTAAGGGAATTTTCTCTTTATTGAGCATAGTGATTTGTCCCTGGCTCTTTCGCGGTCAGTACTGACCTTTGCCCCCCAATCCCTCCCTTTCCGATCCCCAATTCTCTGCGTCTCATCGGCTATCTTCCAAGCCACTTTCCTCATCCCTCCTCCATCAGATCACAGGAATGTCTCCCTCCTCCCATCTCCGAGGAGACAGAATCTTCAAAGGAATTAAGTAGGCAAAAGTTCAAGCTTCTCCTCTCCTTATATATGTCAGTGCTGGGACGCTGACAGTTAGCTTCTAAGGTTGCTTAAAACTTTTAGTTGTAGGCGAGACCAATCTCTCGCTCAGTGGTGTTGTTAGAATCCTGTTGTCCCTAAAATTGCCTCAGCGTAACTACTCGGTCTTCCTGTTTATATCCTCCATCGGTCTAACCCAGGGATGTCAAACGCAAGGGCCGCGGGCCGGATGTGCCCTGCGGGGTGCTTAGATGGGGCCCGTGGGGCCGCCCTGGAAACAGCAAAGGTCCGGCCCGCGATGCCTCTGTCAACAAAAACGGAGCTTGGGAGCGCCGCGTGCAGCTGTCTCAGGCTCTGTTTTCGGCCGTGAGGCTGCCCTGGAAACAGCGAAGGTCCGGCCCGCAATGCCTCTGCCAACAAAAATGGAGCTCGGGAGGGCAGCACGCAGCTATCCTAGGCTCTGTTTTCACTGGCGACGGCCTCCAACAGCCCTCTGCCACCAAAAAGAAAGCTCGGGAGGGAAGGGCCCCCCCCCAAGATCCATTTTTGTTAGCAGAGGACTGCAGGAGGCCGTCGCGGCAGGAAACAGGGCCCAGGAGCCTGTTTTTGCTGGCAGAGCGCTCAGGCCACCACACGTGCCCCCGACACAAGTGATGTCATGCTAGCTACGCCTCCCCCTCCTCGAGGTCAAACACAACCTCAGTGAAATCGAGTTTGACACCCCTGGTCTAGCCACTCCATGCATCTGGCAAAATGAATCAGGCTCTTTTAATAAAATATCTCTGTTGGAAAAAGTTCCTCTCCGATGGCTGGTTTTTGTTGCTAGGGTTTTGGGGTGCTTTTACGCAGAGCAGGGGTGAAATCCAGCAGGTTCTGACAGGTTCTGGAGAACTGGTAGCAGAAATTTTGAGCAGTTCGGAGAACCGGCAAATACCACCTCTGGCTGACCCCAGAGGTGATTGGAGAATTTTGCAATATCCTTCCCCCCCAGGAGTGGGGTGGAAATGGGGATTTTGCAGTATCCTTCCCCTGCCATGCCTACCACGCCCACCAAGCCACGCCCACAGAACCGGTAGTAAAAAAATTTGGATTTCCCCATTGACACAGAGTCTTTTTAAAAGACAGATGTATCTGAGTCTGCAAAAATTAACTTAGATGGCAGTAACCTTCAAGTTATCTGTGAATCTTGTCTGCCCTCCAGTGGTCGTCTGAAGTTTTGCAACTCAGATCTGACTATTGTAGGACTTGGAACTACTCTTCGGCTCACCTAAAAAATCCCTGCGATTTTATATCTATATAAATTGTGTCACTCGCGTTAACCGGTCACATAAAGGACAAGCATTTGCAGAATGTCCCAAACTTGGTTTGACCTAACCTTGGTTAGGATTGTGTAGCTTGGTGTGGTACACGAATGGAGCCTATGGATTGTGGAAAAGGATAGGTAGAGTATTGATCAGCCTTTGAACTTTGGTGTTGGAGAAGGCTCTTGGGACTAAGGAGAGAGCTAAGAAAGCAAATAGACCATCGAACAAATAAATCCTGATTTCTGACTTGAGGCACAAATGAGCAAGCGTAAGCTGCCTCTTATCTGATTGTGGCCTAGTCTGTGGCTCTTCCTCCTGTCTCTCAAGGTCATTTCCACATGCCATAAAACCAGTGGTGAAATCTAATTTTTTTTATTACCAGTTCGGTGGGCGTGGCTTGGTGGGCGTGATGTGGCTTGGTGGGCGTGGTTTGGTGGGCATGGCAAAGGGAAGGATACTGTAAAATCTCCACTCCCACCCCACTCCAGGGGAAGGATACTGCAAAATCTCCACTCCCACCCCACTCTGGTGGAGTGGAGCCAGAGGTGGTATTTGCCGGTTCTCCGAACTACTCAAAATTTCCGCTACCAGTTCTCCAGAATCTGCTGGATTTCACCCCTGCATAAAACTTATACTCTTTGGGGCAGGGATGTCAAACTCAAGGCCCGCGAGCCAGATTTGACCCGCAGGGTGCTTAGATCTAGCCTGCAGGGCCAGCCTGGAAATATCAAAGGACCAGCCCACGGTGCCTCTGCCAGCCAAAACGGGGTGCAGGGGGGGGTGCCTCGTGTACCTCCGTGACCCGTTTTCGACCTCCATGGCCTCCTGCAGCACTCTGCCAGCTGAAAATGGGGCGCGCGGGGGGGGCTGCTGGAGGAAGTGCCCGTCCCGTCTCCCTCCTGCTCCCCGCTCTCCCTGGCCGGCCTGCGGAGGAGAAGTACAATTCTGATCCGGCCCTCAAAGAAATCCAGTTCGACACCCCTGCTTGTGGGAGAGCCTACAGCTTCAGGATGTAGATGTTATAATTACACCCATTTGTCTGACCTCGATATTCCCAATAATATACACCGGCACAACTTCCCAAAATACAAACCATCTTTATTACTCATTAACAATTTCATGTAGTCTGAAGCGCAGTTGCACATCGAGGCAACCACGGAGTAGAAGGAATGTGAAACGGAGGCTTTCTCTTCCAAGAATTTGGGACTTTTCCTAAATTATGATGACTGGAACCACTGATTGTGGTCTACTCACAAATATAACCCTGATTTGGATATAGCCTGGTGAGAATTGGAGTGAATGCAAGGTTTCTGTAGGAGATGAATGGGCTGAGCCCGAGGGAGGAGTCAAACGTGTCATCGGTCTTGAGTCTCTTTGTACCCACAAGAGATTTGAGTCCAGCTCACCTTGAATTCCCATGAATTCTTATCTACCGCCAATTTGCTTTGACTGTTAGTAGTTCGGATTCTTGTAGACAGCTTCAGCTTGCAATAAATCCTTATACAGGTAGTCCTCAACTTACGACCACAATTGAGCCCAAAATCTATGTAGCTAAGTGAGACATTTCTTAAGTGAGTTTTGCTCCCTTTTACGACTTTTTCTTGCCGCACTTGTTAAGCGAATCACTGCAATGGTTAAGTTAGTAGCCTGGCTGTTAAGTGAATCTGATTTGCCCCTTGACTTGGCTTGTCAGAAGGCCGCAAAAAGGGACCACGTGACAACACACACACATCCCTCCCCAGGGACACTGCAACCGTCATAAACGTGAGTCGGTTGTCAAGCGTCCTCTTGTGACCACGGGGATGCTGCAATGGCCGTAAGTGTGAAAAATGGTCTTTTTTTTTCCAGTGCTGCTGTAACTTCAAACGGTCACTAAGCGAGCTGTCGTAAGTCGAGGACTACCTGTATTCATTTCAGCTTCCCGGTTTCCGGGCTTGACAGCTTCCTCGCTTAAGCAATGGATAGTTTGAACTGAGCCCAACCTGTCCAAACCAAAGGAGAAAACAACCCCAAATTACCTCTTCGCTTACATCTGTGCACAGTCTTAATTTTAGTCGAGTGCAACAGGATGAAGAAAAAAATCCATAGGTGAATCAGTTAGGAGGGAAGCAGTGATAGGTTCCTCCTGGCTCGGCTCGGTTCGGCCGAGCCGGTAGCAGTGACGATATGACATCACCGAACCAGTTTTCCTTGTTCGAGAGCTGGGCCCTCCCGCCTCCCCCCCGCGTTATTCTTACCTTTTATTTGGCCCTGCCCCCAATCTATTCGCTGCCTCCCGAATCCCAGCTGATCGGTTAGAAGGAAAAAGAACTATTTAAACTCTTGCCGCGGGGCTTCAAAGGGCCGCCCTACAGCTGATCAGTGTTAAAAGGCAGTGTCGTGGTAGACCAGTGCGCTCCAAAAACAAATGGGTAGACTGGAACGCTCCAAGAACAAATGGGGAGACTGGTACAGCTTCTGCTAAATTCTATATAATTGTCACATGACCATCAAACCACGCCCACAAAATAAGCCACGCCCACAGAACCAGTAGTAAAAACTTTTAGAACCCACCCTGATTCCAGTAGCATCTTGGCTGGTATTCCGAAATAAAACATTAAAACGTTGGTCAGCTATTCCAGTGGAAAGTTTAACGATTATTAACAATATTAACGGGGGGGGGAGCATTCACGGAAATGGCTTGAAAGAATCTGCGATTGTTCAGTTGACAGAAGAGAAAGTTAAGATAACAACTTGTGAACGTCACGCGTTTTGGTGGATTTGAAGTCTTCTTCCTCTTCCGAAGGAACAACTCTGGCAAGTAGGGTCGTCAAACGGGGCAAAACTCACTTAACGACCGTCCTGCTTAACAGCAGAAATTTGGGGGTCAGTTGTGGTCGCAAGTAAGGTCGTCAAACGGGGCAAAACTCACTTAACGACCGTCCTGCTTAACAGCAGAAATCTGGGGCTCAGTTGTGGTCGCAAGTAATCACACACACCAGAATCAAAAATCAGGTAACAATCTTCCAATGTATTCCCTGACTGGAAAAAAAAAAAGTCAGACTATGCCCATTAGTCTCTGTGCTACCCTGCAGCTTCCTTTCGGAATCGAAGAAAAACTTACCCGCTGCCTTATGGCTGCTTCCCCCATTGCTTGACGGTGTTTTGAATAAACCATTTTTGTCCTGTGCAATTTTGCATAACTAGAATATAATAGGGGGATCCGTGATCCTTCGCGATTTCAAGACACCGTTTCGTTTTCCTGTTGATTACAGATAATCCCTAGAATTTAAAAACAAAAAGCTTGTATTAATTAAAAAAAAAATTGAATTCGGTGCCTGTAAATATTTATTATTGAATGTATCCTCTGTTTGTGTTAATACTACGGATAGCTTATAACTATGTAAAACTATGCAAGCAAGCCAGGAGTGAAATGCTCCCGGTTCGGACCGGATCGCTCGATCCGGTAGCGATGGAGGCGGGTGGTTTGGAGAACCGGTAGCAAAAATCCCTGTTCCCCCCCATGCCCAGCTGAGCTGTGCGATCATCAGAGGCTTTTTTTCTTTAAAATGTCTCTGACAATCCAAGCTGAGTTGCCTGATCGTCAAGCTGAGTTTGACGATCCAAGCTGACAATTCAAGACGATGTCTGATGATCCAAGCTGAGTTGCCTGATCGTCAGAGGCATTTAAAAGAAAAAAAAAAGCCTCTGACGATCAGGCAACTCTGCTGGGATCGTCAGAGCCTTTTGAAAGCATTTTTTTACAACCTCTTCGCCGAAGAGATTGTAGAAAAAATGGTTTTAAAAGTTTAAAAAAAAATTGGCCACGCCCACCCAGTCACATTACCCCACCCCACCAAGCCACACCCACAGAACCGGTAGTAACAAATTATAGATCTCACCACTGAAGCAAGCTATAAAGCCGTGATGGCAAACCTATGGCACACGTGCCCAAAGTGGCACGTGAAGCCATGTCGCCCGGCACACACGGCCTTGCCTGGTTGTCTTCCAGGTTTCATGCGTGTGTGATGATCAGCTGTCCTTCACACGCGGGACAGTGCTGAAAACTGGTGTATGCATGCGTGCCAGCCAGCTGATTGTCGGGCGCGCATATGTGCTAGAACCTGGAAGTTTGGCTTTTCCGGAGTGTGGCCCTGACGAGCGCGCGTGCAGGCGGGGTTTCCGTGCGATCTTTTCAGCACTCATTGCGGAAAAGGTTCACCATCACTGCTATAAAGTAGAACACTAATGCAATAACAATAACCAGTGCAATATTGTGAATGCAGGTAACCATCAAAAGCATAGTTAGAGAGAAGCGATATTGTTATTGCTCTCAAATACTGGGTGAGAGGGGAGTGTGCACCTTTAGAGAATGGACAAGTTGGAAGGGACCTTGTAGACCACTTAATCCTCCTGTCCCTTGTGGTCAACACTCCACCATCTCTTAACAGTTGAGCATTTGGCCTTGTTTGGAGACCTCCGGAGGGGTGAATCCATCTCTCTTCCAGGTAAACTACTTCACACTCATATTGTCAAGAAGATCAGTTGTCAGGCCCGTCCCAGCTTGGACGCTTCGGAAAGAAAGACTCTTAACTCCACTGTATTGTGGCCTGTCGGGCACCGGCCCCTCCAGCAGCCAAATCAGAGGAGGGGGAGGAGGCGTGGGAGTCAGGACCAGCATCAAGGCAACCTGAGAGCTCCGAGGGGGAAGAGGAATTGGAGCTGGCAGAGGGAGAGAGAGGCAGAGGTGGACTCTGGGCCGTCCGTCAGTCAACAGCCCCCAGGTCTGGAGGTGGCTGATGAGAAAGAGGAGGAACAGCTGGGTCCAGTGCCTGACGCGTGAATGCACAGAAGGCAGAGGAGAGGAGAGCAGTGGAAATCTATGGGCCGGTCCTTGGGACGGACGAGCCACTGCTGCTAGCAGAGCCCCACCCTAGCTCTGGGGATAGAAGGCAGAGGACGGAGATGAATAGGTGTGGCAGACTTGTTAGAGCATCTTTCGGAAACTTCACACCTGCATTGAGAGAGAAACATTTTGCTGGGGCTCCTAATAAAGGAATCATTGATTTAACTACAGAGGGTTTGTCGTGTTTGGGGAGCCGGATCAGAACACACTGGTAGAGAAAATGTATGCTTTTAGTAAGGTCAAGTGGAAGGCTGAGTCGACCTTGAGCCGGTCAGGATCGAACTGCTGGCAGTCGGCAGAATTAGCCTGCAATACCAAATTCTAACCACTCTGCCCCCACGGCTCCAGAAATTAAAACCTTACTTGCATGAAATCCCAGTGCATGTTCAGGCCTTTTCTCTGGGCTTCGTCACATTGCTCGATGACTGGCAGCTTTCCTTCTCCGGAGTCTGTCAAGCATCTGTCAACCGTGTTGCGCCGAGATCGTAAACCTCCCACAAAGAATTCTCCAGTGCTGTGATAGAACATGTGCTGGAAATAAAGACAGTCCTCGGCTTACAATCGTTCGTTTCGTAACCGTTCCAAGTCTCCTGCTCGAGCAGACCTCCAAGGCAGGGGTGAAATGCTCCCAGTTCAGACTGGATCGCCTGATCTGGTAACGATGGAGGCAGGTGGTTCGGAGAACCGGTAGCAAAAATCCCTGCCCCCCCCCCATGCCCAGCTGAGCCACGCGATCATCAAAGGCTTTTTTTCTTTTAAATGCCTCTGACGATCCCAGCTGAGTTGCCTGATCGTCAGAGGTTTTTTTTTCTTTTAAATGCCTCTGACGATCCCAGCTGAGTTGCCTGATCGTCAGAGGTTTTTTTTTCTTTTAAATGCCTCTGACGATCCCAGCTGAGTTGCCTGATCGTCAGAGGTTTTTTTTTCTTTTAAATGCCTCTGACGATCCCAGCTGAGTTGCCTGATCGTCAGAGGTTTTTTTTTCTTTTAAATGCCTCTGACGATCCCAGCTGAGTTGCCTGATCGTCAGAGGTTTTTTTTTCTTTTAAATGCCTCTGACGATCCCAGCTGAGTTGCCTGATCGTCAGAGGTTTTTTTTTCTTTTAAATGCCTCTGATGATCCCAGCTGAGTTGCCTGATCGTCAGAGGCATTTAAAAGAAAAAAAAAGCCTCTGACGATCAGGCAACTCAGCTGGGATCATCAGATCCTTTTGAAAGCATTTTTTTTTACAACCTCTTCACCGAAGAGGTTGTAGAAAAAATGGTTTTTAAAGTTTAAAAAAAAAAATTGGCCATGCCCACCCAGTCACATTACCACCACCACCAAGCCACGCCCACAGAACCGGTAGTAACAAATTTTAGATTTCACCACTGCTCCAAGGTCCCTCGAAACCCTATCTATGAAATGGGTATTTTCTTCGCTGTTTTGGCATTGCCAGAAAGAGTGTGTTGCCAATTTACCTGTGGGCTATATCCATGGCAGACGTACAATATGGGAGTGTTCCCGGGAACCGGTCCTTGATCTATGCAATTTTCCTTACTTAGCGTGTTTTTCATCTACAGGATAAGGAAAAGCAAAGACCCGGATTTACAATTCCAACTCAGTGAGCATGCAAAGGAGGCTCAATAAAATAGAGCAGCAGAATATAAATAATCGATGAAGTAATAGAATGGTAATAATGAATTAATTAAGTCAATATGACTTAATATAATATTAATATGAGCCTGGTTTAGCTCTGCAGACTAAAGCACTGTAATTAACATCCAGCTGCCTGCAATTACACCAGTTCGAATCTCCCCAGGCTCAAGGTTGACTCAGCCTTCCATCCTTTCTAAGGTAGGTTAAATGAGGACCCAGTTTGTGGGGGCAATAAGCTGACTTTGTATAAATATACAAAAGTATGAAGGCTATTGCTTAACACATTGTAAGCCGCCCTGAGTCTTCGGAGAAGGGCGGCATATAAATCAAATTAAAAAAAATATATATGAAGAAATGACAAAATGTATGGATGTTTAAGAATTGAAATAAGACTTAGAAATATGAATAAGTTTAAATATATGAAATGGTAGTAGTTGGAGCATTTGGGTTAAGATCTATACTTAACTGGTTTCTACTAATATGTTGAATTGCATTATTTGGAATAGTGGATAAAGGAATAATTTGTGATTAGAATAACAGAATTTAAGGAAATAATGGGGGATTGTACTATGTTGTGTGAATTTAAATTTAGGGGTTCAAATTTTAGGTAGGAAAAAGAAAAATTGAAGCATATCAGGATTAGAAGTTAAAATGAAGGGTAATATTGGTTTCTTAAAATTAGAGAGAATGTAGTTTTTTCACTTGGTTGACACTCAGAGATGCTTGGGCGGCGGCCATATTAATTGAAATAAATTGAAATATAACGTTTTTAGCATTTAGCAATAGCATTTAGCCATTGTGGCATAGTGGTTAGAATACAGTACTGCAAGCTGACTGCCCACCGCCAGCAGTTTGATCCTGACCGGCTCAAAATTGACTCAGTTTCCATTCTTCCGAGATTGGTAAAAATGAGGACCCAGATTGTTGGGGGCAATAGGCTGACTCTTAAAGCACTGTGGAGTAGTATATAACTCTAAGTGCTATTGCTATTTAGGCTTTGCAGCACTCTCTGGGTAGTTTACAAGATGGAAGTATTATTTGCATATTGCCCCCAGCAATCTAGGTCCCCATATTACTGACTTCAAAAGGATAGAAAGCTGAGTCATCCTTGAGCTGGTCAGAATCGAACTTCAGGCTGTGAGCAGAGTTAGCATGCAATGCTGCACTTTAACCACAGTGCCACCATATATATGACATTTCCAATTTTACGCGGGAGAAAACCCGAATAACCAAAGACCTACATACAAACACCCGTGTTTACTGGCCGGATGCCCTTCCTGTCGCCAATGTGGAGTTTTTTTTCAACAGATAATTCTCAATGTGCCCAGGGAGAGAAATATCTGCCTCTACCTAGGAGGCGAGGCGAGAGCTCCATCTCTCTCTCCTCCCTCCCTCCCTCCCTCTCTCTCTCTCTCTCTCTCTCTCTCTCTCTCTCTCTCTCTCTCTCTCTCTCTCTCTTTCTCTCTCTCTCTCTCTCTCCCTCCCTCCCTCCCTCCCTCTCTCTCTCTCTCTATATATATATATATATTTAAATATATAAATAAAGCAAGGAAGCCTGCTAACTTGGGAGACTTAGTGCGTCTTGGAAAAACAGTGTGTGTGTGTGTGTTTTGTGTGTGGGCACTTCAAATATAGTGATGCGCTGTTTAACTAAAAAGCAAACAATATATCATCTTACCAGCTTTTACTTACTGTTCCATAGCCTACAATGTTAACCTGAGGTACCAAATTAGGGTAGACATTTTTGATATACCAATCAAAGCTTTTGCAGTTCAGTCGTTTCCTTAGTTCTTTTCTAGAAGAAACGTCTCCGTAATCGATCCCAGAATTCTGGAAAAGGAGGACATCGGTTTCAAGGAGGTGCCAAATACATAATTCAAATGATTCAATTTAGAGGCATTTCAATTTATACTCAGAGAAGTTGGAAAGAAAACCTGAGAGACTTCCCACTGTTTTACTCAGACACCGAACACATCCACGACAATTTAATTTCCACAGTAATAGATGGCTGTTCAAAGGAAGAGAAGGGTGGACAAGATGGGCAGTATAAAAATCAAATAAATAAATTCAAAAATAAAATAAAATAAAATAAAATAAAATAAAATGTAAAATAAAAATAAAATAAAATATAAAAATAAGATAAAAAAATAAAATAAAATAAAATATAAAATAAATAAAAATAAATAAATATAAAATATAAAATAAATAAAAATAAAATAAAATAATAAAATAATATATAAAATAAAATATAAATTAAATAAAAAATTAAATTAAAAAATTAAATTATTAAGTTAACTTAACTTAAATTAAATTAAATTAAATTAATTAAATTAATTAAATTAAATTAAAACTTAACTTTAAATTAAATTAAATTTTAAATTAAATTAAATTAAATTAATTAAATTAATTAAATTAAATTAATTAAATTAAATTAAATTCTCCAGCTATTGTGGCCTTCAGTTCAGAGAATGAATGTGGATCAAATAATGAAACAAAGGAAGAATATAATAAGGGGTCAAGGTAAATCCATTTAAATAAGAAAATTGGGCCTTCCATTTATCATTCAAGTGATTAATAGAAAATGATCCAGGACTCAGAAGAAATAATTTAATTTAACTTAACTTAACTTAAATAAAATTATTTCTTCTGAGTCCTGGATTTCCACAAAATGTGATTTAGGACAGAGACAGAGGTCTCTTCAAAGTTTTAATTGGCAGATAAACCATTCTTGTCCATCTCTCAGTTCCTGATCTTTGAATGTCTACCAGGCTGACAACTAAGAAAGAAAGAATGAATTTCCTGTTGAATTTTTCCTTCAGCTTCAAAGCAACGAAGCAGTGGTCCGATTTTAACCCATTTTGTGTCTCTTCGTTTCAGGCTCAACTACGATACTTGGTTAGTCTACCTTTGATCAGTTTCCATCCATTGTTTCTTGTCCTGTCTTCCGGTCCTTTGGAAAATAGGTTGATTCCCCGCCCCCCACTCTACTTTGAGGGGCTGCCACAAAGAAGAGGGGGTCAATTTATTTTCCAAAACCCCAGAGAGCAAGACAAGAAACAATGGATGGAAACTGATCAAGGAGAGGAGCAACCTGGAACTAAACTTCCCAACACTGAGGACAATTAATTAGTGGAACATCTTCCCTCCAGAAGTTGTGGGTGCTTCATCACTGGAGGAACTGGACCGCCACTGGTCTGAAATGGTCTGAAATGAAATAGGGTTTCCTGCTTGAGTAGGGGGTTGGACTAGAAGACCTCCAAGGTCCCTTCCAGCACTATTCTGATTGATAAATCGACTCCTTACATAGATAAAAATGGCCAAACAACCTCAAGAGGTACGTTCCAGGCGTAGTAGACCATGTGCTTATATTCATCCATCCACACTTCTGCTACACGTAAGGCGTTTCTCCTCACAGCAAGGGACAAATCCGGTAAATAGGGTTTGTGGGCTCGCTCCAGGTGGGCAATCCTTGCACACGGCAAGACCTCAACACTCCCGCCGCACAGCCAAGCCTGTGGTAAAATAAGAACACAGACTTCATTTGTCTTTTCATAAGAATAACCGCGAGGCATATGATTAAGCAACGGGATAGCTTTCTTCCCTGAGTTGTGGGGGCTCCGTCGCCGGAGATTTTCAAAAATAGATTGAACAACCATTTGACCAAGATGTTATAAGGTCTCCTGTCTTCAGCAGGAGGTTGGACTAGAAGACCTCTAAGGTCCTTTCCGGCTCTATCATTCTACATTCTATATGACTCTTTTATTCCCTCAAGAATCATGGCGGTAGCAAACTGCTGATTGAGGAAAGGAGCTCTACCCACTAGGCCGACTCACAAGAGTCCTCTGATTGGTTGCATCTGTAAGCTTCTCTCCCTTGGTCCAAGCAACACCCCACACTTTTGAGAAAAAACACCCATCCTCCTCTCCTCCAACTGATCTATAACAGTGATGGCGAACCTTTTCGGCAATGAGTGCCCAAACCGCAACATGTGCACTGGAGCGCTGGAAATATGAAGACCAGCTGGCTGCCCAGCTGGTTTTTGAGTTTCTGCCACGTGCATGGGCCTGGGCACCTGGTCTTTGGGTTTCCAGCGCACACATGGGCCCCAACCAGCTGATCTTCGGGTTTCCAGCACGCACATGGGCCCCAACCAGCTGACCTTTGGGTTTCCAGCACGCACATGGGCCCCAACCAGCTGATCTTTGGGTTTCCGACAGGCGCATGAGCCCCAACCAGCTGATCTTAGGGTTTCCGGCACGTGCATGAGCCCCAACCAGCTGATCTTCGGGTTTCCGGCACGTGCATGAGCCCCAACCGGCTGATCTTTGGGTTTCCGGCACGTGCATGAGCCTCAGCCAGCTGGTCTTTGGGTTTCTGGCGCGTGCATGAGCCTCGGCCAGCCGGTCTTCGGGTTTCCGGCACACGCATGGGCCCCAACCAGCTGATCTTCGGGTTTCCGGCACGCGCATGAGCCCCAACCAGCTGGTCTTCGGGTTTCCGGCACACGCATGGGCCCCGGCCAGCTGGTCTTCGGGTTTCTGGCACACGCATGACCCCCGGCCAGCTGGTCGTTGGGTTTCCGGCGCACGCATGGCCCCAAGCCAGCTGGTCGGGTTTCCTGTGCATGCATGAGCCCTGGCCAGCTGGACTTTGGGTTACTTGCATTTCGGTGTGTGCGAAGACCAGCTGGCCGATGCACATGTGCGTGCAGGAAACCTGAAGAGCAGCTGGTGACAGTGCACATGCCCACAGAGAGGGCACTGCATGCCACCTCTGGCACCCGTGCTACAGGTTTGCCATCATGGATCTAAAATATAAAATTTAAATAAAATATAGGTATATAAATACCTATATAAAATATACCTTTTATATTATATACCTATAGGTAGTCCTCAACTTACAACTACAACTGAGCCCAAAATTTCTATCGCTAAGCGAGACAGTGGTTAAGTGAGCTGTACCCCATTTTGCGACCTTTCTTGCCATTGTTTTTAAGTGAATCGCTGCAGTTGTTAAGTCAGCAAGATGGTTGCGAAGTGAATCTGGTTTCCCATTGACTTTGCTTGTTGGAAGGTCGCAAAAAGGGATCACATGAACTGGTATTAAAAAAGACAAAGGAATAAAAAAAAAATCTCACTCTGAGGCCCAATTCCACATTTTCTCCTCCATAAATGTGCATTCCACCATCCAGAACACCAATCTTCCCCAAAAATTCTCGGTTCGCGGCAAGTATTCCCATTATAGAAGGACTCCTAAGACAAAGAAGACAAAAAGGATCATCGGCTTTTATTCATGAATATTTATCATCGGGCTACTATTTGAATGGACCATTAAATAGAACTCGGGAATGGATACAGAATACTTAATAATAAATTTCCATTCCAGAGGACCAAGAGACAGATATAAAATAAAATAAATACCGTAATTTTTGGAGTATAAGACACATCTCGCTGTACATCTCCACCCCAGACCACCCCAACGATGCCCTTGATGTGATGTCTCGCTGCCTGGAGGCCGTGCGGGTCTGGATGGGGAGGAACAGGCTCAGACTCAACCCGTCCAAGACCGAGTGGCTGTGGCTGTCGGCGTCCCAATATAGTCAGCAGGTGCCATCGCTGACTATTGGGGGTGAATCTTTGCCCCCCACAGAGAGGGCTCGCAATCTGGGTGTCCTCCTGGACGCACGGCTGTCTTTAGAAGAGCATATGACGGCCGTGGCCAGGGGGGGGCCTTTTATCAGGTTCGCCTGATCCGCCAGTTGCAGCCCTTTCTGGACCGGGACGCCTTGCGCACAGTCACTCATGCCCTTGTCACCTCCCGGCTGGACTATTGTAATGCTCTCTAAATGGGGCTCCCCTTGAAGAGCACTCGGAGACTCCAACTGGTCCAGAATGCGGCCACGCGAGTGGTTATGGGCGCAACTCGTTGTGCCCGCGTGACACCCCTCCTGCGCGAGCTGCACTGGCTCCCAGTGGTCTTCCGGGTGCGATTCAAGGTGTTGGTTACCACCTTTAAAGCGCTCCATGGCATAGGACCCGGGTACCTTCGAGACCGTCTTCTGCCACCAATAGCCTCCCACCGACCAGTCCGCTCCCACAGAGAGGGTCTCCTCAGGGTGCCATCGGTCAAGTTATGCCGGCTGGCAACACCCAGGGGGAGGGCCTTCTCTGTGGGAGCCCCAGCCCTGTGGAATGAACTGCCCCCGGAAATACGTAAGATCTTCGACCTCCGGGTGTTTCGCTGCGCACTGAAGACCCTGTTGTTCCGCCAGGCCGGGCTATCAACATAATAATTTTAAATTGGGGTATTTTAAATTTGTGGGGTTTTAAACCGGCCAAATCTATTTAATTATTATTTTAATTTTTAATCATTGTTGTGTCTTGTGTTTTTGCTGTACACCGCCCTGAGTCCTTCGGGAGAAGGTGGGTATAGAAATAAAATTATTATTATTAAATTATTATTATTATCTTTTTCCCCAAAAAAGAGGGTGAAAATCTGGGTGCATGTTATACTCCGAATGTAGCCCCACCCAGCTTCTCAAATGGAGGTTTCAGAGGCTGAAAAAACCATCAGAAACGAAGCTTCAGAAAAAAGCCTCCAAACAGAGCTTGAGAAAAAAAGCCTCCAAACAGAGCTTGAGAAAAAAAGCCTCAGAAACAGTTTTTCAGAAAAAAGCCTCAGAAACAGAGTTTTAGAGGCTTTTTTTCTCAAGCTCGGTTTCGGAGGCTTTCAGAGGCAGAAAAAAAAGTTTTTTCTGTAACAGAGTTTCAGAAGTTTCAGAGGCAGAAAAAAAAAAGCAAGTTACAGAGCTCACAACCAACGAACCTGTTGCTAAAATTCACCTCTGGGAACAGCTGATTGGGGGTATTCCGGGAGGCCAATCCACCCGCCAATCAGCTTTTTTCTTATTTTCCTCCCCAAAAACTAAGGTGCGTCTTATACTCTTATACTCCAAAAAATAGAATATCTTGAACGACAAAAATTGTTTGCTTTAGTTTGGCAAGATTCTGTCTATAGGTGGCTGAGAAAAAACTTGGTTCTTGGTGCCTGACATATTGTTTCATTGAATATATGCTCAGACTGTTTCCTGACAAATGATTTACAGGTAGCTCTCGACTTACGACCACAATGGAGCCCAACATTTCTGTCGTTAAGTGAGATATTTCTTAAGTGAGCTTTGCCCCCTTTTACGACCTTTCTGGCCACCGTTGTTAAGGGAATCACTGCAAATGATGTCAGCAACCCCGTTGTTAAGTGTTAATCTGACTTCCCCATTGTCTTTGGTTGTCAGAAAGTTGCAAAAGGGGATCGCATGACCTTGGGATACAGCGACGGTCATAAATGTGAACAAGTTGCCAAGCATCTGAATTTTGATCACATAGGGATGTTGCAAAGGACGTAACTGTGACAAACGGTTGTAACTCTCTTTTTTCAGTGCCGTTGTAACTTTGAACTGTCACAAAGTGAATTGTTGTAAGTCGAGGACTACCTGAAAAGGTAAAGGTTTTCCATGTCTAGTCATGTCTCTTGGGAGCAGTGATCATCTCTGAGAGAGCCAGCATTGTCCAAAGACACTTCCGTGGTCACGTGGCCAGCATGACTATACACCGAGCCGCATGGAAAGGTGTTATCTTCCCTCTGAAGTGGTACCTATTTATCTACTCGCATTTGCATGCTTTCGAAGTGCTAGGTGGGCAGGAGCTTCTAGCATTACCCAGCTGTTCTGAATCCAGCTCTTCAAACATGAGAAACCCTCTGAAGTTAACTCAAAGATTCCTTTATTAGGAGCGCCAGCAGCCCCAGCAAAAAGTTTCTCTCTCAATGCAGGCTAAAGTCTGTCCGGCAGGGAGATGAATAGTTGTCTGCCACATCTATTCATCTCCGCCCCCTGCCTTTTATCCCCAGAGTGAGGGTGGGGCTTTGCTAGCAGCAGTTCCTCTTCCGTCCCAAGGACCGGCCCACGGATTTCCAGTGCTCTCCTCTCCTCTGCCTTCTGTGCATCCGCGTGTCAAGACATTGGACCCAGCTGTTCCTCCTCTTCCTCATCAGCCACCTCCAGACCTGGGGGCTGTTGACTGACGGATGGCCCACCTCTGTTTCTCTCTCTGCCAGCTCCATTTCCTCTTCCCCCCTTGGAGGTCTCAGGTTACCTTGATGCTGACCCTGACTCTCATGCCTCCTCCCCTTCCTCTGATTTGGCTGTTGGAGTGGCTGGCGGCCAACAGGTCACAACACCAGCTAATATTTTCAACTTGCCAGCTTGTAGCATCATTGAATAACATGAATAAAAAAAAATCCACTTATTTTCATTCCAGAAAAGTTGAGGCGATACCAGCTTCAGCCTATATCGGTATAACTTACCGGATTGGTGCCGTTTGGTCTTTCAGCGCATACCAGTCTTCTGGTATGGTCTCGTAGAGACACCAAAGAGCCCAGTCAAATCCATCAGCGGCCTCGGCGTACTGAGTGAGTTGGAAGTCATCAAAACGGATGTTATCAAACACCGGTGATATGATAACGGTGTGATCCTCCTTGATCCGAGAGAGAATTGGTTCAGCCCTTCGTCAAAGCAGAAGAAAGTTCATGGATCTATGTAGGACTTTTAAAATCAATGTGCGCTTTTCCTTTTATTTCTTAAAACTCCCTGCCTGTAACATGGCTTCCTATCCGAAGCTGCCCGTTGAAAGAAGCAGCTAATTCTAAATTCTGCCCAGATCCCTTTGATTTCTGCGTTTGGGATTGTGATTCAATTACGTTTTATCGGTCCAAGAAATGGATTCCAATCACCATTGGACATTGGGATTTCAAATAACAAAAAGAAGAAAGAAACGCTAGTCTTAATTCCTTAATTTTTAATTCCTTAATTTTTTTTTAAAAATGCCATGTAGGAAATGACCAGGCTGAGCCGGAGGGAGGAGTCAAATGCCTCATCAGTCTCGAGTCCCTTCGTGCCCACAAGAGATCTACCTTGAATTCCATTGGTTCTTATCTACCGCCAATTTGTTTTCACCATTAGTAGTTCAGATTCTTGTAGAGAACTTAAGTTCTAGGTCCGTGATAGCAAACCTATGGCACGCGTGCCACAGGTGGCACGCGGAGCCATATTAGTAGACATGCCAGCTCAGCTCTGGGGCGCATGCGCGCGCCGGCCAGCTGATTTTCGGGCCTTCTGGGCCCACCAGAAGTAGGGAAACAGGCTGTTTCCTGCCTCTGGAGGGCCTGGGGTGGAGGTGGGGAAGGCCCGTTTTTCTTTCTTACCTGGCTCCAGATCCTCTCTATGTATCTGGGAATGGTGAAAACAGCCTTTCCCACTCCCTTGGAGGCCCTATGGAGGCTGAAAGGGCCCATTTCCCCACTCCCGGTGGGACAGGAAGTGACTTTTTTCCTGTCCCCAGCCTCCAGAGACTCCTAGAGAGGCTCCTACAGACTCCTAGAGAAGCTCCTACAGACTCCTAGAGAGGTTCTGGAGGCTGGGGACAGCAAAGAATGTCACTTCCTGTCCCACCGGGAGTTGGGAAATGGGCCCTTTCAGCCTCCGTAGGGCCTCCAAGGGAGTGGGAAAGGCTGTTTTCGCCGTTCCCAGATACACAGAGAGGATCTGGAACCAGGTAAGAAAGAAAAACGGGCCTACCAGGCCATCCTGTGCCAGGAGCAGGGGGGAGGGGGTTACGTACGCATGCGCGTGGGCACGTGTGCGCGTGACCGTCCCCCGCCCCCCCTCTCCTGGCATGCGATGGCAAAAAGGTTAGCCATCACTGTTCTAGGTTGTTTCTCTCTTTTGATTAGTTTCCATCCATTGCTTTTTGTCCTGTCTTCAGGTGTTTTGGTAAATAGGTTGAACCCCTCTTCTTTATGGCAGCCCTCAAATTTTGGAAGGTTGCTATCATGTCACCCCTAGTCCTTGTTTTCATTAAACTAGACATACCCAATTCCTGCAACCTTTCTTTATATGTTTTAGCCTCAAATCCTCCCCTGTCTTTGTTGCTCTTCTCTGCACTCCTTCCCGAGTCTCAACATCCAGAGTCTTTACATCATTCTGACCAAAACTGGATGCAGGATTCCAAGTGTGGCTTTACCAAGACATTATAAAGTGGTATTAACACGTCACGTGACCTTGATTCGCTCCCTCTGTTAATGCAGCCTAGAACTGTGTTGGCTTTTTTTGGTTGCTGCTGCACACCGCTGGCTCATATTTAAGTGATCGTTCACTAGGACTCCTGATATTCTTCTTGGAGATACAGTTATTGAGCGAGGTTCTACCTATTCTATACCTGTTTTTAGCTATCTCTCAGGAGAATTAATCTCTTAGCGCAGTTAATGGGAAATGGACCTGTTGAGTGACTCTCTGGAGATGGACGATGTTGTAGACCAGGGGTGTCAAACACAATTTCATTGAGGGACACATCAGGGTTGGGTTTGATGGGGTGGGTGTGGCTGGGGTGGGCGTGGCCAGCATGTCAGGGGGGTGCCTGTGGTGGCCCAAGCTCTCTGCCAGTGAAAACGAGTGTCAAGTTTCCGAAAGATGCCCTAATTAATTCATGAGCCATGATCCAAACTGCAAAGGAAATATAGTCATTTATTAGGAGCAACATTCCGGAAATACTCGGATGCAGTTAGGACTGATCCTACATATATTTATGTTCCCCTATGACCCCGTCTCTCCCCTCCTCTCTGGCCATGTCATAAATCACATTCTCCAATTAACCACTTTGGCTGGCTGTGAAACCTAACACCCTCCTTCTGATTGCGGTCAGAAAGAATGTATGGAATTCACTTCAGTTCTCCCTCCCTCCTGCTCATGGCAACTTGAAAGCTTTGCAAGTTGACAACGGGCTCCCGAGCTCCATTTTCGGCTGCAACCCTCTGCCAGTGACAACGGAGCTCGGGGAGGGCCACACGCGGCCCGCACGAGCTCCGTTTTCGGCTGGGATGGCCTCCTGCAACTCTCAGCCAGAGAAAACGGAACTCAGGAGGGCCACGCACAGCCCTCACGAGCTCCATTTTTGCTGGCAGAGGCACCGTGGGCCGGTCCTTCACTGGGGCAGCCCCACAGGCCAGATCTAAGCACCTCGCAGGCCGGATCTGGGTCCCGACCCTTGAGTTTGACACCCTTGTTCTAGATTTACCAGTTCGTGTTGACTTCAATATGTGCATCCAGAATAGCCACCACGTCTGCCAGAGATGCTCTCCAGCCAGAAATCCGAGCTTCTGTGAGGCCCTTCCTTTCTTCATGTCTCACAATTTTCAGCAATCCAGGATGTTTGTCGTTGAACTTTTTGATATGTTCTTCCAAAGGACCTTTAAGTTCCTCTGGCAAAAAAAAAAAAAAATGCAACAGATTTTAACAATATTAATTTGAAGAGGTTCATGCCAGAATAAAGTAAGTATAAAATATATAAAATAAAGTAAGATCGAATCTCTCCAAGGCTCAAGGTTGACTCAGCCTTCCATCCTTTCTAAGGTAGGTAAATTGAGGACCTAGTTTGTGGGGGCAATAAGCTGACTTTGTATAAATATACAAAAGTATGAAGCTATTACTCAATGCACTGTAAACTGCCCTGAGTCTCCGGAGAAGGGCGGCATATAAATCAAATTAAAAAAAAAAAAAATACAGGAGGAAATTCCACTTTTGTTACACAGCTAAAATGTCCATTCTCTCTTCATTACAGGTAGTCCTCCCCTTACAATAGTTCATTTAGTGACCATTCGAAGTTACAACGGGGCTGAGAAAAGTGACTTGTGACCCTTTTTCACACTTACGACCGTTACAGGATCCCCAGGGTCATGTGATTTACATTTGGATGCTTGACCGCTGACTCACATTTATGACGGTTGCAGTGTCCCCGGGTCATGTGATCCCCTTTTGCGACCATTTAGCCAGCAAAGTCAACGGGGAAAGCAGATTCACTTAATAACCATGTTACTAATTTACGAACTGCAGATATTCACTTAACAATTGTGGAAAAGAACGGTCGTAAAATGGGGCAAAATTCACTTAACCACAGAAATGCTGGGCTCCATTGTGGTCATACATCAAGGACTACCTGTATTTAATAATGTTGAGCGATATTTGGTTATTTAAATAATAAGAAGAACACACAAGGCCATGCCGAAGTAGTAACAATGGTACGTTAGAATGCCTGCAAGAAATACCTTTTGTCTGCAAACAAGAACTGGTGGGATCACAAAAATAGACCAAGTGATAGAAAATGAAGAAGCTCAATCGCTTTGGGACTTTAGAATTCAAACAGAATCAGAATCAGAACAGAGCTGGAAGGGTCCTTGGATAGTCGGGGACTATCTGAAGTTCGGTAGAAGACCCTGATTTCGTGAAAAAGAAGTTTGCTCACGGAAAGATCTCAGACCATGCTACTTACCATTTGAACTGAAATCGTCAATTAGGATAATTTCTTTCAGGAGGTGAGACGGTGTTCGGTTAATTATGCTGGTGATGGCACGTAAGATGATGGAGGTAGCCTCGTTAAAGAATATAAGGACCACGCTAATGGTTGGGAGATCATGCGAATATTTTTTCTCTCGACATCTGGAGGAAACCAGGAGAAATGAATATCCGTTACATTATTGTGGCGCAAGGCAAGGGGAGGATTGCAAGAACTGCAGAATAACAGAATAACAAAGTAGGATGGGACCTTGGAGGTCTTCTAGTCCAACCCGTGCTCAAGCTGGGAGCACGTCACCGGAGTTTACAGCCGCTCGGCCCCTTCTCATCTTCCTCCCCAACAATGGCGAGACCCATCCGGGGCTCGACAAGGAGATACTGTAGCAGTGATGGCTAACCTTTTTGCCGTCGAGTGCCAAAAGCGGGGGGAGAGCGGGGGGATCATGCGCATGCGTGCCCACACCCATAATTCAATGCCCACCCGTGCCCCACCCTCCTGCGCACGTGCGCATGCTCCTCCTGCGCTCCCCCCATTTTTGGCACGCGATGGCACAGTGGGCCCATTTTTCACTCTCCCCAGGCTCCAGAGGCTTTCTAAGAGCCTGGGGAGGGCAAAAACAGCCTTCCTCAACACCCCCAGGAGGCCCTCCAGAGGCCGGAAACAGCCCATTTCTCAATTTCCAGTGGGCCCAGAAGGCCCGAAATCAGCTGGCTGGCGGGCACATGTGTGCTGGAGTTGAACTCGTGTGCCCTCAGATATGGCTCCGCGTGCCACCTGTGGCACCCATGCCATAGGTTCGCCGTCACAGTCCTATAGCCTATACCACGGATGGCTAACCTTTTTGCCGTCGTGAGCCAAAAGCAGGAAGCTGGGGGGGGGGGGTCGCGTGCATGCCCACACCCATAATTCAGTGCCCCCCTGTCATTAATTAATTAATGTCATTAAGGAGATTGACTTTTCTGGCAGAAAAGTAGCACCATGAAGAGACACACCAATGCTGCCGCTTTTTAGAATATGTCCCAGGTAGTCCTCGACTTACAACAATTTGTTCAGGGACCAACGTTACAAGAGAACCAAAAGAAGTCATTTATGACCATTTTCCACATTTATGGCCGTTGCAGCATCCCCGTGGTCATGTGATCAAAATTCAGACACCTGGCAACTGACTTGTATTTATGACGGTCACAGTCTCTAACTTAACACCCGCAGTGATTCACTTAACAGCCGTGGCGAGAAAGGTCTTAAACAGGGCAAAACTGACTTAACGACTGTCTCCCTCAGCAACAGAAACATTGGGCTCAATTGTGGTCGAAATTCGAGGATTATCTGTATTCGGCTCTGCCTTCAACCTTTCCAATCTGCCCTCTGTGTCAGCCTGTTCAGTGGTGGGTTCCTCCCGGTTCGGCCGAGCTGGTAGCGGGTGACGATATGACGTCACCAAACCGGTTCTCTTTGTTTGGGAGCTGGGCCCTCCTGCCTCCCCCCCCCCCCCCCGTTTTTCTTACCTTTTATTTGGCCCCGCCCCCAATCTATTTGCTGCCTCCCGAGTCCCAGCTGATTGGCTAGAAGGAAAAAAACTGTTTAAACTCTTGCCGCGGGGTTTTAAAGGGCCGCCCTACAGCTGATCAGTGTTAAAAGGCAGTGTGGTGGTAGACCGGTGCCTCCAAAAACAAATGAGTAGACCGGTACAGCTCTGCAAGCAGTTTAAAGCCTTGTAGATGGAGAAGATGCTACTTCACCTGGGAGGTCGGGTATCCTTCAAAGGCCTTTCCAGAGGCAAGCGATCACTGAGGTAAACATTGTACCCGTACTTATCGAAAAGTTTCTGGGCTACAATTTGCTGGTCCTCCATTAAATCTTTGCCCCATCTCTGGAACAGAGGAGAATCTGGGAACCGCATCCTGGGAGGCGCCTCAGGTTCCTTCCGGTTTTCCTTGCCCTGTTGGTCTTCTTGTATTTCCTGGTGTGGCTTCTCGGGCAAATTCAATTCATTTGCTGCCTTCTTTTTTCCCTCTGATAATTTTATGTAATTTGCTGAAAAAACACAAAACAGAAGCAATAGGCAGAGGGATAAAATGCCCAAACCCCATAAAGAAATAACTTAGAATAGAACATAGAGTCATAGGGTTGGAAGAGAACTTGAATGGAATAGAATAACAGTGTTGGAAGGGGCCTTGGAGGTCTTCTAGTCCAACTCCCTGCTCAGGCAGGAAGCCCTATAGCATTTCAGATAAATGGTTGTCCAACATCTTCTTAAAAACTTCCAGTGTTGGAGCATTCACAACTTCTGGAGGCAAGCTGTTCCACTGATTAATTGTCCTCACTGTCAGGAAATTTCTCCTTAGTTCTAGGTTGCTTCTCTCCTTGGTTAGTTTCCATCCGTTCCTTCTTGTCCTGCCCTCAGGACAATGATGATAAATTGCAAGTTAATTTTGATCAAGGTAGTTTTTTTTTTTAAAACGCCGAACAATGGGCTTTTCACTTATTCATAATTGTGGGGCCAAATTCCACAAATACTTCTTGCTTTCCCAGCTTTGTGTCTGGTTGAATCAGATTTTGCTGCAATCGCAAAGGCGGGGGGGCAAAATTAGCTTGGACAAAGATCTTCATGATCTGATCCTTCTCAGATTGAAATGTTGACACTCAAACGCTGGTTAAAAGGTCATCGAGGAAAAATGTCACACAGGTACTGGAAATGACAATGCCTGGCACTGATTCACCCAAATGTAATCAATATGGAAAATATTCAGGAGTGGCATTCACTGAACTTCGCTACCGGTTCGCAAATGTGAGCACGTATGCACAGGGCCTTGCGCACATGCGCAGAGGGTCAAAAATGGGACGTGATGGCGTCCGGGCGGGTGGGCGGAGCTTCCCGCAGCCGTCACTTCCAGTTTGCCCAAAATGGATAGAACCGGCTAAATAGTTCATTAATAAGAACAATGAGTCTGCTTACAGAAAGGAAGTACAAGGACTGACATTGTGGTGTAATGAAAATTATCTCACACTTAACACCACAAAAACTAAAGAATTTATAATTGACTTCAGGAGGAAGAGAGATGTACATCTACCATTGTACATAAATGGTGAGGAGGTGGAGAGGGTGGGTAGTTTTAAATTTCTGGGCACTTATATCTCGGAGGACCTCTCATGGACTATGAATGCTAACATGCTTGTGAAGAAGGCACAGAAGAGGCTGTACTTCCTGAGAACGCTCAGGAAGATAAATCTATCTCAGCATCTACTTCTGTCCTACTATCGCAGCACCATTGAGAGTGTCCTGACATACGGCATTCTTGCACGGTATGGGAGCAGCTCTCTAGCGGACAAAAAAGCTCTACAGAGAATCATTAAAACTGCCCAGAACATCATCAAACTCCAGCTACCAGCCCTGGACGACATCTTCGAATCTCGTTGTTTGAGAAAGTTGCATAACATTCTCAGAGACTCTTCCCATCCTGCTTACAATCTTTTTGCACTGTTGCCCTCTGGCAGAAGATACAGAACAATTAAAACTTGGATCACACGTTTTCTTAATAGTTTTATCCCAGAGTTATAATTGCACTCAATAATGAACTAAAGGGTGAGCTATTGGACAGTACTACTTGGTCTGTTGTGTGGATGTTTGGGTGGTTTAGGAGTGGAGAATTGTGGTGGGTGGGAGTGTGTTTGGGGATTGTTATGTGTGTTGGACCTGGTCTTTGGGTGTTAAGTGAATTTCATTGTATGGGTATACTGTGTATACCTATACAATGACAATAAAGTTATTTAATATTTAAATACCACCAGTGAAACATTACCAGATCCAAAGATATCCTGAATGAAAAAGGGGAACTTAAAACAAAGCATTTTGGTCTTAGGTTCTGAAGGATTCACCACCGGGAAGTATTATTGAGAAGTGGAAGTGAAGAAGAAGAACAAGTGGACTTTAGGAGTTGTCCAGGAAAGCATTAACCGGAAAGGGAATTATCCCCTCTCACCCAAGGAAGGCAACTGGTTGATCAAGCTGAGGAATAAGAACGAGCTAAAGGCCGTAGATGTCCACTCCAAATGTCTAACCTTGCTTGGCCATCTGTGCAGAGTGGGGATCTATTTGGATTACGAAGGGGGCCAGGTATCCTTTTATGATGCCATGTCCATGTCTCACCTCTACACTTTCATGGACACTTTCACCAAGAAGGTGTACCCCTACTTTTGCCCATGCCTTGACTCTGGAGAGAACAAGGAACCACTGAGGAACATAGCTTTCGATATGTAGAAGCACAGTGAAGATGGAGATGTCACCTCAGCCAATATGTCTGAGCCTGGCTCTGTGAGAGTTTATAGGATTGTTGGGTACGACCCCAGGACCAGTAGAAGAGCCCATCCAGTTCCCTTGGACTTCTGCTGGGATTTACTCCTCGCTCTTTCCAAGAGTAGAGTAGTTCCTTTGTCCCTTTCGGTGGTTCAGCTAGGACAGGGGTCTGCAACCTTAAATACTCAAAAAACCATTTGGACCTGTTTCCCACAGAAAAGAAAACACCAGGAGCCACAAAACCTGAGTGGGCGTAGGCAACTCGATGTCACTCACTTCCACCAGTCACATGACACCCCCCTAGCCACACCTACCCAGCCGGTCATTAGGGCAGAGAACCAGTTGTTAAAAAACACTGGGAACCACAAAATCCTTTTGACATCTCTCTCTCTCCCCTCCCTCTCTCTCTGTCTCTGTCTCTCTCTCTTCCCCTCTCTCTGTATCTCTCTGTCTCTGCCCTGGCTGCTTCTCCATCCCCCACTGTCACCCTTACCTTCTCAGGCCAGGTGAGGAGTGACTGGGAGGGAGGGCGAGGGGGCGGGGCCAGACAATGGTGGGATCACCTGACAGGGAGCCACAGCAGAGAGCCCAAAGAGCCGCATGCGGCTCTGGAGCCACAGGTTGCTGACCCCTGAGCTAGGACAACCATCACATTTTGAAAAGATAGCCAATGCCTCCTTGACCACTTATAGAGCATCTCCAATGGGATCATCCGATTTCTTTGCGGGAGAATTTCCAACTGTAAGGTTGAGCAGAAGGATGTCTCCCAAGTGTTCCATTCCATAACATTATAAGAGTAATAATAATAATAATAAAGGTATCTTGATCAAATCAAAATAAAATGTTAAATTTAAGCGTGAAAAAAACCAAACAAATGAAGCAAGAACTGAGTAGTCAAGAGATGGACATAGCATGGAGGCCAGAAGCGCAGATACAACCTCAATATGAGAAGGATGCTAAAATGTATGGTTTTCGTAAAGAATTAACAGAATTAGATCAGATATTAACAGGAACGAATGAAAAATCAATCAAGAAAAAATATAGCTCCTTATTAAGCATCAAGATGGAAGACGAGCGAGTAAAGGAGACAATGATAGTATGGGCTAAAAAATGTTGGTTACACAATAGAATTAGATGAATGGCAGAAACTGTGGGATAGAAATGATAAATTAACGATCTCAACTGCATATGAAGAAAATCTTTATAAAATGTTTTATAGATGGCATTTTCCACCCTCAAGGTTGGCAAAGATGTTTAAGGATATGTCTGCTAAATGTTGGAAATGCCATCAGAAATCTGGTTCATATTATCACATGTGGTGGACATGCCCAAAAGCAAAAAAACCTACAAAACTACAAAGTTCCAACAAAACTACATACTGTACGTGTTTGGAAAAAATGGTACAACAACATATTGATTTAAAGCCCAAAATATTTTGGTTGGGCATTTTACCAGATAAAGTATAACAAGGGAAATACATATTTGATTTTACATGTACTGAATGCAGACAAAATTGTATTTGCACAACAATGGAAAAGTGAAGGGATCCCTACAGATGAAAATGTGCAGAAATGGATAGATTAACACTTACAATTAAAGAAAAGGAAGAAACTGAATACTTTTTGAGACTTGGGACTTATTTTATCAACGGTTAGCTGACAAAAACAGAAGTTAGAATCATGGAAATATAAGAAAAGGACCAATGAAAAAAAAGGGAGGCTTGTTAAAGCGGATAAGCAAGTATCAGTACTATTATTATGATTATTACGATAGAATGAATATCGATGTAATGAACGTGGTTGATGATTATTTCCTAAAACTGTTTGTACACAGACAACACGCTGTTTAACCAAAAATGGAATTTGTATATGTTATAAAATAAAAAACTTTATGCAAAAAAAGGGGAAAAAGAAGTGGAAACGACAAGTAAGAAATGTTGTGCCTCAGTGTTTATCTTGGTAAGAACCAAGTGCAAATTTCTGAGTAATAATTTTGTCGCAATAAAGGCGCAGTAAAGTCTTAAGAAATCCCATGTACCCTTCCTATCTCCTCTCCACTCCGCTGCTCTCCCCTTCTCTCTCCTCTCCTCCCCTGCTCTCCTCTCCTTCCTTGCTTTCCCCTACCTCCCTTCCCGTTCTCCCCTCCCCAGCTCTCTCTTCCCCTCTCCTGCTCTCTCCTCTCCTCCCCTCCCCTTCCCTCTCCTTTACCCTCCTGTAGTCTCCTCCACCCTCCCGTCCCCTGCTTCCTCCCACTTCCCTCCCTTCCTCTCCTCTCTTCTCTTTCCTCCCTCTCCTCTCCCCTCCTCTTTTATTTATTTTATTTTATTTTATTTATTTTGTCGAGTACATTATAGATAATATATATAAGTAGAAGCATGAATTGAATACACAAAATGAACACAATTAAAGGGAACATTATGACGGGGACTGTAGGCACGCTGGTGCTCTTATGCACGCCCCTTACAGATCTCTTAGGAATGGGGTGAGGTCGACAGTAGACAGTTTTAGGATAAAGTTTTGGGGGTTTTGGGATGAGACCACAGAGTCAGGTAGAGCATTCCAGGCATTGACCACTCTGTTGCTGAAGTCGTATTTTCTGCAATCGAGTTTGGAGCGGTTCACTGTAAGTTTGCATCTATTGTGTGCTCCTGTATTGTTGTGGTTGAAGCTGAAGTAGACATTGACAGGTAGGACATTGTAGCAGATGATTTTATGAGCTATTTTTCTTCCCTCTCCTCTCCCCAAACTTCCCCTCGGCTCCCCTTCCCTCCCTCTTTTCCTTCCCCTCTTGCACAAGAGGTCTGGTAACATCTTAGCTTCCCATGTTTATAAAAACATCTTAAAATATTCAGCAAAATCAGGAGAGGGAATTGATCCCAGAAGTTACTGGGTGTGTGAGGTACCTACGGCTTTGTTCTCAGTTGCTATTCGGAGAATCCTTTTACTTCTCTTCTCTTGCCTTACCTTCCTCTGCTTTTCATAAGCTCCTTGAAGAAAGAGTTTTACTTTGCATTATAGGAGTATTTCGTAAATGACATGGCTTTTTGCACCCAGCATCCCTGAGAATTTAATAGCTGACGATATTTCTATTTGATAAGTTATATTAAGAAGCATTTGGTACTGGAAAAAGGAAAAAACCCCTCTGGAAGAAGAAATAATAAGGAAGATTTTGACGTGTGAAGAAATGGACAGGTTGACACTAGAACTCAAAAACAAGAATGAGACAGAATACTATAAAATCTGGAATAATCTGGTATTATTGATTGGAAAGGAGAAAAGGAGTTGGAACAAAAAAGATTTAGGGTTTGTAGAATGAATACTGGGTAGTATTAATAAATGTATATAGTAAACAAATAGTAAACAGATAGTAAATGAAGATAAGGGATATGTATATAAGAACAAAGTAGCAATGTATGTTAAATAGTAATTATATTTATTGTTATGGAAAGAATATGTATGGATATGTTAAGACCAGGATGGTCACACTGTGGCCAATGTTTTTAATGTTTATTCAATAAAAAAATTTTTAATAAAAAAAAAGAGGAGCATTTGGTACATGGCATGCAGCAATGTTTAGTTACAGTTCTAAATTGTTGGACTTCAAAGCTAGAGTTCACATTCATGATTGAAACTGCAAAAATTGCAGTGATGAAATATCACAGTTGGGTAATTGTCAAATAATTGTTTAAGCCCCACAATATGACCAATAGTAATAGCGGTTGGAATGGAGAGCCAGAGGCTAGCTATGTAATCTACTTCATAATTATTTATTTATCAAATTTATTGGCCGTCCATCGTACTGCAGGGCAACTTATATATTAGTTATATAACTAATATTAGGCAAAATTGTTTCTTTCTCGCCTGCTTTGTTTCGAATTACTTCTCCCAGGAAAGGCCAGAAAACAATGCTCAAGGAAAATGACAAGTTTTGAAATTCAGAACAATGAAATCCGGTACAATACAGGTAGTCCTTACGGCCACAATTGAGCCCTCACTTAGCACAATTGTTGCTAAGTGAGACATTTATTGAGTTCATTTTATGACCTTTCTTGCCACGTTAAGTGAATTATTTCACGTGGCACGTTAGGAACCTGGCTGTTAAGTGAATCTGGCCTTCCCCGATGACTTCACTTGCCAGAAGGTCACAAAAGAAGATCACGTGACCTCAGGATGCTGCGATCGTCATAAATATGAAGCATCCGAATTTTATTCATGTGACCGCGGCCACAAGTGTTTAAAAACAGTCATAAACCACTTTTTCCCGTGCCCGTTGTAACTTTGGATTGTCACAAAATGAACCGTTGTAAGTTAGAGGACCATCTGCAATACGCTCCGAGAGTTGTTATAATAAAGAAGATAGAATAACAGAGTTGGAAGGGACCTTTGGAGGTCTTCTAGTCCAACACCCCGCTTAGGCAGGAAAGCCTCACTAGAAAATGGCGCCTTTCCTTACTTACATAGATTGAGGAACAGGGCCTCGATTTTTTCAAGATGTCCGACGAAGTCGTTCTCCTTCGCGGAATCCAAAGCTTGTTGCTCTCGATGTCCGCCGGGTTCCCTCCTTAGGCTCTGCATTTCGTGTTTCACGTGCATCACAAACAAGATATTCACAGCAAAGAACAGGATAAACAACGTAGGAAGGAAACCTGGCCACTTCCGTCCTAGCACCATTGCGGAAGGTCTATAATTCCCACCGAGGTATCTTCTCCAGATGATCAGGAAAAGAAGAGATTCCACCACCACCACCACTCTGGACAGGAAGAAGATTTTCCTGAATATCTAAGAAGCCTGTCGTGACAGTTTATAGTCCGTAGAAGCAGAGGGCGGGGCTGAGCTGGTGTCCCTTACATTTGTGTGCCTTCTCACACAAAAGTACAGGCAACAAAACTTCCCAGCCCATTATTTGGCTTGATCTGTTGAATTTCTATAATCACCTCCTTCACCTGCCTGACTCCGGGAGGCTCCGACACAATTCAATTGCAAAAACAAAAGAACAATTAACAACCAGGTGGTGAAAAGTTACAAACATAGAACAAGGGTTCGGGGAAAATCTCACACACCGCGCAACCATTTCGCAGGCTCTCTGTGAGATTCCCAGGGCCGGAGCAATTTTACATAGCTTGCAGAAGGAACGCACACTGTGTGTTTTATGTCCGTCCTTGGATTTTTCATAATTCCGAAGTGAATGTCACAAATACACATGTTTGCAAAGTGGGCTCTTCTGAATTTTAAGCTGACTGGAGTTGTTCAGTTCCAACCCACCATTCAGTCTTGGAAAAGACATTCCTTCATTCTCTTATTCTCAACACAGGACTGAAATGACCAAGACCTTCTTAACAGTAGTGGCCAAAATTGTGGAAATCTTTTGGAAAAAGTGTACTTTCTAAAAAGTATTCACTTAACAACCATGTTACTCACTTAACAGCTGATTCACTTCACTAAATGGGACAAAATCCACTTATCTTGTCTTGTTTAGCAACTGAAACGCTGAGGTTGTAAATCAAGGACTACACATACAGTAGTGGCCAAAATTGGGGAAACCTTTTAGGAAAAGTGTATTTTCTAAAACTAGCTAATAACACCACTTTTTTTGGGAGTAGTACCATAAAATTATATATCAACGGATATATTTGTAAAATATACTCCCTTTCTATGTGTATTTTAATTTGGTCTCTGACCGCAATAGAAAGCTTACTTACTATATCAATGGAAAGATAATTTAATCAAGAATGTAATACTATCACTTTTATGAAGGGTTTGCTATTAGAATAGCAGTTACAGTATAAAGAAGAAAAGTGAAACACGTAGGAAAAACGAGATATACAAAAATGATCCCCATGTCAGTTAATACTTCGTTGGGTAACCTTTAGCATGAATGACGGCCTTACAACGTCTTCCCATGGAGTGAACCAAGTCTTTTAGTTCTGCAGTTGTTATAATGTGAAACCAAGATTGAATGATGGCTTCTATTAACTGGGTTTTATTGCTGGGTCGCTTCTGACTAAGAAGTTTCTTTAGTCGGCTCCATAGATTTTTAATTGGGTGAAGGTCTGGGCTATTCCCAGGGCCATTCCAGCAGTGGAATAGGATTATCTTGAAACTTCAAAAAAAAAGTGGTGTTATTAGCTATCAAATCTCAAAAATACGCTTTTCCCAAAAGGTTTCCACAATTTTGGCCACTACTGTAGATCTTGGGTCATATCAAGCTGGATGGTAACATCACCTAGCTGAGAAGTTTCCTTCTCCTCTGAAATTCAGGTGGATGTGCTGCCCCATTCATCTTCTCTGCTAAATATGGGATGTTTCTCCAGGACTAAAACTAGAACCATCTACTTCACGTTCTATTCAGAATAACAGAGTTGCTCAGGCAGGAGATCTTATATAATTCTGGACGAATGGCTGTCCAATCTCTTCTGGAAAGCCTCCAGTGATGGAGCATTGACAACTTCTGAAGGCAAGCCATTCCGCTGATTAACTGTTCTCACTGTCAGGAAATTTGTCCTTAAGTTCTAGGTTGGATCTCTCTTTGATACAGCAGTGGCCACAATTGTTGGGAAAAAGTGTATTTTTGAGTTTTGATGGCTAATAACACCACTTTTTTTTTGGTTTTGGGGTCTCTGCAGCGCTCGTGCGGGGCAGCAGGGGGCTTCTGTGTGAGCTGCTCGTGTACGGACGGGGGGCGGGGTCATGCAGGGGGCCGTACACGCATGTGAAGGGGGTGGGGTATATACGGGAGGCATGTGCACATTGCATTTTGGGGGTACGGGCGTGCTTTGGGCACTCAGTCCAGAAAAGGTTAACCATTACTGCCAGGGGTGGGTTCTAAATTTTTTTTACTACCGGTTCTTTGGGCGTGGCTTATTTTGTAGGCGTGGCTTGGTGTGTGTGTGGGGAGGTTAATGTAACTGGGTGGGCATGGCCAACTTTTTTTTTTTTTTTTTACTTTTAAAAGCATTTTTTCTAGAACCTTAAGGGGTTGCAGAAAACAATGCTTTGAAAAGCCTCTGCCGATCAGGCAACTCAGCTGGCATCGTCAGAGGCTTTTCAAAGCATTTTTTTTTTACCACCTCTTCGGCTGAAGAGGTTGTAGAAAAAATGCTTTGAAAAGCCTCTGACGATCCCAGCTGAGCTGCGGGATCATCAGAGGCGCTTTTTTTAAAAAAAAAACTTTTAAAAGCATTTTTTCGGCCGAAGAGGTTGTAGAAAAAATGCTTTTAAAAGTTAAAAAAAAAAAAAGCCTCTGATGAGGTGGGCGGGGTAAGTGAGTGGCGACTGGGCCGGGGACCAGTTCGGGGGCGTGGCCAGCCAATGTTATTACCGGTTCTTGGAACTACTACAAATTTTTACTAATGGTTAACCGGGAGCAACCCACCACTAATCACTGCTTTATGTCATGTCAGACAAAGGGTTATCCAATATCTTCTTAAAAACCTCCAGTGATGGAGCATTCACAACTTCTGGAGGCAAGTTGTTCCACTGATTAATTGTTCTCACTGTCACGAAATTTCTCCTTAGTTCTAGGTTGCTTCTCTCCTGGATTAGTTTCCACCCATTAGTTCTTATCGCGTCTTCAGGTGCTTTAAAGAATAGATTGACCCCCCACTCTTTTTTGGTGGCAGCCACTCAAACATGGGAAGACTGCTGTCATGTCACTCCTAGATGATGGACACTTCAGCAACCCCCATTCCAAGGGAATCAGGAGTATAATCTGAGAGAGAAGAAAAGATGGGAACACAAGAAGGCGGTATTTTCCCCCTTCCCTTTGTAGAGAAGCTCCAAAGAAACTCCAAGAGAAATTAACAATAACTGACTTCAGGACTTAAGAGGAGCCTGGCAAGAGATGCCAGATGTTGCAAACAGTTTGGAAGAAGGGGGAGCGGGACAGTTCAAAGTAAAGCAGTCAAGGAAGTAGGAAAAGAGTCATGGCCATACTCAGAACAGATAAATCATACAGGTGGAGTAGGAACAAAGAGATTCAGCAACACACCTAGTTTTTTGGGGGAGAGGGGGAATGGTGGTATGTGACACACCCAGTTCTGAAGGTAATTGAGATGGTGGATTCAAGGTTAATCATAATTATAGGAATTAAGGTATAACAGGAAGAACAAGGAAGGAACAGGAAGAGGAATTAAGATGTAAGAGGAAGTGGAAAACAATACTAGAAATAGTATTGATAAAAATGTAAGAAATTCATACTTACGTTAGCACCAGGTTTTGTGTGTATATGTAGATAGATAGATAGATAGATAGATAGATAGATAGATAGATAGATAGATAGATATAGATATTGTGTTTCTCCGAAAATAAGACCCTGTTTTATATTTTTTTAATGCCGAAATAAGCGCTTGGCCTTATTTTCGGGGAGGTCTTATTATTTTGGGGCACGTTGAGCAAGACTCTTGCCATCTTACTTGATTTCCAGTTCTGTCTCCCTAACAGAGGAATTAAATATTTTTGGGGAGGGCTTATTTTCAGGGGGGGGGGGTTTATTTTAGAGCATGTGCTCAAAAGCCCGATTTTGAAAATAAGATGTCTTATTTTCAGGGAAATAGGGTAGATAGACAGACAGATATGGATGGATAGATAGATGATAGATAGATAGACAGATAGATGATAGATAGATGAATGATTGATGATAGATGATAGAAGATAGATAGATAGATACAAGATAGAAGACAGATAGATGTAGATGTAGATATATAGATATACAGTAGATATATAGATATAGATATAGATATAGATATAGATACAGATACAGATATAGATACAGATACAGAAGAGGTTGTAAAAAAATGCTTTTAAAAGGCTCTGCCGATCAGGCAACTCAGCTGGGATCGTCAGAGTCTTTTAAAAGCATTTTTTCTACAACCTCTTCGGCCGAAGAGGTTGTAGAAAAAATGCTTTCAAAAGCCTCTGACGATCACAGCTGAGCCGTGCGATCATCAGAGGCTTTTTTTTTAACTTTTAAAAGCATTTTTTCGGCCAAAGAGGTTGTAGAAAAATGCTTTTTTTTTAAAAAAAAAAAAGCCTCTGATCATTGAAAAGCTCAGCTGGGCATGGGGGGTGGGGGGCGGGCAGGGATTTTTGCTACTGGTTCTCCGAACCACCCGCCGCCATCGCTACCAGATTTCACCCCTGCACTCTACACTCACTCTACTCTACTCTACTCTACTCTACTCTAGGCTTAGCCTTTTTACTGCATCTCCACGTTGCTCTTTGAGGTTCTCCTTAAGGTGACCTGGCCCCTACCCAGGAAGGATGACGCCCGATATGTAGGACAAATTGTGATAGTTTAACCAGGCATTTTGCAGATCAAAGCAATTGCATTTGCTCAGAACTGGAAGCCAACTAGGACGTATCCAAGGGAACGGCTGGGGTGACTTCTGACTGATGCTATTACCTGGGACATGTTTGAGCACCGGGAAGTCCTTGGAAACATGTCCTTTGTGAGTCATCTTTGCCGCATGTGAGCTTCATACGGCCCCACCTGGCCAGCATCACTCTACAGGGAGACGATGCCTGACTAGATCCAAGTGGTAATAATGCCTCCATGAGAGGTGAAAGCTAATGGACATTGACCATGGTTGTCTGCTCCTTCAATGAGGACTTGACTTGACTTTTATTTGATTTATATACCGCCCTACTCCCGAAGGACTCAGGGCGGTGAACAGCCAACAATAAAATACATACATACAAAATTTAAAAAGCAGAAATAAAATCGAATTAAATTGTTTGGCCCAGACAGATTAAAAAAACCCCAATCAATTTAAAACAAATTAAACTTTGAATATTAAAAATATTTAAAAATATTTAAAAAGAGGGAGAAAGTTAGGCCAGGCCCGCCTGGTGGAATAAAAAGGTCTTAAGAGCGCAGCGGAAGGGGCGCAGATCTGGAATCCTCCGTATCTCCGGGGGGAGCTCGTTCCAGATAGTAGGTGCCCCCACAGAGAAGGCCCTTCCCCTGGGAGCCGCCAGTCGACATTGTTTGGCTGATGGCACCCGGAGGAGCCCCTCTCTATGAGAGCGTACCGGCCGATGGGAGGTTATTGGTGGTAGTAGGCGGTCCCGCAAGTACCCAGGTCCTGAGCCATGGAGCACTTTAAAGGTGGTGACCAAAACCTTGAAGTGCACCCGGAAGACCACTGGGAGCCAGTGCAGCTCGCGCAGGAGGGGTGTTACATGGGAACGCCATGACGCTCCCATTACCACCCGCGCGGCCGCACTTCGCGCCAGTTGAAGCCTCCGGGTGCTCCTCAAGGGGAGCCCCATGTAGAGAGCGTTACAATAGTCCAGGCAGGAGGTGACGAGGGCATGAGTGACCGTGCGTAAGGAGTCCCGATCCAGAAAGGGACGCAACTGGCGGATCAGGCGAACCTGATGAAAAATCCTCCCTTTGGATTGCTTTGTTAAATGATCCATTTGTTTTGTCTGTAGAGATACTCAATTCTCCAGATCAGTCGTGAAATCCTCCGTGGGTTACTACCAGTTTGCTGACTGCTGTGCATGCCTGTGCAGTGCATGCCAAACACATGCTGCGCGCAAGTGCATTCACAATGCGCCCCAAACATGCGCTTCACGCAGAAAAAGGAGCCATTTGAAGGTAAGTAGAACAGTGAGGGAACAGCTGTGCTGCGTGATTTAGATTCGCTAGAAAGCAGGATTTCCTGTTTTCTAGCGAATATAAATCGTGCGGCACAGCTGATCCTCGGAAATACCGTTTCGGTATTTTTTTTTACTATCGGTTCATCCGAACTGGTGCGAACCGGTAGCATTTCACCCCTGCTGCAGATCATGGTTGTCCCAAAGGTGGGTTTTTTTTTTCCTCCAAAAAACAACTGGCCTTTCTTATTTTTTTCACCCTTTCTTTCTCTGAAAACGTTTCGCTAAGTTAGAACTGTAGAAGCTTCTTGGATGAGAAGAGAAACGTTTTCAAAGACAGAAAAACAAAACAAACCAAAAAGCAACTGGACTTTCTTGTTTTTTTCTTTGGAAGACATTTTGCTTCTCATCCAAGAAGCTTCTTTAGCTCTGACAGGATATATCCTATCAGAGGATAAACCGTCCAGGTCATACACATATAAAGCAGGAGATAGCCAAAATGACAGTCCAGGGATAATCCAATAACAAAGTCTTCTTACCAGTCGTCCTAGTCATTCACAATAAACAGTTCTTCTGGATTTGCAAACAGTAGCATACAAAGATATCAGAGAGCAAGAACAGCAAAGAGAACAAACCATGTTTCTAGCTCCCTCTTAAGGACATTGGCTACAGAGCTAACCAATCAGGATACAGTATGATGCAATACAGCAGTCTTAAAGCTATATTGAAGGTTTATATATTGCCAACCCAACAAGTTAGGTAATAGTCGTGTCCTAACAGTGGGGAATGGAAGGATTTATACTCCTTGCAGACAGCTGCTCATTTGCATCCTTTTAGAGGGTCTTTGAAGCCACTTGGAGGTTTATCTGTGTCCTCAGGGTCACCTGAGTGGTGCAAATGCTTCCTGTAGTCTGCAATTGGGCTTCCTTGTTTTTTGTTTTTTGTTTTTTCCTTTTGAAGACTGTCAGGGGTGAAGAAAGCTTCTTGGAGGAGAAGCGAAACGTCTTCAAAAGACAAAAACAAGCAAGTCCAGTTGCCTCCTGAAAAAAAAAGCAGCTTTGGGATAGAACCGAGACCAATCAATGGAATAGCTTGCCTCCGATAGCTGTGAGTGCTCCATCACGGAAGGTTTTGAAGAAAAAAGGAGCCTTGATAGCACAGTGGTCTAAGCACCCTGTTATTAACACAGCTGCCTGCAATTACTGCTGGTTCAAATCTCTCCAAGGCTCAAGGTTGA